GCTGATATGTCTGAAGTTGGTCATAAAATCATTCTTCCATCAAGTATAATTGGATAGGCGAGAACAAGAGAAAGACTCAGAATGAAGTTTATCCTGAAATATTCTCACCTTAGATATTTGTTACTGTTTGTTGTCATTTTTGTTAGTGTTTATTGTTATATTAGTTATTTATTGTGTATTAATTCATTTGTTCTTATTAAATTTTTTCTTTCACTCAACAGTGAGCGGTGGGCCGCCTTTTAGGCGGCCACTTCAGCTTGTTAAAATTAAAATCTTTAACTTTGTGTAATTTATTTTTTTAATTAGAACAAGCGACAAATGTAATTCAAACTTTTTGAAATAATCTAGATTCAGAAAAAAAAAATCTTAGATCATATTAACTATAATTAAACAAAGTAAACTTATGGTTTCTTGGTAAATATGTACTGACTAGGTTATAAAATTTAGTAAACACAAGCAAAAAGTTCGAACCCCTCCTTCTTTAGCTTCATTTTCTTAGCTGGGCCAATTAGAAATGTTTGCAAATCGTATTCGATCACTTAAATATCGAACACAGGCAAATTACAGATAAGCTTTTCTGTACCACGGCCAATTCGATTTTTCAACCATAGATCATATCGGGGGTACTAGTTCAGGCGTACAGGAGAGGGGAACGAGGAGGTCATTATGTCCTATCACAGGACATTGCACTCCATGGAATCTCGTCGAGGAGTTTTCCAAAGCGAATCGTTACGCCCTATCACAACAATTCATTCTGCTAGATTGTGCTCTATATGATCTCGTTTGATAGTTTCCAAACAAAACCGTGGCCAAGAAACCGGAAGTGAAATTTCTGAATATTCAGCTTATGCGGAAAACTTTTCATTTTATCCAGAGAAAATCGAATCTAGAAAACCGGGGACCCAAATTACACAGAAAGATTCTCTATATGGTTCCCCACATCTATCTCCTACTGATTTATAAGTGTTTGATCGACAATAAGGTTATTTGGCCCTGATCCTTGAAAGTAGGTGTATGAAATGAAACAACTGGATGTAAACTGTGCAATCGAAAATACGTGGCGTGAAAGTCAATAGCCCAGGATATTGGAAGGGTTGGATTTATATGGAGGGGGGAGCTGTTGGTTGTCCCGCAATGGGTCTCCACTTTCGGATTTATAGTTTGAAAGATTTGGCCCAAATTATATTTTATTCCATGTAAGTTCCAATGTTTCTATGCAAGATTGAAACTATAATCCGTGTAATGCCCCCAAAAAGATACGACAAATTTTCCTTGTCGCTTCAATTATATTCATTCTAATTAATGAGATCTTGTTAGAGATACACGAACTTTATAGTTATTTTTCATATTTTTCAAGAAAGTTTTCAGGAGTGCTAATCATTTCTTTAAATGGAAGTATCTCGTCCCCTCTCTACCCCATACTGTACTTGCCACTTTGTTTATGATTCGCCTTGATTGTCATACTGTCATCGAATTGACAACAACATGCCAGTAACTGGCTACGATCGGTAAATACGACAAATCCATCTATGGGCTCATTTTTTTAGATACGCAACCATACAATCCAACTAGTTACAATCCAATTAAAGCTCTATTGAGCTAGTTCAAATAATAAATATTGTCTTATTTTCTTTGTTTGGAACTGTATGTAATATATTTTCCAAATTGGGAGAAACACCTCTTTAATGCGTAGAAAAACCAGGAAAAAATGTCGCATTCATATTGTAGGTTCAACGAAAAAAGGTTTTGGTTCTTTCTTAGTCCAAAATTAAAGTTGGCTCACCCACAATCCAAACAATAGTACACTACACTCTTGCATGCTTAGCAATTGCTTTGAATTGCATTACATATGCATCTATTAACTTTAGGACCAATCTTTTCTAAACAACAAACCTACAATCTTAGAACAGAAAACTTAAAATTTACATATTATTTCGTTTCAACTGTCAATGAATCGAACGTTGAGAGAATTTTGAGTTTCTTGCATGATGATCCGTCACCAAACATGATCTTGCATCCCTCCTATAAAAACCTAGGCATACCGATTGATACTGTGGAGGATCGATTTTTCAGTTGAGATATAGAGTCAGCAGGTCCAGCCTGAGAATTTTATAACGTTCCTATTGTGAACCGTGTAATTATATATTTTTCTTTCCTTCTCTTGTAGTGGGGAAAATTTATTTTTCAAATTGTTCACGTTGGCCCACACAAAGCAAATGTGTTGATTGTCTTATCAGACAATTTATTATTACTACACGGCTTCAAATATTATAATGGTCTTCTAACATCGTAAAGCTCAGTTGCTGGGGGTGAAAGCTCTTTGTATACTCCATGCTGACAGACATATTTCAAACATAATTCCGCAAGAACTCCATTGACAGTTCAGAGAATTTCTTTCATAATTTTTAGTTCTCAGATTAAATATTATTTATGCATGCAAAAGCACAATCCTTTTGTTGTCTACTGTAAATTATTCATGACGTTTAATGTAGAGCTTCTGTTGATAGATGGTAGGTTCGTGTGCCAAATAGCCTCTTTCATAACTTTTAACATATTTACTACCGTGCTCAAACCAATTAGCCCGGCATCTGTTGCCCGAGGGGCTGTGAGCGCTTTTGTCCTCGAGAGTTTTTTTCAGCGTTTAGATCAAAATCGTTCTCGGAATTATTTTTTTTCACTTCGGCAATCGGGATTATTTTCACTGGTTGGAAAAAAAATGTCTCTGGAAAAACTAAAACTGTTAATATTCTACGAGTCAAAGGGGGATTCCATGTCTAAGGGAAATTTTGCATGTTGGGCAGAGAAAACAAGGTGGTTATGGCTAAAAAATTGCGCTATTGAGAAGTTTCACAAAAACAGGCGCTTCGAATCACTTTCCCGTATTCCGCGTGAATCCTCACAATCTTCCCAACAAAGTCGTTAGGCTGAGCGGGGGATTGTTAGCAAAAAGTCATATTGTTAGCAAAAATTCACATTCACTTGCAAAGTTGGCTTATGTTTGATGGCTAACAATAAATTCAATTCGAATTATATTTACTTGCGAAATGTTAAACAATAGTCAACAGCTTTGACGCATAAAAGATTATACTTACACCTACGATTATTTTGTAGTTTTGTTGGAGAGACCTTAAGTGTTTCAGATTTCCAACTGTGGTGAAAAGGGGCCCTTTGGTTCGCTTAAACTAGTTGGCGTCTTTTCACATTCTGGACCTTCCAGGAATATCTAATCATAACTTAAAGTATTTTAGTTTCATCCCCGCGTAAATTCTTGCCGGGGTCAATACTCTATAATGGGTTCCTACTGTGTGTCATATCTTTGTTTCTTTTGACCTTTCGTTTATAATTGAAGCTTTTCAAATACTAGGTTTAGGTCTTATCAACGGAATTGCAAAATGTCTGGCTGTTACTTTGCAACATCGCATCCAGACTTTTGAAAAGATTCAGAATTCCTTGGTAGGTAAGAAATGGTTCTATATATAGCGATTCTCGTTGCTTCTTGAATCACCATGTTGCAAACGATTGAATCGGCTTAACTGACAGAATAGAATTAGAGCTAATTAAGCAACTGCCAATTCAACCCGTTCTTCGAAGTCCGCCTGTAAGTACCACGTCAAAAACTACATTTAAGCAATCATTTTCTTGTCAAATTCCAAGATCTCGAACACAATTATCTTGGTCAGCCCCAGAAAAACTATCCCAAATCAGGAAGTAAGGATTTCTATAGGGGTTGGTTCAATTCCTGGTACTTTCTTGATCGTGTTCTATCCTAAACTCTACTTTCTTCGATACAAGAAATCTTCTTTCATGAATTATTTTCTCTTCTAGGATTATAAGTGTAATCAACAGCAAAAAATAAATATTGCGAGCAAATTTGCAAGTGCAAGATCTGCCTATTTTTCTTATCTGGAGAAACACAATTATCTACCTTCCTGCTATTTGTTCAAATAGATGCGGTTCATTCCGACAGTCGGCTATTGCGATAGAATACGAGGGAGTGAGAGGTCTGCTGCTGCCCCTAAAAATTACCCATTAAAAATGCGCCCTAAGACTCAATATATAAACTTTTTTGCTAGTATCAGTCTACTCTCGTAGATCCGTGGAGAAGAAAGCCAGTGGAATATTATTTTGATGTATTTTTTGTTGTCAAGAACCATCGAAGAAATGTGTATGGTTAGTAATTTTAATGTGTGAAAAACAATTATTTTTTTCACCTGGTCTACTTGTCAACAGTTACACCTTTCTTTGTAAAGAGGAGAGATCTATACCAATTTATGAAGGACTTATTGTGACATAATTTCAGGTCCCCCATTGTGGATATCCTAGAGTAATAGATTTATCCATAATGCGTCAAAGAGGGAATTACAATCTTCACTTCATAAGCAGTAGTTTGATTGTATTTGGTGTTCATTATTTTACGGAATTGAGTTTACCCCAAGTAAAAAATATCCTGTATATAAATAGATTAGGAAAATTTTAAAGATCAAAAAATATACGAAGCAAACTTACATAAAAATTTCTAAGATCTTTGTTCTTGTGCATATTCTATTGTGTTTTTCAATGAACTTTTTTAAAGAAATTCACGTGACCTCACTCAAAATGGACAAAAGAAATTTCGCTTAATCTGTAACCATTAAAATTTTTAGATTCTCCAAAAAATAATTTTGAATCTAAAAATAGGAGGCAAATGAAAAATGTCTTGATCGGAAAAAAAAACTGAAAAATGTCGCACATTTTTACGGGATCTTCATTTTAAGAAGTCTATGCTCTATATACTAAGAAGACTCAAAGTCTCTTAACGAGTTGTAATGCTCACCTAGACCATATGAATGCTTGTAATACCCCAATTTCAATTCTTTGCCTTCTCCTTCAGGATTTATCTTTAAAGTGGATGCTCCCGCTATATATACACTGATGGGACAATTGAAAGTCTTACTCAAAGCTAATATTTCCATATCTGACCCCCACATAGCTGTTGTTGTAAGTTCCTTCAAGTACTCATCAATATCCTTAATCTCGCATGTGCTTTCATCGAAAAGAAACGGTACAAAATCGTTCCTGTTCTTATCAATATACTCAGCTGCTAAATCTCTCAATTCTTGAACCGACTTCTCAATCTCATGTCTTTGAGCCAATTGATCTTGGATCGAGGCAAATAGACAGTGTCCATCTGGTTTAATTTCAAAGAGCTTTAGGTGGTGGAGGGCAAGGAGTTGGTCCATAGACTCGATTTCAATTTTGCGGTAGTCGATGGAGTTGGCCGCTTCTATGCTGGCTTCATGCTTTATGCGATCGATTTCTGCTTGTCTTTTGGCGAGTCTTTCCTTTTGTCTGTTTCTCTTCTTTGGTTGTTGAGTTGTTGGAGCAGGGGCCTCTTGTTTGATTTCTGGTTGTTTCTCTGAGAGAGATAATTGTGCAAGTAATTCTTCAGTTGTAATCTCTTGATTGTCATCTTCGATAGAAGCCGAATCATTGACCAGATCTGATTTCACATTATCAAACTGTTGAAGCTCCTCTTTATGCCGTCTTTGTAAATTCTCTTCCAATTCTTGACACTTTGACAATACACTCTTTCTAGTTTTCTTGGTTGCTTGTTTCTTCAATCCTGTAATAGTGGCTATAAGATCTTTGCTCTCTTTCTTATGACGCTGTATAAGCTCTTCCCTTGTAGATGGTAACTCTGCCACCATCTTGTTAAATGATGTGTACTGACAAAAAATGGTCGATGGTGATAATCAACTTATGTGTCATTTTTTTTAAAAAAAAATTTTAATAGTTGCCTCGATGAGCGGAAATATTAGGAAGAAGAGTGGCAATTAAATTTGCAATTAATTTGTGCAAGCTGTCCAACAACAAAAATTGAGAAGTTTGTACAAAATTAATTGTACAGTTTGGCTATAGTGACACTTGGTGGTTGCCTAACAACAGACAATGTACTATGCAGCAAAGTGAAATGTGACACTAACATTTGTATTTACAAAATCAAAATCAGAAAAAAAATCAGATGAGGTTTGGTTACTGAAGTTACAGATGGCATTATGGTCATGATAAATGCAAAAAAATGCCTTTGGATCACATGTAGGTATTTTGTTTGTCTGTCGTCATTTAATTAATAGCCGTAAACTGTATTTGAATAACTTTGTGTTGCATTTTATAGCTATAGTGTAGCGTTGCTATTTTTTTTCTTCAATGAAATTCTGTATTCGTGACGATTCGGAATGACAACCAACGGACCCTTGGCTCAATTGATCTATAGAGATCTTCTTTGGGTAACCGACTATTACACTTGGAATTGACTAATACACATTAATGGTTTCATGGTTGTAATCAGGTTTTATACGAAATGTACAACGCATCCTCTTGCCAAAAGGGAACAAAACTAAAAATAACATTTTATTGTTCGGAGGTTCTATAACATTGTACAAGTTTATATTTTGTGATTAATTTGATTAAATTACAAATCATCGCTTCGGTATTATGAATCAGGCGTCTCGGAACTGCAGTCATGTTACTGCCAAGTGCCATTGGTATTTAGAATCATCTGAGTTTACTCTCAATGTAACCTGGAAGTTCGGCAAACGAATAGTTCGTCTAAAAATGACTAATTCATATGATATAAACCTCACGCGGAAGAAAAGCGAAGAAAAGCCCAGATTTATATTCCGGATGAAGCTAAATGCATCTTGAAATGTTTAACCGGGGATTTGATATGATTTTGTTACCAATGGGTTGACAAGGGAATAGTCGAAGACCAAAGAAGATCCTGAATTTATTTTTTTATTTCATTTACCAAGTACCCTGGCAATTTCAGAGAACAAGAGGCCGTTCAACGGTTGTAGGCGAAATTGAATGCCCTGACATTTGTACTGATTGCCATTGATCAGCCATTATATTACTCTGGTTACTTATTGTAGGTAGTAGGGATGCTATAGCAACAAACTTGAAAATAACTCTACCAGTTTTTGTCTTTTTTTCTGATTTCTTAATTGTATCACTAAATCAATCAATGCATACGCTAAGCTGAAAAATAAGCTTCTAACCAAACACTAGCGACATGGTACTAAATCCAGAAAACAGATGATGGAATTACTTTCGAGAGTTTGTACAGATTCATGATTGATGCCATTGTGGTGGCATGTGAAAAGCACCACAGTCGACTCCCGGTATTTGAATAGAACAGCATGTGGGGGGAGTATAACTTGATGAACGGAAATCAATATAGAACAATACTTGGTGATGCTTGCTATTTCGTCTAAAAATATATTTGAACCTGTTTGTTTAATGAGATAAGAAGAATCATAATAGTGTATTAACCTAAAAGGGGAAAAACTGTAAGACATTTTTTGCTTGAACGTCTCAGTTTAATTAAATTGCAGAATCGTTCTCAATCTGCAAAATATAGAGGGAGAAAAAAAGAGAGTAAAATAGTTCGTATTTTTACAACATCGCCCTAACCATTTGACATAGCCTGTGGAGTAAACGGTTCTCCTTTATATTAGTATGAGGCTCCTCCAACAAGATCGAAAAGTATTAATTATTCAACATGTACTGGTTTGGAATTATCTGGTATCCAACTCCTTCTGAGGAATTTACGAAAGATGTCGACTCTGTAAATTAGGTTTTGTTCAATTATATAATTGTTCTTCCTAAGCCATCTTAGTGATATATTTAGATCGTCAAAGTGGCAGCAATCCCGTAAGTGTGGGTTGATTCGTCTTTTTCCACTTGCTGTTGGAAAATATCGCTCCTCTTTCTTTTATTCTATGAACCTTAGTCCTATCCGGAGAAAATATTTCCACTGCATTAAAAACGTTCACAAAATTGAAAATTATGGAAAAACAATGCCAAAGCCCACCAACAATGAAATTCATAAATACTTACACCACACACATAGAGATCAGTAGAAGAAACATGTGGCGCCTGATTAACCACATAGGCTAGCAAGTGCGTCGACTCCTCTGACCATGCATAGTTGTGTGTGATTGGGACAAGCACAGGCACTAATCATACTTGGCTAACAGTTCTATTTATTATTATTTTTCCTGTATAGAAACGCGAAATCTCCTTAGATCTACAGTTTTTTCAATATTTGTCCCAAAGTATCGGGGTTATGCACAGATGCAGTTTCCATACATCATATTCCAAGAGCTTAATGATTAGACCAGTCAGGCGGCTATTAGTCAGCCAATGAAAAGCAAGACTGTAAGAAAGCTTTCCGCTGATTATAAATCATCATGTTAGAATGCTCTTTGTGTGCAGGTTCATCCGTTACTCTTGTGACGGCCTCAGTGACAATCAGAATTAGCGATCTAAGAAGATTAATCTCAGATCTGACGCTAGTCATTAACTGTCTGTTAATAAGCTGTTCATATGATTGCAACATTGCAATTGAGTGACTCTAGTATTGCAATCCGATTCGATATTTTTCATCCAGTTGTAAAGTAGAGTATTGCTAGTTTATTTCGAACTACTTGTGATGTAATCTGTATAATATTTTTAACAATAAGAAATAACAAGGACTAAAAAAAACACATTTCTTAGCATTTACAGTTTCATTTTTCATATAATAACAAAAATTAGGTGGGAAAATCCTGATAATAAAGGTGTAACTGTAAATCTTTTTTTTCACATACAGAACTAGTTTCTCCTTAAAAGTTCTTTTTTCCAGTTAAATGAAAAGAAAAAATATTTTTTTTGCCTGAAAAATCCAAGGCTTCGCAACCGGGAGGGAGACATTTTTCATTTAACTTTTCTAGTTTTACATTTTACTTTTTGAACTTGGAATTAATATTTTATTTTGTGTCTGGTTGATGTGGTAAATATTTTTTAACAATGCAAATTATTTTTTATGTTTAAATTAAAAAAATAATTAGAATATACCAAATTAAAAAATTAAATTAAAAAAAGAAAAATTTATATAAATATAATTGTCCGTCTTTTCACCCTTATTCTCTTCTAGTTCTTTTGAAATTTTTTTTAACTTATCGTTCTCTTCAGCTTTTGATATATCTATTACATTCACCTACTACCTAACCATCTCATCAAACAGGTTGAATAGACAGACACTAGCAAAAAGACAATCATTACCATTTTCCCAATTTTCTCTAACAAAAGTCCATTCTAATTCCCCCATAGAATAGATTTATCACATTATTCATATAAGAACAAGATAGTCTACATCCTCCCTTCCAATTGCATATTAAGATTTAGATATCGCTCACTTATCTCATCTGAACTTATCAAAATAGACAAATACCCTTTCACTTCCCTTGTGTAATATTTCTTTCTTGTGTTGTTGAGAGTTTCAATCATTACTTTAGACTTTAGTCAATTGGCATTATTAGTATACTTCTATCCTGGTTTCATTTGAAGTAACGACTACGTACATTCCATTTCATAAGGAAGCTATATCTAAAAAACAATAAAGACATTCGTTCCTTCGTTATCATTCGCTGGTTGTTTTTACCACTTTACCAAAAAAGATTCCATTTTTTATTTGCATTTAAAAAAGTTAGTACTGGTAACTAATTTATTTAACATTCTCGTTGTTTCCCAACCTTTTCCATTCTCCTACAATCCATTTATTCCATTAGCATTAAAGGGTTCATCATCTTTCGTTGAACTTTTCATTCATTTTTAGACACATTTTAGAGACATTTATTTTTTTCAATTGCTGCAATTTTGCGACATTCAATTTTTTTTGAGACATTTTTTTTACAACCATTTTATAAATCTTTGGCTGCTTTAAAAATAGTTACAATTCACCACTACAAACATCATAAGTAAACCAAGATCATTATGTTATCCAATTCCCCAGATATGTTTCACCAAGTGAGACTACTCCAAGCGCTGTTGAAGTCTTCCAATATAAATTTACAAACCATGGAATTTAAAGTTCATTCATCGGCGGTTTATGAATATCAAATGGAAATGTTACATCATTTATTAAGTGTTGAGTCTAAAACCTTACCCAACTTAACGTTAATTGAACAACAGCCAGAGATTAAATTAGGAATGAGGCCGTTGTTGTTGGATTTCTTAATGGAAGTTATTACCATTCTTAATTTGTCAAGATCTACATTCCCATTGACGGTTAATTTAATTGACAGATATTGTTCCACCAGAATCGTTAAGAAACAACATTATCAATTGTTGGGCTTGACGTCGTTGTGGATTAGTTGTAAGAACTTAGATTCCAAATATAAGATTCCAAGTTTAAATGATTTAAGAAAAATTTGTGTTGATAGTTATTACAAGGAATTGTTTATTGAGATGGAAAAACATATCTTGAAGAGTTTGGATTGGTTAGTTTCTGCTCCAACTTTTGATTCATTTATTGATTTGTATTTGAATTTGTTAATATCCAACAATGCTAATCTGAATGTTGTTGAGTTGGTCAAGAAGAATTCCCAAAAGATCAAATTATTGGCTAATTATATTGGAGAGTTATTTCAATTTTATCCAAATATATACTTTGACTATACTTCTTCCCAGATTGGTTTAATTTGTATTCTTACGTCCATACTTACTTTGAAGATCCCAATTAATTTGATTAGCTTGCTTAACTTTTGCAATGATTTATTAAAGACAGAAGAATATAAATCTAATTGTAATGGTTCAGACCCTGCTGATAACTTTGATGAAATTCTCTCAGTTCAAGCTTTCCAATCCTTATTGAATAAGAACTTCCTCAAGAACCTTGTTAAGATTATCGATAACCCACCAAAATCAATTGAGGTTAAATACTTCTCCGAAGGTGGTAAATATTCACAATTAATGAAGTCGCTTGTCCATTGTGCTGCTGATTCTTTGAATTCATTGGTATCACCTCCACCATTAACCCCAAAGGTTGCTACTCATAACCTTAAGAAGCCTTCCATATCAATCGATAGTTCAATGTTACCACTCACTCCAATATCCAACAGTACTTCCCCCAAAAGACCTTTACTCGATTCAGATTCCACAAATGAGACGGCGAACACTACTTCTGCTGTCGCTGGTGGCAATGTTGCTTTTACACCAATTGTTGGTATGGGTACAATTACTCCAGTATCCAGGAGTTCACCAGGTAAGAAAAGAGGATATGATTGTATTGATGAATTGGAGATTTCTGAATCAACAATTCAACAATATGGTTTGGATACTTGTGAAGAGTTGAAGAAATCCAAGAGTAATTGGCAAATGTTCTACATCCCACAGTAGACTATTTGTTCAATTATTAAATTTTTTTTGCATCTTGGGGATGAATAGTTAACTGGTTAATTATTCATATTCTCCTTCTGTATTTTTAGTACGACCATTGCTAGTATGAAACCTATGCTGCTGATATATTATATATGATAGAAAAGAAGGATGATATGCCCATATTATGACTCGCTTAAACACCCTATTTAGTTTGCTTTTACATCATCTTTATTTCATGTTTTTTATACGACACATAAAATTTTATAATTACTATATTTTTTATTAATTAGTAAAAAAGTTCATCTCCTGTAGACAAAACCACTAAGAAAAATGATGACCGTTCGTTTATACAATAATCCTGACGATTGGCTTTATTATTTGGTTGTCATTCCACTGTGTGTCACCGATTGGAACATGCAGGGTGCTGTTCGGTTGCCTTGCATGAAGGTTAAATCTTTTCTCACTTCGTCAGTTGACAGGTAGATTAGAATTTGCAGTTTACTTTGAAGACGAAGGAATTATATATATCCATGAGGCTGATATAGTGTGTCTTATCTCCATTGAGTTCCCCTCTAATAGATTCCATGGCTGTGCATCTAGACGAGCAATTACGAGGCAACTGTTAAGCTAATATCACCTACTCGATCTTTGATAAGTCTTCCCCCCTCCAAAACAATATCATAGCTACCTCATAAAACAAAGAGGGAATGCACATGTATCAGTTCATAGTGTACCGACTAAATAAATCCTCACCAATTCAGGAATAATACAAACCGAGGGTCTGCGTTTAGTGAAAGATTTTGACAAATGCACTAATTTCTCGACGAAAATGCTGTTGTCATGGAGCTGTCAGAAAGCTCGGAAAAAAGGGAGTTCAGAAAGACGGTGCTAGAACTTTCTTGAGCTTTCTTTGAGTAGATTCTTATTCCATTAAAGAATTAGTCTCTATTTAAAGCAGAAAGGGAATATTTACATGTACAATAATCAATTTGAATAATAGAAAATCATTCGTAGAATTACCCCTACGTATCTATCTTGGGACTTTGTGATCACATGTGAAACTCTATAATAAAAGATGATCGTCGCTTTGCTTGTTGCATTGTGTAAGGAGTGGTTATGTGCTCCTTCCTAATTTGGAATTGGAGTAATCGCGGAGATTATAGACTTTCGCCGGTCGTTAGTGAGTATGTGGTATGGCGGAGGCCCGGACGTGGTTCCTGTGTGTAACTTGTTACACTACAGTTGATTTCTGAAAAGCTTCGATTCGGCCGCTACTTTCCCCGTTTCCTAAACTTTAGTGCGCGAGGATAAATACCTGTGGATTCCCCCTTTAGAGGTTTTGGGATTTGGTTGGGGAACAAGGGAAGAATCTACGCTCATAGATTCGAACTATATAGAAGACTGAACTTTGGTTCATTAGGATATCCGAATATACATTCGCTTGGACGATCTCGTATCAGACGTTTTAGCGCTTCCACTGTCAAACAATCGTATTCTAGTAAAAACACTCCTTATTCTTACACATTGCTTCCTTTAAGACAAGGCACGTAATAATTAATTCTAGTTACTCCACATAATTAAAAAAAAAATCGTAATTAGAAGTCCCGCGCGAATGAAAAAAAAAATCAGTCAATCACAACATCTCATCCCTTTAACTACAACTCCCCAACAACAGCAACCACCACATCAACAGCTGCCATGCCGAATACTAAACCGGATCCCAAAAGAAAGAAAACCATCAATGAATACAAATCACACACAGTCCCCAATTCGCCCTCTCCCAAAATTCCTGTCCTAGAATCTATCCCATCTGCCCAACAATTCTTTAATGATTTTATCCGACCTCGAAAACCAGTGAAATTCACCGTTTCTCCAATTATCAAGTCAGAAAACTTCACAATTGCAAACCTTGAGACGACTTTGGACTATGATCTGGAACTACAAGTCGAGAAGAAATATGAGGCTGGATTTGGATCTGGTCAAAAGAGAGTTAAGATGGCTTTGAGGGAGTTGGTGGATGAGATTAAGGCTGGTAATGATGGATATTATTTAACTACCCAGTATGATTTTGATGGTCCTGATGCAGTGGAAGAGGATAATGATGATGACGAAGATGAATTGGAAGATTTTGGAGTACTTGGAAATGAAGATGGTGAGGAGGAGGGCCCAGGATTATTTGATAAATTTTCCGAAACCTCTTCCATGCCAGACATCTCCAACCTTCATGATGACTTTGAGGATGATTTCGAACAGGACATAATCCAAGGCATGCCAATTCCAGAAATCAGATCACGCATTCGAGAACTCTATCAACCCCCACTCACAAACTTAGTCCATAGTCCAGAAATCCTCCCCACGATTCCAGACCTATTCTCCTCTCTCATCCCTCAACAAATCAATATTTGGATGGGATCAACTAGCCCAGGAGAGAACCAATTTGCTATTGATCCCAAGGATGAGAAATTAGGATTGGGAAAACAGCTCCCAGGAAAAATCAAAGGAACTTCATCCGGACTTCATCATGACCATGCAGATAATCTATACGTGCCTATCTCGGGTCGAAAACGATTCACACTTTTTTCGCCCGCTGATGCGTTAAAATTATCCACCGTAGGTGAAATTCGTAAGATTTATAATTCTGGTATAATCGATTATGAACCGAATGAAAATGCGGTCGGGTGGAGGTCATTAAGGGATGATGGTGCGATGGTGGAGGAAATAATCAGATGGAAATTGGATAGTTTGGAAGAAGAAGAACAATCTGAAGAACGTAGGAAATTGTTGGAGGAATTACAATGGATGATTAAGAATAGGAAGAGTGCTAAAAAATCCGAGGAAAAGAGAGATCCTCCTAGCTTTTCCAAGATTCCACCTGCGTTGCTCCATCTAGATGATATAGAAGATGTGAAGACGAAGAACAAGATTGTCAAGTTTGCGGAGGAGCATTTTCCTGGATTTTTGGAATTGAATAAATATGTGGTTTGGTTGGAGCCTGGGGAAATGTTATATCTTCCTGCAGGGTGGTTTCATGAGGTTTCGAGTTTTGCTTCTAGTGAAGGGAGTAACAATGTTAAAGATAGGGCTCATATTGCTATCAATTATTGGTTCATTCCTCCAAACAGTGATGAGTTTAAAAAATGCTACAGTGATTCATATTGGACTGAAGATTGGGAAAGGACCCAAAAAGCAATTGACCTAGTTAGAGCTGGAGAAGTGTATTTAAATGACGATCAAGAAGAGGAAGGCTCAGATGAAGAGAATTACGGAGATGATGGTGACAATGAAGACAAGGAGGATGACGACCAGGGGGATGATGAATAATATTGAATCATCCATGTAAATAGCATATACGGAATATATTTATGACTCTGATAAAAAATCTTGTAAATGAGAAGCAGGTTCTTCTTTTCTTTTATTCGTAGCTGATTAAAAACTAATAACCAGAAGCTTTTTTTTCTATAAAAAAATCTACCAATTTCTGTAAAACAAATAAAAATTCCACAAAGAAGTTGCAAGAGCTTGGCATATCCTTAGAAAAAGCAGAAGTCACAATCATACTTATCTCATATAGCGAACTAGTTTGCAAGTGAAATCCAATTTGTTCACCCCTATTCCCCTGTGCCCCTGTCCCCCTTTTATCTCATCAAATTTAACTTTAGCGCAAAAGTTTAAATTTTTAAGGAGAAAAATTAAAAGCACCCAAGAGCCTTGAACAGGATAAGTAAGCAAACATAGAGTAAAATTCAATTGATATGCCAATTGCTATTGTTAACTACTGTGATGAATAAAAATACCGTTTAGCAAGAATCGGATTAATTAAAGATTATCAATTGAAACAATTTCCTGGGGAGAAATCTACTTTACCACGCGGTTTTGTGGCTGCAAAAAACGCCTTCCCAATTAGGAAAAGCGCATCAATATGGATGCAAAAATCAATTAAAAATAAAATAAAAATAAAATATTTTTTTTCTTTGCATGAAGCCAATTTATTTTTAGCTTAACCAAATTTTCGCAGATAAGGGTTGTAACCCTAACCCGAAAAATCAAATCATGTGACCTTCGGGTTTTCCTTTTTTGTTTGTAAAGGGAAAGTAAATCCGCTTAAGTTTTACTCCACAAAAAAAGAAAGCCGAAACTGAAATTGGATAATTACGCATGACTTCACGCATCTACACAAAAACACAATAGAAGGGAGAGGGGGACGTCATTACAGTACCAAACGTGTCAAAAGTGACATCTAGGACATTAGCCCTAAATAAATTTGCTCTTAATTTTCTTAAATATAAAAAACAATTACCAAGCCCACGACCCCGAGAAACTCAAAAAATTTCTCGAATTTCTTAATGATTTGATTTAGCAATATTATTCAGAATCTAAAGCTAATAATAAAAGAGTTAAAATAATTAAAAAGAAAAAAACAGGGTGGGGTTTAAGAGAGGGGTATATATTTATTAATTTAACAATTGAGTCTTATCTGATTGTTGCAACGGAATTTATAGATTGTTCTGACGGGAATGATGCCACATTTTGTTGCTTCCGTTATTGTGTAATGAAAACGGATTTGGAAATATCAGATTTACGCAGGTCCTGAAAAAATTGAGTCACAGGGCACTGTAGTCTCTCTCTCTCTTTATCTGAATGTTCTTTTCAAGACATGTGGGTTCAGTCACTCCTTTGACATGTTCAACGTCTTAAAATTTTTATCAAATTAACTTTTCTTAGTAATCTCAAGAAATTATGAGATAAAAAAAGAAGAAAAATCAGTCATAAGTTAATTAACAAATCTTCCGATTAAATAAGATTTCATCTTGTACGGCATATAAAAACGTGTAGTTTATAAAAAAAATTTTTCACTTTTGTATCATTAAAAGTTATATTAATAAATTATTACTTTAATTAGCAAACATACACACATTAAGAGTTAATCAATAACTATTATACACAAGTGATTTAATTTAAAAAGATCTAGTCACTCCTTCTTTTTTTTTGGTTTTCTCTTTCTTTTCTCTCTTTGCATATTAGCACTAGCTATTTACAACAGCTACCACTATAAACTAACTAAGTATGATACCATCTTTTACATATGAAAATTAAAGAGTATAAATGAATACCATGTGGGGGGAAATTGTTTTTAGCAGATGGAACAAAGAGAAAGATGGTACTCTCATATCCAACCTGTTAAGATTTCTTTAGTATATACCTCCCCATTGCTTCATTATACATGCTTTAACTATTTCAATATTACATTCTTTTATAGAAGATCATTATGATATTAATCAATTAACATTTATTAGCATTTATCCTGGATTTACCACATACCATAAATCCAACCCATCTTTGTACACAATTCAATTTTTAAGTTGCAATTCTTGAAAAAAGAAAGAAAAATTATTTGAACATAGAAACGTTTGTTTAAATAACATTATCATTATTACAATACTACCCCATCTTACTATTGCACCATACAAATAATTAAAACCTCATCTCAAAACGAAAGAAATTTAATATAAAGGTTTCTATACTACACATTCATTTTGTTGACATTTCACATATAACATACATCAATTGAACTATAGAAAACATTCAGATTTTTGCATTCTTATCCCATCCCATCCCATCAATTTATCAATACAAAAAATCTACTCATATTACATTATTTTTTTTTTTCATAGAAGTCTTTGATTGTTTTATGGACCTATATTAAATACACCATCCAAAAGAATAACTTATCAAACTATCATAAACCTTTTAACGACCATTTAACGATTTTTTTTATATTTTTGTTTTAATATTTTAAAATTGTTGTTTTTGTATTTTTAAATAAACCAAGGGGCTTTCATTTATTATCATTTTTATATTGGGATCTACTATTACTACTTACTACTTACCATTACGAAGAAGGATATCAACTTTTTACATTTTATATTTCCTATAAGTTGATTTTTTATATCTTTGTTGTTTTATTTTTGTGATTATTGCTACTATTATTATTATTATCATTCAATTCATACAATTTCCAAACGTATTATTATGGCATTAACCGACAAAAGACCTATTGCTTTACCTGTTACTGCAACCCATACTCCTGCATCACCTTCATTCAATCCAAAGACTTTGTCTGTCGCAACCAAGGCAAGAAAAGCAAGTTTTGCATTATCTCCAATCACCGAAAAATTATCAATTAGAGATGAGGAAGAAGAATTAGAACAAGAACAAAGAAGGAAACATGCCAAATCAGGACTATTATCTCCAAACTCCAACAATGAAGAAGACGAAGATGAACCTGAAGATGATCACGACGAAGACATGGAAGAAGTCGGCTCCGAGTCTATAATTTCAAGAAGTATTTCTCCAGATTCGTTAATGAATGAACATCCTTCAAATGAAGATCAGTCCCGAGAATCAACACCTCCAACCACTACTTCTACCCCAGGCTCTTCTCAAAACCTCCCAACTAACAAACAAAAGAAAAAGTCAATATCTCGTGCACCCATCGCCACGGGAATATCGACCACTATTCCGGTCACAGGAGAAAAACCAAAACCAGAACAAACCAACGATCAATCATTAGAAGATGATGTCCTTTATGCTATCTTTGTTATCTTATATCAACACGATGCTGCTGGTCAAGGTATGACTGTCAAACAAATCTGTGATGTCTTAACTGAACAACATCCTGAAATGGCTAGTTTATCAACCAAGACTTCCAACCTTGTTTCTGCTAAATTGAATGCATATGTCAAGAGAGTGGAGAAGGGCGATGTGAATTTGAAATATGCAATTTCAAGAGATTGGGCTGATGCTTCTCCAAAAAGAATGGTTTATGTATATAGAGGTATTTTGGCTCCTGATTTCCATGTGTACGCTAAACAATTAATGGAAGAACAACAACGTAAGAAGAAGGAACAGCAAGAACAACAACAGCAACTGGAAGGTGGATCTGTGGAGGAAGAAGAAGAAGAGACTTCAAAATCTCCAGGTTCTCAAAGTCCAAAGTCAGGTGGTAAAAAGGGTGGTAAGGGTGCTAGCACAATCACTAGTAGCAATAGCTTGTACGACTCAGATCCATTGGAGGCTGGAAAGGAAGCTAGTTTAGCAAAACCGAGAAGACTGACTATGTTTGATTTGGGTGTAACAAGACTGACATTCTGGGATGGTCATATAGATAAATCCAATTGGTTTGTTCCATATTTGTCAGCTCCTGTTACTGCATCACTCACTGAGAACTCGATTCTTATGCCTATCACCAAAGAAGAAGACGAAGAAGCTGAAGCTGCTGAAGATGAAGATAAAGAAAATTCCGATTTAGAACTTGATTTTGAAGTTTTTGCTGATAGTGACGAAGATGAAAATGTTATTGAAACTTTCAAAAAGAACAACAAACGTTCTAAATCCATGTCATACTTATCTTCTACCAAAAAGAATAAAGGAGAATTAACAGCCGCTGCTGCTGCTCCTCGTGCTTCTCGTGCTCCAAGTTCTCATTCTCCCAACGCCGCTGCCGCTGCGGCTGCGTTACATGCTGCGGCACTTAAAGCTATTTCTACCCCTTCTTCAACATCAGCTGGTTCTAATAAGGTGACACGGGGTGATAAGAAATGGTTGAATGTTATCAGATCTGGATTCATGACTCAGGATATTGGTACACCGGAAGATATTAGTTTATCTGAATTAGATAAATTTTTTAACTAAATTAATTAGACGATTTAATTAGACATAAATTATTTAAAAAAAAAACATCAACATCATTATATATTTTGGGAATTTAATTCATAATTACATTTTACATATACATACATACATTTATATAATATTCTTACACGCCAAATACAAAAAGGATACCTATTTTTTTTTAAAAATAATAATATTAATAATCTCTAATGCAATAATTAAGAAAAGTCTCATAAAAAGCTACAAAAGTTAAATACATAAGGAAAAGTGTCCCATTTATGACATGTAATACTTTGGCCCATCACCACCTTGAGGAACGGTCCAATTAATATCTTGAGCAGGTATCTTAATATCACAGGTCTTGCAATGTATACAATTCTGAGAATTAATTTGGAACTTAACCCCAAGTGGTTCCGTACTATCTTCAACATATTCATACACTCCAGCAGGACAGAAACGTTGTTCAATACCCTTATATTTTGGCCAACTGATTTCTGCATGCTTACGTTCGTTTTGTTCAGGGATACGTAAATGACAAGGTTCATCTTCATCATGATATGTTCCGGTTCTAGAAACTGAAGTCAAGATATCAAAAGTAAGTTCATTATCAGGTTTAGGATATTCAATTGGTTTGAATTTATCTGCAGGTTGAGTAACTGAAGAATCTGTATGTTTATGTCTCAATGTCCAAGGTTCATGTCCTTGGGTAATCATGGTGGTTAATCCAGAATGTGATAATCCACCAAGGAATCCTAATGGAGTATTAAATGATGGACGACAATTACGCATGGCATAAAGCTCCTTGTATGCCCAAGATTTCTCAAATTCAGTAGCATATGATTTCAAATCAAGAGGTACGTACTCTTCAACAAAAGTATCTTCATCCACTGGTTCCCATTCATTCTCAATATATGTCTTAAATATCTCTTCAGCTGCGACTAAACCACTCTTCATGGCTGTATGGGTACCTTTAATTTTTGGAACATTCATAAACCCAGCCGAACAACCGACCAATAACCCACCTGGAAAGTGTAATTTAGGAATAGATTGATATCCACCTTCATTTAATGCTCTAGCGGCATATGAAACACATTTACCACCTCTTAAGACATCAGCATAATATGGATGGAGTTTCATCTTTTGAAATTCTTGATATGGGGATATATAAGGGTTGGCATAGTCTAATCCGATAACTAAACCGACAGCAACTAAACCATCACCGAAATGATATTGGAACCCTCCACCATATTCGGCAGTAGAGAGTGGATATCCCATAGTATGACCTACAAACCCAGGTTTGAAATTCTCTGGTTTAACTTCCCAAACTTCTTTAATCCCAAGACCATAAGTTTGAGGATCGGAGTTTTCACGAAGATTGAATTTGGAAACCGCTTGTTTGGTTAATGAACCATGACAACCCTCTGCCAAAACAGTCATACGGGCATGGAATTCCATACCACGTTCAAATGAAGCCTTGGGACTGCCATCTTTGGCAATTCCTAAATCATTAGTGGCTACACCTTTGATAGCATCTCCCGATTCATTATAAATGAGTTCACTCACGGAAATACCAGGATATAATTCCACACCCACTTCTTCAGCTTTTTCGGAAAGATATTTGACAACTTCATTCAAACTAACAACAAAGTTTTTATTTTTATTTGCCAATTGTGGAGGTTCAGGCATCCAAAAATTCCTACCACCTTTAGTCAAAAACCTCATACTATCTTTGGTAACCTTAGTTGCCATTTCCACAGGTAATGGAATCCCATGTTCTTTAGTTAATTCATCTTCGGGGAATAATTCAAGGAATGCACGAGGTTCAATAACTGCTCCACTTACTATATGACTCCCGAAATCACCGGCTTTTTCCAAAACAACGACACGTAATTCACCGCTTCCCTTTTCGTTATCGAGTTGTTTTAATTTAATGGCGGTAGTGAGCCCAGCTGGACCTCCTCCTACTATACATACATCAACAGTATCCACTGCTCGTTCTTCATTGAGAATAGCGAGTTGTTCTTCGGTTAATTGGTAACGAGTATATGAATTGTGGAAACCCCTTGTGAATGCGGAGGCAGTGGTAGTTAAAAGGGAAAGTCTGTGTGGTAAATGAGTAGATAATTGGGATTTGAGTAGTTGTTTGGTTGATCTAACCAAAACGGTTCTGCGAAGCATCTTTTCTGAATGGATCTAATAAATATGAATATGGATTGGTTAATGAACACTTCCTTAACCGAATAAAGTATGTATAGTTGAAAAAAAAGTGAGAATACCAAATCAGTTAATATTTCAATCAAGGAGCGTGGCAGATGCGATGGTATGATGGTTCATAGAAGCGAATCACAAAAAAAATTTAAAAAAGTTAATTGAGTCATGTTTATATGTTCCTGTATATATGCATCAACGAATCAAATTAATTAAATTAATCAGCTCAATAATTATCAAAACCATAAATTGATAAAGATGAGTGACGTAACCACATGGCAGGGGCCTGATCTCCTATGTTCCTTATAAACGTCACCTTTATGATGACCACATAATGTGAACATTCTTTGATACAGGGCAGCCAAACTAAACTGCCTGTCATACATCACGTAATAAGCCGCCTACTTGATCCTAAAAATTATTTTGACTCTGAAAAAAATTGTTGCAACAATTACGTAATCGAAATATTTAGCAATTAGAATTTATTTATTAAAAATGAAAATAAAAACCAAAAAAAATCCATATAAATCTATATAAATTAGAAAAAGATATCGAAATAATCCAAAATGATCTAAATACCCTTATAACCCTAAAAACAAACAGACTATCTCTTCCCCCCTCTCCTTTTTCTTTTAGACATCTTATGACACCCAAATAGTCAAATATCCACTATTTCCAGCGGTTTCAGCTTCCATCTCCTCAACAGCAACAGCCCAATCATCATTCGAATCCATAATCACAAAATCCCCATCTTCATCACGATACTTCAACTTCTTCACTAATATCTCCTCAGTTTCACCGGTAGCTATCAATTTATTCAAAATCGTGGAATATAATTCATTGAATCCTATCAGGGAATTTACACTCAAGCCATCAATTTCATTACCATTATAGATCAACTTCACATGGATATCGAAACTAGCAGCAACTGAATGGGCGGCATTGTTATTATTATTGAAATATGATGTGCCTGATGAACTTGATGAATGTCTTTCAACTGATTTTCTTCCCATTGATCTCATCATAGAATAAGTTGATGAGGAAGAATAATGCCTGCCTGGAGTATTCAAGTTTGAACCATTAGATGCTCGATTATTCTCATATGGAGAAACAGTGTAATCATAAATGGAATCCTCCGATGCTTGACTATCTCTTTGTCTACTTGAGTTCATAACTTCATGCATTTCACTAGTTTTGAGGTTACGTAAACATTGTTCCCATTGATTTCGAGATTCTTCGGTTGGATAACGGAGTGTAAATGATCCTGATTCTTTCTTGCCACTCCAGGAGATTATAAGCATATATCCTTGGTTAGGAGATGTCGTAATGTTATACACTTCAGAAATATATACTCTTCCTTTCAATTCCAATGGGGTATCGCGTGAATTTAATGTATCTAATAAATTCACCGTACTATTTGACATTGAATTGGTTCCTGTCAGCTTCTTTCTAGTAAATTTACTTCTCTTTTCCTTTTCTTTATCAACTACTTCAATAAAGAAAAATATAATCTTTTCAAATAAATATGCAACATATTCTCGTTCATTCTCAGCATCTCTTACTCCAACTTTACAGAAATATAATAATTCACCTTGATTATCCAAATCAAACCCACGCCAATTTTGAACCCGAGTACGTAACTTATCTAAATATTGCTTGTTTTCGGCTCGACGTTGAGCTTCATTCACTTGATTCGCAACATCCTTAATGGCATTTCTGGCCACCAATAATTCATTAAATGCAGTTTGCTCTTCAGGAGTAGAATGCTTAATTAACTCTTTTAAAAGTAAAGGATATTTACATAATCTTTGAATTGGTTTTAAAATATACGCTTGTAATTCGAACCCCGGATCTAATAATGAGGATGATTTTCTTAAATTTGATGCTTCTCGTTGAATCAAATCAATGGCGGTAAGTTGTCCTGTTGACCATAATTCATATGCTTTAAAAGGACCAATTGATGCATGAATAAACACAGATCCAATTCGTTGATATTTGATTGGAACATTTATATTACATTCCAACCCATTAAGGAAACGTCGTTGGAAATCAATTATTTCTGATAAATTAGGGAATAAAGTATTGATTTGCTCTGATGATAATTGTTCTGCATCTTGAAGTTCTTTACGATATTGAATCAATAATTCTAAATCTTGGACATATTTACGTTCAGTGTCAATAATTTCTTTAAACACTTTGGAACGTTCATCACTAGGCACAACTTCAATATTAACCAATCGCTCGTCTTCTTCTGGGGTAGTCGCATCGACTGATGAGCCATAATCATCTAACAATTTATTTATAACTTTAACAATCTTGATTAAATCTTCAGTATTGTCAGAAAAAACATTTGAAATAGTAAACATGAAATCGTCATTAAAATTAACATTAGTTTTAACCGCAATCAAAAAATCATACACTGATTTCTTGCAAATTCTTAAATCATCACTTGCAACCACAGGAACTGGTTGTTCAATTGTGATTAAATGATTAAATAATAAACATAACGGTGCTCCCATTTGGAATAATTTCCATAAATGCGTGGCTGGATCAACACTTACACTTGCAGGCAAGACCCCAGCCGTGAATGTGAAAACATGATTAGATGAATTCCCACTGCCTTTAGCTGCCGAACTGGCAGTATTTGATGAATGTATTGAAACTCTACTCGAATCTGACTCGACGGATCCTCCATTGCCATTGGCACCCATATTATACGAAGAGGGTGTTTCTTGGGAAAGTGCTAATGCTTGCTGTTCTGCAAATTCTTCTGCTTGTCTATAGGCTTCATTGAGATATGGTTCCATTCCTGGAATCTTTCTTAATTTTATTTTCAATAGTTCACATTGGTAGTATAAATGTTCTTTAGGTGACGATTGTTTATTAAAATTGATATTTAATGGTGTTGCACTCAGCGCTACTCTTGATATGGAAGCAGTGCTCGAGTTTGTGGTTGATGAAGTTGAAAATGATCGAAATGCTTCCATGGTAATATATGATTGTATTGGAGGTAGCTATCAGCACTAATAGATCAGAAGATATAAATGGTGGTACTATTGGGGGTGGTAGTAGCAGCAGCAGGAGTGATCGATGGTAGTGGTGGTAACTATTAAAAGCGGTAGCAATAGTAGTAACAGCAATTAATCTTATAATAGATACAAAAAAAAAATTGAATGAAGAATGTAAGGGAATGTAAGTAGCTTGGTTGAAGTTTAAATGGTGGTTGATTTTTGTTGTTGGTTGTAAAATTGTTGTTTATAATATTTTTTTTTTTTGTGGTTGTTAAAAAAAAAAAAAAAAAATTGGTAGTGTAATTACCGATTATCGTACACAAAATTGATTAAAAAATTATTAGAACAAACGAAATTAGACGAAACAAAAAAATTTGATTTAATCACGTGCTGCCCCTATTGTTATTTTTGTACCGATAGGTTCCCCTGAAACTCACCATTGTCTTATTATACTCGTACTACTTCATGAACTACTTCCAGGTTACCACATTGTACCGCCATGGCAATTACTACTTATTAGAATCATATCATATTCTATTAAACTATTTAAATTGTCAATTTATTATACTTTGTTCTTTACGAATTGTTCATGCTTCGTTATGTAAGAACCCCTCTATTTGGTAAAGTACACGACTTTCTACTATCAACTCAACTCCAACTGAGTGGACTAATAATTATCCGGCATTCTCCACAACTTCACCATCTATAGGGTCACCTCTTTATCAATGAACTGAAAATTTCTGAGTACTTAAACTGAGCACGACGGCTGCATCGACATTTTTGATTATGCCTAATACCCAATCGACTCTTTTATGCTGAAAGTCTTCTTAATCATCATACCGTCTATCGCGTCTACCTCTAGGCCCATCGACCCCCCCACCAGTCCCCCCATAGCCACGAGAATCTACTGCTTTCTTCATGAGAGTTATTGAAGTCCCGTTTTCACTAGTATGTAGAAAACTTGTCTTGGTTGGAAACCATACTGCTTTTGAGAAAGTAACTTGACCCGACATACTATTTGGGATTTCAAACACTTTCTCTCCTGATTCAGTATCAAATACAATTGCATTAGATCCAGTATCGAAGTTTGCAATAAAATAAGTTCCATCTCTACTGCAATCTACATGTGATACCGATTCATCTATCTCAGTAATGACTTTCGAATTGTACATTGTTGAACAATCCCAACAACTAACCACACCTTCACTCGACCCTACTACAAAGAAATTACCTCGTGGCAGGATCGATATACTCGTAGCTGAAGACCTATGCCCTTTCAAAGTAGTTCGTAACTTCAATTCGCCATTATTTAACTCATATATAGGTACTGCTCCATCATGTAAAGCACATACGAAAAATTTATGAGCATAATGAAACCATTGAAGATCATAAATATGTTCATGTAACTTCAACTCAGTGATTAATTTATATCCATTGGTATCAAATACTAAAATCGTAGAATCACGATCCACAGCTACCATTATTTCTCCATCAGCACTATAACGAACTAATATCAAAGAATTCTTTTCCGTTTTAATCGTTCTTTCTAATGTCCCACTATGTCCTCTCCAAATCTTTATACAATCGTCACGACCAACCGTTGCAAACGAATATTCTGTTCTTGGATCCCACGATACACATTCAACCGACTTAACATGCGCGTCTTCAATAATTATTGGTTCCAACAATCTATCACGAGCACATTTCCAAATACGTATTGATCTATCGGTCCTTGTCACCACAAGTTTTGTTCCACATTGATTGATGGACATGGTGATGATTTCGGTGGATGTTGAGGTATTGCCTAATATTGGGTTGTCTCGGAAGACTACGGGCTGGAGATGATCAAAGAACTTTCGATTAGTGCTAGCATTGTTGGGTGCCATTGTATATTTGTTATTGGCTGTCAAAAAAAACTCCGTTACGAAATATACAAACCAAGAGAATCCGGAATTATCAATTTATATTATTGAAAATATTTTCCCGTATTATTATTATTTCAGTGTGGGTTTGGTTAGAACAGCGCACCAACAGAAAAAAAAAACTTCGTAGTAAATTTGTTCGACAGTGAATTAAATATTGTCGAGTTACCCTGAGAGAATCACTTTACCAAGACAAACATAAACAGATAGAAAGACAATGTCAGCAAGACCAAAATTACTCTCGCTTGATGCATTTGCCAAAACGGTAGAAGATGCACGTATAAAGACTGCATCAGGAGGTATTATCACCCTTTTATGTATCGTGATTGCATTATTTCTTATAAGAAATGAATACACTGATTATACAACATTAATAACCCGACCTGAATTAGTTGTTGATAGGGACATTAATAAACAATTAGATATTAATTTAGATATTTCATTTCTCAATTTACCTTGTCAAGCTGTTAGTATTGACATTTTAGATGAAACTGGTGATATGCAATTAGATATTATTCATTCTGGATTTCAAAAAATAAGATTAATTAAAGAAAATGGTGCCATAATCGATGAAAGATTGGATGAGATACCCGAGATTAACAGTAAGGTTCCGTTAAGTGAAGCTGCCAAGGGATTACAAGAAGGTCAAGATCCAAAAACTTGTGGATCATGTTATGGTGCCCTTCCACAAGATAAACACCAATATTGTTGTAATAATTGTGAAACTGTTCGTCGTGCATATGCCGAACGTTCCTGGTCCTTCTTTGATGGTGAAAACATCGAACAATGTGAAAAGGAAGGATATGTGAAGAAGATCAGAGATAGAGTGGCCAAGAATGAAGGTTGTAGAATTAAAGGGACAGCAAAAATCAGTCGTGTATCAGGATCAATGGAGTTTGCTCCAGGGTCATTATTCACTAGTGATGGAAGACATGCTCATGATCTCTCTCTTTATGCCAAATATGGTGATAAATTAAACTTTGACCATATTATCAATCATTTATCTTTTGGAACAAACGGTCAATCCACATTGTCAACTACTACCACTCATCCACTTGACGGACATCAATTCTTGCTTCACCAAAAAGCACATCTTGCATCTTATTACTTAAAAGTAGTCGCTACTCGTTTTGAATCAATCACTAAGGAATCAATCGACACAAATCAATTCAGTGTAATCACTCATGATAGACCATTAATCGGAGGTAAGGACGAAGATCATCAGCATACTATGCATGGTAGAGGTGGTGTTCCTGGAGTTGAATTCCACTTCGATATAAGTCCATTAAAGATTATTAATCGCGAGCAATATGCTAAATCATGGAGTGGGTTCGTCTTAGGATGTGTCAGTTCAATCGCTGGGGTATTAATGGTGGGGACTTTGATTGATAGAACTGTTTTTGCTGCTCAAAATGCTATCAAGGGGAAGAAGGATATGTAATTCTGGAGAATCTGTATTCCAGCCTGAGAAAGTCTATGATCTTGTAGATCTTTTGTAGTATTTATAGTTCTTGTAAGTTTAGTATTGTCAAAAATAATAAAAGTCTGTGATATAGTGTTAATCTAGATCGAATATATTTACATGTACCTTGTGAAGTCCTTTTTCATTATGTATTTAATTAGTGATATTTACAGAAAGGGGTTACAAAAGGAGCTCTATACTAGTTTTATATATACATGACGATTCTTTTAGATATCACTTAATAAATGTTCAATTTCTTGATAATATTCCTTTGGTAAAGTATCCTTTAATTCTTCTTTGGTCAACCACTTGAAATCCAATGAGCTATCTTGTGGAACGAATGATCCAGATAATATATGTGATTTAATAAAGAATTCTTTCTTGTTTTCCTTAGTATTGTTTAATAAATGACATGGAGTTCTTGAAACATTGAAATAATTGATTTCAGTTCCACCAATCTTATCTAATCCATTCTTGGCAATTTCATGTAATCCAAGTAAACTGGAGCCTTCTTCAACAGGTTCTTCAGCAAAAGATGGAAACTTCCATTCATCACCATTTTTTGCTACTAAATATAAAGTACGACTCAATTGTCTTTCCAAACTTTTCACATCATTACTACGATCAGCTTCAGTGACTCTATCATTTGGGACAATTTTTCTAGACAAATCAGACATACTCATCTTTCCATCCTTTTCAGGATCGAAATCGACATCCCCCTCTTCTTTATAAGTTTTTGGTACTTTCAATACTTCTTTAAATCTTCTATCTCTTCCTTGTCTAATTTCTGGTCTACCAGTTGGATATTGAACATTGGTAGCATTAGGAATAGGACCAACATTTAATTCACGGAACTTTTGAAAGGCCAAAGTACCACTCTTGAAATAGAACCAACGCGGAAAGGTCCACATTAATCTTCTCCATACTTCGGTTTGATATTTGTAGAATTGTTTTTCAAATGATGATATTTCTTGAGTAACTATGGGATTTCTTGATAATAATAATGTCAGGGAAATAAGAGGTTGTGATTGCTGTGTTGAGTAAGCCCTTATAATAGCCTTGGATGCACTATTTACCCCTCTCATCGTTATGTATCTAATTGGATTCAACTGTTAAAGCTATTATGATGGATGATTGATTGTAGAATTTTTTTATTTGACAAATTTTTCAGTTGTCAGCGTAAATTATGGAATACATGGGTAAAGTACAGCACTAAAAAGTTAAACCCCAATCCGGGTAACACACTAAAAAATCGCATCATTTTTTGAAATTTGTAGACACACCACAAATTAAAGGAGAAAAAAACTTCTTTGACTTTTGTTGTAACTTGTTTCTTTCTTGCCCCCCTTTCCTCTACAAAGAAAGTAATCAAAGAAGCTAACTATTGCCATCATTACTACTACTTTCACTACCATTAGGTAAATTACTAAACATAGCAAATAGGAAAATAGTAACCATTTTAGATATATATTTCTACAAAACATTAGTCATTCTACTTTAAAAAAAATAGCCTTAGTAGTTTTCTTTTATAAAAATTGCTTCGAAATTATCAAGGAAAGTATTAAATCAGAAAGTTTATAAGTCATAAAAAAATCAATCGTGTCTGTGTGCTTAGAGAATCATTTCCCTCCCAAGTAAAAGAAAAGTTTGTTGTATTTAGAGTCGTAAAGTCATTCTTCTTATTTCAAAGTCATAGAGTCTAACGGAATACTCATCCATACTAAAAAAAAACACAAGTAATAAGTTCAATTAAAATTAAAATAGTGTATACCAAAAAGGTTTTGTATCTTAATTAGTGTATTTTTTGATTCTTTGTAAAACAGAAAAAACCAAAAAGTTGAAACCATGTCATTAGAAGAATTTGAAACGATATTGAAAGAATTACCATCTTTAAAAGCTCCAGGAGTTTCTGGATCTCGTATTAAAAGATTAACAGAAATCGCCTTTCAACAAGTTGGTCAGGAATCTAAATTAATTACAACTTTATATTCTAATTGTAAGGCAGTACCATCTACTCATAAATTAGGTACTTTATATGTGGTTGATTCTATTGTAAGAGGCTTTACTGAAGAAGCTAAAAAGGAAAATCAAGAAATTAACTCGCTGGCTCCTGATGGAACTTATGCTTCAGCAGTTTATAAAATTACTGAATTAATTGAATCCTTAATTGATGATGCGTTGGAATTACAAATTAGTGCTTCTCAAAGAATTAAAATTAGTAAATTGATTGACATTTGGGAAAGAGCAGAAACATTTCCACTAGAAATCATTAATAACATTAGAAATAAGCATTTTGTTTCAACTACTCCTCCAGGTTCTCCTCCAAGAACAAAAGTTGAACCAGTTAAGCCAGTTGAAGAAAAATCAACCAATGATTCAAATAGTATTTTATCGGCTCTCGCTTCTTTAGCTAAATCTACTGGTTCTGATTCAAACACCCCAACATCTCAACCAGTTAATCCAGTGTCAAGTAATGATGCTAGTAATATCTTGTCACAATTGTCCGCACTTAGTGGGGCTACTGCAACTGCAACTAGCTCTATCAGTCCTCCACCTTCTTCTGGTTCATTTTCGAATTTACCCCCAAGTCTTCCAAAACCACCGCAGTTCACTCAACAACAGCAAGAACAACAACAACAACAACCACCCGCAGCCAATGAGCAAGTGATTTTTAATATGTTGCAGCAAATGCAAAACAGTGCAACGGGTAGCCCTACTGCGGCTCCCGCACAACTGTTCGCCCCACAGCCGGCTATAAACGATTATGGAACTGGAAGACGTGGTCGCCGTGATCAGAATGATAATGGATATGGCAGAAGAAATAGATCAAGATCACCAAATCGCGGTGGTGTTCCTCCTAATCAATATATTAGATCCAGATCACCTCCACGCGGTCACAACCAACCATACAACCAAAGCTTACCTCCAAACCCACTGAGAGTTCAACACCACCAACAACAACTGCAATACCAACCCCCGGTCCAGCGTCAACAACAACAACAGCAACAGGCCCCATCACATCAACAACATCAGCAACCAGCGCATGTTCCTCCACATGCCATGGGCGGTGAAATGAACATGCCAGGTACTCCACACTACCGTCCAAGAAACGTCGGATTTGATCCTTCTACTCCGCAAGGGTCAATTAAAGTTTTATCTAGAACGTTGTTTATTGGAGGTGTTCCAAGAAACATGGATGAAAGAGCTTTAGCTACAGTGTTACGTCCATTTGCAGAAGTTCAATCGGTTATATTAAATAGTGAACGTAAACATGCTTTCATTAAGGTTTATTCCCGTAGAGAGGCAGAACAGGTTATCACTTCGTTCAACAAAGACAATGCGTTACCTTTACGTACTCGTTGGGGTGTTGGTTTTGGTCCTCGTGATTGTTGTAATTATCAGCATGGAATTTCCATCATCCCAATCCAAAGACTTACTGAAGCAGATAAAGCATGGATCGTTAATGCTCAATGGGGTGGTACTGGTGGACAACCAATGCTGAGTGGAATGGTTATCGATGAACCAGATATTGAAATTGGTTCGGGAGTAAGTAGCAAGGCTATGTCTAGAAAAATGCCAACCAATTCAGCAAGAAATGGACCTAAATCCAACAGACCAGGTGAGGCTGCTGATGAATATGTTAAGACTACATTGATTCTGCCACTGGGTATGAGTCACGGGTCCATGCCTAATTTTAAGACATTCCTGAATTCATCTGTGAACCCATTGCAAGGATTATTTGGAAACGCGTCTCCTCAGGCACAAAATCAACAACCAAATATTCCTTTCCAAAACCAACCAGACGCTGGTGGACCCCCAACAGGTTTACCAAATGTCCCTCCTTCTGGGTTTAATGATTTTTTGAGCAATATGCAACAACAGCAACCAGGTGGTGCAGGACAAGGTTCTCCACAAGCTGGAAATCCAAATCTTGCAGCTTTGGCACAATTACTTCAACAACAACAGCAACAACAACAACCACGTTGATACGTTTCATTTTAAGTATATATATATATATCAGTTTATGTAGATTTGTAATTACATGTTTAATTTTAGTATACTTACGTCTCTTGAGTTTGATATCTTCATATAAGTTGATCGATTGCTCTTGAGGCACTTTTCTCTGCCATCAGATCAAAGAAAATTAAAATCAAAACAAATAATTTTTTATATTTTTTGAGCCCAACTACAAACATCAACGACGAACCACTAACCATGGATCTCTCTAATAAACCTTATGGGAGTCTTACTCGAACTCGTAAACTGCAGAATTCTGCACCAACAATACCAGTATTAAGTTCACCACCCAATAAACTGGATAGTGAAGTTATCGTGGACAGCATGTTTACACCAGAGAAAAAAAAGTCCCCCAAAAAACGACCTAGAACATATGGGAAAGGAAAGCCATATATATATCCAGGTCCAAATTCAACAGCCGCGTCGTCATCTGACTCTGACCCATTAGACACTAATGCTGTCAAGGCTTCTCGAAGATTACAAAATGTGATTGAGATCTCCGATGATGAATTTGAGATTATCGATGTCAAGAAAATAAAGGGAAACATTGATGTTGGAAGCAAGTTTGCACACATTCGGAAGAATATTGATGATTCCCAACTGGCCAAGAGGAAGGAAATGGAAGAAGAATTCAAGCGCGCTTTGCCCGATTTGGATGCATTTGAAGGAGGTCTTGCTTCAGAAATAGATTCCAAAAACATTCTTCATTCATTAGAATTGCAAAATGAGAAAAAGGTCGAACCAACCAAGAAAAAATTCCAGAGCTATCATATTCCAGAGACTATAACTTCCCAAAAGGAATTATTAGGGAGAGCAGAGACGTATTTTCCAATAATCCCCAAGTTGGTCGACGGGGAGTTGAAGGTATCCTCATATTACCAACAAGCCAGGATTCAACGTAAAAAATCGCAACGTGACGTTATGGGAGCTGATGAAAATTGGAGTATCGACTGGGAACAGTATTTCGCAGGATATTATGGATTCAAACGTCAATCAATAATCGGGGGTCAAATAGCCAAGAAGTTCCGCAACAGATTATTAAATTGTGATAGTGACACTGTCGCGTATTGGACGGTTTCTAAATTTTGCACTTATGTTTTGGCGAATGAAATCATTATTAGAATGGTTATGGATGATAAAAGAGTGCCAAATAAGCACTACACTGTGCAGGAGGAAAGGGAGCTTAGACAGGCGGCCGAGAGGACCATGCGAGAGACCGTAGAGTATGGAACAATTGTTGCTGATTCCATTGAAGTTAAGAACGATCTTGACTTTCCCGAGGACAAGAAGAAAGTAAAGACAGATAAGAAAGAAAAGAAGAAAGTACGAACGGAAGTAGACAAGCAAGTAGGCAAGAAAGCAGGCAAGAAAATTGAGAAGGATCTGTCAAAGAAAAGAACCCATACTGACGTCATTAGTATCGATAGTGATGATGATGTCCAAGATGGGATCATGGATCTAATATATAATATCAAAAGCCAGAAGTAGATTTGCATAGTTGTAAATAGGCCATCTCTTAACAAATAAACATTAGCATCGGAAAAATATTCACCGCCCCCACCAAAAATCTTCAGATTGAAAATTTTAAAATTCGCAGATTGAGCATCATCATGCAAAAGGGAAGGTCAATTACTTCTGGGAATCCTTAAGATTACATCTGCGTCCTTTTATATTCCCACAATTACTTTGATTCACTTAAGTAAATTTAAGTCGGCTATCCAACCGACATTTAAATTCATACAAACCTCATTTTTCCATTCCACAACTAGAATGTACACCGACGTTGTGTTTGCCAAAGATATATCGGCTACAGCAATTACTGGTAAAGATGCTTGGAACAGACCAACTCCACAGCCAATCACAATTTCAGTCGAGTTACGTACTGATTTCCACCAGGCTTCAATTACCGATAATTTGAAATATTCATTGAATTATGCAGTGATAACCAGAAACATCACTGAATTTATGAAGGCTAACGAACATCGTAATTTCAAATCTTTGGGGAGCATCGCTGAAGCAGTTGGCGAAATTTCATTGGATGAAAGGAAAGGCGGTGGCCATTCAGTTGAGGTGTTTGTTAAGAGTAATAAATCTGAAATTAGGGCAGATAGTGTTGAATACAGCTTGCAAAGGAATACTTTGGGATGCCCAAATAAGTTAGATATCTTTAAAGTTAATAAATTGAGATTATTGACAATTATTGGTGTTTTCACGTTTGAAAGGTTGCAAAAGCAAATCGTTGATATTGATTTAGAGTTCCAAATTAATGATAACTCCAATTTATTCTTTCATAAAATCATAAATGATATTGTTACCTATGTTGAAGCATCTAATTTCAAAACCGTGGAAGCATTAGTGTCCAAAATTGGCCAATTGACATTTCAAAAGTATGATAAGGGTATTGAATCTATTAAAGCAACGGTTACAAAGCCGAATGCATTTAGTCATATCGAAGGAGTTGGTGTTTCTTCATACATGACGGCTACCAGTTTCAAGGATGCAAAGCCATTGACGTTTACCGACCATAGCACCAATTCATCGTTTAACATGCCAGTGGAAGATTTATCTCCAACGAATTATGAAGGTCCTCACACAGCATTTATAGCATTTGGATCAAATACAGGTAATCAGGTGGAGAATATCCAACGAGCACTTGACCTATTAGAATCATACGACATCAAGATCGAATCAACATCTTCTTTATATATTTCCAAACCAATGTACTACCTTGATCAAGCAGATTTCTATAATGGAGTGATCAAAGTCACTTTTCAAGATATCTCACCTAAGGAATTACTTTTCAAATTAAAAGAAATCGAATACCATCATATTAAAAGAGTGAAAGATTTCGACAATGGACCTAGATCAATTGATTTGGATATTATTTTATACGATGACATTGAAATGAATGAACCAGATTTGGTTATTCCCCATAAAGCATTATTAGAACGTACTTTTGTTTTGCAACCATTATGTGAATTATTACCACCTGATCAAAATCATCCAATCAGTGCTGAACCATTCCATAATCATTTACAACAACTTCTTGCCAATTCCCCTGATTCAAATTTACAAGAATCGTCACAATTATTGCAAATAATCCCAGTGCCTAGAATTAAAGATTCTGAAAATTTACTTAAATTTGATCAAGTCACTAATAAACACCAAACATTAATCATGGGTATTTTAAACATGACCCCTGATTCATTCAGCGATGCTGGGAAATATTTTAATCAATCAGTAGATGCAACTTTAACCAATGCCGAACAACTTGCTGAAGAAGGTGCACATATTATCGATATTGGTGGTGTGTCAACTCGTCCAGGTAGTGTAGAACCCACAGAAGAAGAAGAAATTCGTCGAGTTTTACACATCACAAAAGCAATTCGTGCCAGTTCTAATCCCAAACTTGCAAATATCTTAATATCTATTGATACATATAGATCCAACGTAGCTGAAAAATGTCTTGAAGCAGGAGCTGATATCATCAATGATATCTCAATGGGGAAATTTGATGAAAGGATTTTTGAAGTGGTCGCAAAATATGGATGTCCTTATATCATGAACCACACTCGTGGAACACCTCAAACCATGTCAAAATTGACTAAATATGAATCCAATACAAATGACGATATTATCGAATTTGTGATTGATCCAATTGCAGGACATCAGGAATTGAGCTTGAAGCCAGAAGTTAGAAATTTGTTGAATGGAGTTTCTCGTGAGTTATCCATGCAAATGTTTAAAGCTTTTGCAAAGGGTGTTAGAAAATGGCAGATTATTGTTGACCCTGGTGTTGGGTTTGCTAAAGATGTCAAACAAAATTTGGCATTGATTCGCCATGCGTCATTCTTTAAGAAATATTCCGTTCAGATAAATGAAAGAATCAGTGATACTTTTGTCAAGCATAAATATTTGAGTTTTAATGGAATGTCGGTATTAGTGGGCACTTCAAGAAAGAGATTCTTGGGGACTATCACTGGGAAAGAAATACCCAATGAAAGAGTTTTTAGTACAGGTGCAACTGTATCAACATGCATTGAACAAAACACTGATATTGTTAGAGTCCATGATGTGAAAGAAATGAAGGATGTGGTTGTAACCAGTGATGCCCTTTATCGAGATATTATTAACTCCTAGTTAATAAGAATATCATTATATTCTGTGTATTAATATTTATTTTATATTTACTATCATAAAAGATATGCAAGTAGCAAACGACGCATAGTCAGAACCGTTTTTTTATCTCACAAACCGACTGTCATTTATTTATATACATCCAATAATTAAAGAATTCTATGGTTTCGAGTTCCTTTTAGAAAATCTAATTTTCATTTTATTGCTAATACTCCTATTCCAAACCACACCGCCCATAATTGGTCTATGAAAACCGTATACATCATGTATGACGTCCTCATCAGTATTCCAACCTCCATCCGAGGAATTCATTAAACTATTCCTCTCTTCCTCAGTCATTGACGTAGACATTATTCGCTTATTCTTGAGTTTTTCTCGCTGCTTGGAAACGAATTCTCGACAATTATTAATTTCATCTTGTGAAAGGGATCCAAATCCATATCCTCCAATTTTCTTAAAGCAAAGATCAACCAACCCGTTTATATCTACTAGCTTCTTAGGAAAGTTTTGCAAGAATTGAAATAATTCGATTTGTTCAGTTTCAGCGCCACCAGAGTTTTGTTTGGTTTCTTGAAAGTCAGGACTATCGAGACATAATTTTAGAATTGTTAATGAGAATCTAAATATCGTTTTGGATCCTTCGCACCATAAGATATCCCAGACTCGTAATGTAGATTCAGTGGGTAAGATTCCGACAAACAATGACATGAACCACGACGAAGTTACTAGAGTAACTGGTGGCAATCTGGTTAAGATCTTATCTTTAGACAATTTCTCTCCTTCAAAGTTCTTACCTAAAATTGACCACAATTGAGGAATATACTCCTTGACGCATAACATCAACACCCCTTGATCTGTATGTACACCTTCAAGATTTTGGGAGTGAACTTTGGGGATAATACGTTCTGTTAGGATAACTAACATCCAGAATGCTTTTTCTTCAGTCATGAATAATAGCAAGAGCCCAGCTAAGAAATTCAACGATTGACAATACCCTATTTGGGGTTGATAATATGAAAATGCAACTAGGACTCGACGTAAAGATTTAATTAGTTGAGTTTCCTCTCTAGACTCAAGTGGCATGTCACTTGTAGATCCATCTGGGAGTATTCCGGAATTAAAATAAATATTGTCAGGGAATGTACGGTTTAAATCTCGTTCAATAACTTCAGTATTTTTATTGCTTATATTTCTAGTATCTTCCACAATTTTATTATAAACCCCGATATTTTTGTTTAATTTGTCATACCCGCCCGCATAAAAGAACCAAGCATTACCCCTCCATTCAGGTGGTATACCTCTCCTTATCATCTTTTTTACTTTATCTGACTTTGGTGGGAATCTTGTAGGTATTGGATCATGCTTCAGGAGCTGCAATCCATGATTTTTCATTAATAACTCCCATTTCTTTTTATGACGATGGCTGTATTCCGAATAGTCTTTAAACCATTCATTATAAGTTTCTAGATCGATTCCATTGACATTCGAAGACTTCTTGAAACCATATCTATCAAATTGTGAATTTAATACTTTTGATTCATTATTGGGGGTTGTTTTCATGACGTAATTCTCTCTTATTTCTATATCGGGTATCTTATATGTCAGTTGTGTTACAAGGGTATTGTGGTCTTGGGAATGATCTCTAAAGTCAAGATCGTCGAAACTCTTCATATGAGTTGACACCGCGGGATCATGCAAATCTTCGGATGCGGTACTTTCATCGTCTCCTTGAACCGGGGATTCTAACCCATATATGTCTAACAATGAATAATTATGGGAATAAGCTGACCCAGTTCTTTCGTGGCCAGGCTTGTGTGCTGTAGGTCCCTTGCTTAATTCTGTTGGATTAAGTAATGATGGCCCGTGTTGTGGCTCATTGTCAGGGTAGTTGGACATTCTACTATGTGTGGCTGCGCCTTTGCTTCTTCTTCTTTTTGATATTCTATTATTGAATTAGTAGTTGAACTCTGTGATCTCATTAAACCCTTGGGAATGGAATAACTTGCAAAGTCAAAAACACCTCTTCTAAAACAAAGATCTCTAATCGTAATTAATTAATTTGATAGGGTCTAGTTGTTTCTTTGGAATGTAAATAAGTACAAGATCCGCCCATCACAGTTCCTTCCCAATGCGGCAATTTGTAGTAAAAAATGTCGGTTGCTGTTTCACATTTGAAATATACAATGTCGTAATGTCGTCTATACTCATTTACACGACCTCTTATATATTATTTTTTTTTGGAGTCCAAGAAATAAATTGAATGACTTCCAATATATATTTCTTGGTATCACCAAATTCAAAGGAAGACTTAAGGAGGTTACATTTTATAAATGAATAATAATAAACTAATACGATAAAACCAATTAGAAAATATATTGTCTGTGTATTTCTCTAGTATACAAATTTTAGTTGCAAAAGCGATGTACTGGAGAAGATCTGGCTATAAAGCCAAAGTATATCCATCATGTGCCCCAATCGACTTACCACAAGGTTTATTAATTAGTCATGATTACCAGAAATCAGTTGAATATATCCGAGAAGGAACATATCAGCAAATGTGCTATGAAGGTACTATGCCTATGTTAAATACAAATGTTGGTTTAATTTTACAAAAGTTTACAGCCCCTTTACCAATAGTAGCAGAATCTTGGATAGAATTTACTCAACATAGTTTGAGAGGTTCATTTTCATATAGTGTTGTAGCTATTGTCTACAGTATTTCTGTGCTGGCGGTTATTATCATTTTCCTAACAATTTTCGTTTTGACAAACTATACCATCAAGCCCTCAGCCTTATTAAAACTATCAACATGCTTATCATCAATTTATATTCTCGTGGTTGTTATTAAATCGATTTTAATCCTACACGGACAACAGATACATGGATACCTTAGTGGGACCGACTTATTATACATGCTAAATACCAATCTAGCGATTAACAGTTTGGATTTAATACTTGTCTTCTTACTTCAAATAAATCAGGTGCAGGTCATCATGAGAATATTCCTGAGGCAGAAAGATAAACGCTTAACTTTCTTTGTGGGGATTATTGCTTCTTTCACGTCACAAGCAATATGGGGTGTTTCCCAATTTCATACGTTTTCTGAAGACAACGAAGCAGGTGATATCTTGCCTGCATTCATATATCTAGTAAGAATTGCCATGGGGTTGTGTTATGCTGCTATCCTTACTGTTTATTTCCTAAGCAAAATCCAGTACATTTTAGCAAATAGGCAGATTTGGTTATTATCCTTATTAACAGTTATATTGATATACAGTCCGGTTGCATTTTTTGTTGCTGACGTCGCAAATGCATTCATATTTGAATTGTCCGATGTTTTCTCAGTGGTAACGTACGTCATTTGTGTGGTTATCCCATGGGAATGGTGTAATAAGTTTAACATAATTATGAAAACTAGGGAAAAGGAAGGTGTATTGGGGAGAAGATTTTATGAAGATGAAATATATGAACTAGATCGATTCGAATTGTTTGTAGAAGAGTTAGTCCCTGACGAAAAGAACGATAATCATCCTAGTAATGAAGGCGATCAGAATAACCTGAACACCACTAACAACGGCGGAAATGCTGGCTGGGGCAAGGATGTAACAACTAACATTGTTAAAAACCTGCCTACGAATGAAAACGATTTAGACAGAATAGAAACGAATAAAGCAGCAATAATACTCCAGGCACTTCAAAGGTCCAAAGCAGCGTTCTTAAATTTAACCGATAATATTATTGCTGCTGGATTTGCTATCCCCAGATCAGTTAGTGCATCCACACAATCCATCGCGGCTAGAATAAGAGAGAGCCAAATGACAGAGATCATGCCACATATTAGTAATGCCAGATTTGAAAGATTGCAATCTAATGTGTGTGATTCGAGAAATACCAATGTTGAGACTGCCACGGCCGGCGGATCATCATCTGATGGAGCTGTGACGTTGCTGAATAATGGTAGAAGCAGAAGGAATGTTTATGTGTATTCTAGGAAAGAGGTGGTCATTGACGTTCCTGACGAATAGATATTGTATGTATTAGTAATATAAGTATAAATATTTACAAGCATTTACAGATTGTGTTCAGTTGACTTTTCTCCTTCAGAATTCTGTTGAGCAATCTTTTCGTGTCCTCTTTTGGCAATTTCAAGACACTTCTCTTCATAACCAGGAATATGCACATACTCGACCCCATGGTCCTTTAATTTTTTGTAAGAAGTATTATTCTTTACAAACACATCTGGTTCCAATACCCCTACAAAACATGTCTTAATCCCAGTTTCCAAGATCCTATCAACACATGGTAGATTCCCACTCAATCTCAAAGAACAAGGTTCCATAGTAGTATAAATCTCCGTTCCCTTTGGAACTTCTCTCTTCCCTGTCTTCTCAAAATATTTCTCCAAAGCACACTGTTCAGCATGTGTATTACCTTCCAACTCCCTCGAATGTCCAGTCGAAATAATTTCCCCCTGTGAAACCAACACCGCGCCTACATTGAACTGAGTTTGAGTTTCACCGCACTTTTCAGCCTCCTCAATCGCTCTTTCCATAAATGGTCTCAGCGACGCCAAGGCCCATTCGGGATATTCTGTTTTATACGACCAACTCCCATCACTTGCTTCATATCTATATGCATGCAACCAAAGATCTAAATCATTAGGTCCCGGGTCCGAATAAATCGGTAATCCCGAAATTGGGCATATTTCATCAGTCATGATCTCCCCATCTTCTTGTGGATGAGCCCAGCTTGAGGATGCCTTATCTTTTCCTATCCGATCGAGATTGTGCATGACGGTGTCAAAGTCTGCTTCGGCATTTTTGCCAAGATTGGGTCCCCAGACAAATTCGTTGGAGTAGATTGGATCGTTGGCTATGGGATAGCCAATGTACTGGAGATGAACCCTGATTTGATGGGTTCGACCAGTGAGTGGATGACACTTGACAATCGATGTGTTGGAGATAGGGTCGTAGGAAACACGTCTGAATTCGGTGCTTGATTCTTTCCCGGTAGGTGTTTCGTCAACCACGTTCAATCCAAGTTTTTTGGAAAGTGTGTTCAAGGGTTTATCGACTGTGATTGGATCAAGGGGGAATTCACCAATTACCTTTGCGATGTACTCTTTATAAACATTACGTTCTCGGATTTTCTGAACGATTTTATCTGCCCCCTTGGAAGTTTTACCTAAGAACATGAGACCTGATGTTAATCTATCCAATCTATTACATGGGTGCACGACTTTTCCAAATTCATGTTGGAAAATTTTGGTGATTGTGTTGTATCTATATCTTCCGGTTGGATGCACTGGTATACCACTAGGTTTATCGATCGCAACAATCTCATCATCCTCATAAACAATTTTAATCTCACGCGAGGTTACTGGAGGTTCTCTTTTATAACTTCTATGACTGATCAAATCCCCATTACGAACTATTGAGTCAAGATTTGCTGGCTTTTTATTGAGTGTGACCTGCCCTTCTTCAATTGCTTTCTTATACAGTTCAGGGGACCTATCCCGAAATTCACTCACGAAAATATCTAACAAATTCCGATCTCTCCAACGTAACTTACAATAAGTTAAATATGTGAAATAATAAGGATTTACACGACGTAATCTACCGTCGATGACATAACTGGCCCCTTCGGCCTCCTCTTCTTCTATTGTTTTACCTTGCTTCATAGTCTTGTCTGCAGCAAGTTCTCCCCCGAGCTGGTCGTATGCGGTGAGTCTGGATTTATCAACGTTTTGAATCTTCATACGGAAACCTTGAGCATCCCGAAGTTTTGGAGTACTTCTATTGTTAGATGAAGGTGTTGGAGACAAGGACGTAGATGCTGTTCGCTTGATACCTTTGGAGAGTTCCTCGCTGGACATCCTGAATAGTCGTGTCGCTGAACGTTTGATGGTCATCTAAAGATGGTATGAGTTCGTAATGAACAAGAGATGATGCAGAGTGAAAAAATAGACTGACTGGGAAATGAATTATTTTGGTAGCGCGTCTTATATAATTTTAAACTTCTATTTGATGCTACATAAAATCAGGATGACACTATAAAAGACCTTGTCGTTTCAAATCTAGATAATCCTTCTCGCTCATAACATTACCCTCATCATCCTCTACTTCCACTGCATTCTCCAATTCACCATCCCGACTCCTCTTTTCTTTCTTAAACCTCATCCACAACTCCTTAGCCTCATCGATTGAAACTATATTTTTAAACAACTTAATATACTCTTCCTCAACACCTAAACATTTCAATCCATACTGATGTTTGACACCATTGAAATGCTTGAAGAAAGGTTGTTTTCCTTTATATGTCACATTCCCACAGATTTCACAATTATAGGTCTTGTGAAGTCCTTGGAGTTTATATAACCAGAACGGAATTGGTGTCCCATCAGGTCCCAATGGTAAATTCTTAAACCCTTCGTATCCCTCGTCTTCATCTGAGTTGTTTTGGTCTGATAAGTCCGAGTTCTCACTTATACACGTATAATCTGATTCGATTTCTTCATTTTCTTTACGGTCCATTATTAGTTCTCTTTCTGAACTATTTGCAAGTTTTTCTTCATGTACTCTGGTTCTTTCTAGTTCCGGTTGGAGTATGAATACTAATTTAGAGATTACAAATTCGTCCCATGCAGGTGACAAGTGGTCGTGTGTTTGACTTGAACTGGAGGGCGGGGCTTGGAGTTTGCGGAGATTGGATTTATGCTTCTTTCCATTTAGATGTCCATTGTAGACTGTCTGTTTGGCGAATAACTTGTTACATACATGACAGAATACTTCACCTGTTTCATTCTCCTTACTGACACCGGTTGAAGAATTTTCTTCAAATTCCCTCTTCCATGACGCGTATGTCGTATTTATATCAGTTAATGGATGTAGAGTCTTCCATGAGTTAAGCAATTCGTCTGAAAGATCCTTAATGTAGTTGGAGTACTCTCTGTTCTTATAACTACTCGTTAAGGTGTGAAATGTATGCAAGTATTGAATATAGGAAACTTGTTCAACTGTGACATTAGAATTGTACTGTTGGTGCAATGCTGATAAATTGAGATACCCTTCTGTAGTCACTGATGAAGTCAAATGAGAACATACCGAGCTTAATACATGCTTTCTCTTTGTCATTTCTTTTTCTTTCCCTGTTGTTTTATTAACCTTTATTTTAAAGTCAGTAGAAGGATACGTATTCTTGTTGAGCGTGGCGCTTGAATAACTTGCATATAATCTTCGCATATCTTCTGAACTGGTCTCTGAGTTATTCTTATTCCCCATCTCTTCTATCAATTTATCAAACTTGGAAAATTGATTAGGACCCTCCTTCAACTTTGATAATTCCTGTTGAAATAACTCTTTCTCTGACTCGAGGCAAAAGGATAATGACTTACAGTTCTTTTCATATTTATCAATAAATGCTCTTAACTCCCATTGCTGTAATAATGATAAGTGTAAAGTTTGTCTTCTTTTCGGTTTTGTTTTGGAGATGATATCAAGCTTGGGACGAAGTGATGCTGGTAATAAATGCGGATCTCTTTGGAATCTTTTAGTTATTGATTCTTCTATGATATTGAGCTCTTCTAACGCTTCTCTCTGAGTTTCTATAAATCCTGTCATTATTATCTATTTAGTTACTACTTTTCAATTGGACAGGAAAGAAGAAGTGATGGGGTGAACCGTCTCAAGCAATAATATTTTTTTGTTGTCCCATCAACCATATTCTCATCTTCCAAGAAATCAACGAATGTTCATCATCACAAACTTTGAATCCTCTTGATGATACATACGCAACATGTCAATTCCAATCTATCTATTCACGTACAACACCAACAAACAATCTCTCACCCCTCAATCACTCATCGACCACATTCTTCCCACATTCCCGGAGCAACTCCAAGATCTCTACATCTTCGGACTTCAAGAACTATGTCCCACAATGACAGGCTGCTTCCCCCACATGGCCAATCAACACCTCATAGAATACGATTGTTACTTCCTACAAGCCCTCAATGAAAAATATGGCAGCAGTACCGCCCGATTTCGGACCATTGCCATGCATCATATCGGAGCCATTGGAATAGTTGTCATAAGTCCCTATGCATCAAAATTCTATCATATAAGGCTAGCACAAGCCGGGTGTGGGTATGCAAAATCGTCACTCAAAGGAGGCGTCGGGGTTAGGATGGCATATCACTCCGAGGGAGGGAATGGTAGTTATGAAAATGAGAGTGAGATTTCTGTTGCGGTGGTTCATTTATCAGCATATGAGGGAGAAGCATATTATCGAACGAGAAATGATGATATTTTGACAATTATGAGAGCGATGGATTTTGGAGATGGATATGGATTGATCAAACCCAGAGGGCATGTTTTTGTGCTTGGTGATTTGAATTATCGGACAAGAGTTGATGAGGAAGGTATGAAGAAGCTATTAGCTATGTCTGATGAATCGAGTAGTAATGGTGGTGAGTCGGCTTATGAATTGAACTTGAAGTTTGATGAGTTGACAAATGGAATGAGAAAGGGTGATATCTTCTTGGGGTTTCAGGAAGCTAAAATTGAGTTCCAACCTACATATAAATTTGTTCATAATACTGCTATATATAATTGGAAACGGTCGCCTCTGTGGTGTGATAGAATCTTGTATCAGGCGACCTATGAAGGTGCTGACCGAAATACTTTACGAGAACTAAATAAAGGTGAAGGTGAGGCTAAAGACCCTCTGCTTCCTCATGTATCAAAGTATCACTATATTGATTCACTTATGGGATCAGATCATAGACCGGTTTATTTGTGGATAACTGTCCCCATTTCTCCGCCTGAACCTATTATATCGTCGGCAGGATATTTACAAATAATAGGAACTGAATCAATTGAATTAATTCGAGCTGAAGAGGAAGTAGAGTTGGAAAATATGGATGTAAGGAACACTTTATTAAGTGGCCCTACTCTGATTTATTTAAAGCCTACAAAATACGATTTTTTAATTCAAAATATTGTTAGACCTTCCAGTGATTCAATAATTGGATATGGTTTATGGTTTAGTACTACACGCAAAGGTAGGTTGACATTGTTGGCCATTCTCCTTGTCTTGTGGTTTTTAAGATTGTGGTATTGATGAGAAAACCAGCAGGGTTGGGATTTTCTAATATACCGTTTTATTATATGAAACACATTGTATGTGTAGTATAGTGTGTGTATTTATTTAGTTCTATCTACCTTAGTAGTTAAGGATTATAATTATATAAATATGTCCCCAACTTCTTCTTACGTAGAATATAAATTTTATGCTAATACAATAATATATAACAATCATATACAGATGTAAACAATAATATAAAAAAAGGAATACCCAGAATAATAATAATAAATTATATATAAAAACACAGATAGATGATACATACACTGGTAAAACACTAAATAGAATCAAATTGGAGAATTAAAGAATTAAATTTTTGGAGTTTAATCTAACAGCAGACATTCAAGTCATCATCATCATCATGAAAATATACATCCTTGATTGATAAAAAAATATATCTTATCAAACAAGGCAATGGAATGCAACAACAACAACAACAACTTTCAAATAATTTTACTTATTTTAATCTTTCGCCCTCCCGCTCTTGATTCACAAATCCGAAAGAAAGAAATACTTAAGCGTCACAGTCCTTAGAAATGTGACCAGACTTACCACAGTTGTAACAAGTCTTTGAACCATAGTTGGAACCACCGGCAGTAGAATTACAATCCTTGGAGATGTGACCAGTCTTACCACAAGCGTAACACTTGACAGTGGCAGCTTGACAGTCTCTGGCAAAATGGTTTGGACCACCACACTTGTAACAAGTAGTGCCAGCTCTAGCACCACCAGCACCAGCACCACCAAAAGTTTTTCTGACTGGTCTAGCACTACTGGAAGGAGCGGAATCACAGTTTTTAGAAATGTGACCAAATTGACCACAGTTGTAACACTTGGTACCTTGAGATTGGTTTGGACATTCTGATTGGACGTGACCAACATCACCACAAGAGTAACATTGCTTAGAAGTTGGTTGTTTTGGTTCTGGGCAGTCACCAGATTCATGACCTGGTTGATGACAGTTGTAACATAATCTTTCTTCTTGGGTACATTCGTCAGCTAAGTGACCAGCTTCACCACACTTGTAACAGGTTCTTGGAAATACAGCAGCCATCTTTAATAATACTCTCACTCTCTACTCTTCTCACTTCTTATACTCTACACCTAAAAGGATATAAAAATTCGATTAAAGAGAAAACGTTTTCCAATTTCCATTAAATTCCACAATGTGTTAAAAAAAAAAAAACTCATTGCTGACAGCAAAACGGAATGAGAAAATTTTCCATGCAAAAAAATAAATTTAATTGGTAGAAAGTACACGACTTCCTTTGTTTGTAAAACACTACCCAATCTCTCTTCTATTAATAGGTGCAGGTGCTAAATCATTCACTGTTTGTAGTACTGCCCATAATAGGAGACTAAGCCAGATTGTAAAGGAAATAATGCAATATCCATATTTAATTTCAAGAACGTTGGATCCATTGTTTGGTGTTGCAATGGGAGTTGCTCTGTATTATTTGTATGAACAAAGAGCAGAAAGACCACAAGGCCATACCCTTTTAGAATTATTAAAGAAGAAGTATGGATCTAAAGAATCTAGTCAATAAAAAGTCAGTAGGAGGTGTATCCTTTGATTATACAGTTATGTCTATGCTTTTATATTTATCTTGTATATTAAGAAATTACTTAACGAATATATTTACGATTTCTAAACTTTACTAGCATTTCTGCAATTTTAATAACATTTCCTTTGCTTTCTCTTCACTGCCCAATTCTTCTACCAACACTGTAAATATCTTACCCCAACCAATAGTTGATATTCCAGAATGAACAGCTTGTTCAGGTTTTTGTTCTGTTTCTTTTGTGGGTGTTGGTAATACTGCTGGAGGAGAAACCATACAATTGAAGGAAATTTCATCACCTTCCAATGTTTCCAACACGGTGGTATCGTGAACAACTTTTGATTTCACCATAAGCTTTATATTCTCTGGAGCCACGCCTGCACTCTTCAATTCAGGTAAAGATTCAATAAGTGCGGTCTTGACTTTATATACACTCAAAGCACATGAAACATTAGTCAATTCAGAACTGAATTTAAATGGAGGTCTTATAGACTTAAACTTCAACGTTACAGTTCTCTCATTAGATTGACTTCTCTTAATTGGGAATTTGTATCTGTAAGCAGGCAAACTTGGTCCTAATGAATTTAATGAACTATAATCACGACTTGAATTGAATTGATCTGGGTGAGCATCGGCTGCTAAGGCCATTAATTGTAAAAAATTATGAGCAAATTGTCTCTCGTCATTAACCGGTACGATTGTTGCAGTTTCAGACATTATTGCGTTTCGAAGGAAGTAGGGGGCTGGGTATATAGTCGCTAGGTTAACTGTAATAGTTTGTTGGCTAGACTGGAGATTTTTCATAGACAAAAAAAATTCCGTATTGTGCGCCTCCACCAGCCTCCATATGAAACATTTGAAGAACAGTCAATCAGTTTGCCATCACCAATTGGCTTAATCCATCTACTTTAACAAATGAGTTTCTTCAAAAGGTTTACGAGTAGTCAAGCCAATTACTCACCCCTAAGTGCTAATGAATCGACACTTCCGAACCCTGTCACTCAATCATCCACATCATCCAATCCATTCAAGAAGACCTTCCAGAGATTAAACCCATTCTCCAACAACTCAGTCCAATTAGAAGATGACGAAAACTACGTCACTTCAGAACCTGGATACTTTGAACTCTCCCGCTGGGATAGAATGTTAATTTTTGGTCTTACATTTGCTGGTTCAGTATGCTGTTATCTAATTTGTATACTCCTATTCCCAGTACTTTCTTTAAAACCCCGAAAATTTGCCTTATTATGGTCGTTGGGATCTATCTTTTTCATAGTCAGTTTTGGGGTCTTACAGGGATTCAGACCATATATGGAACATTTGTTCCTGTCTACCAGAATCGTATTCACGGTGGTTTTTGTGTCGAGCATTGTGTTGACTTTAATTAGTTGTTTGTCATTGCAGAGTACGATATTGTCCATGATATTTGCTGCAGTACAGCTTGTGGCCGTGGTTTGGTATACTGTGAGTTATTTCCCAATGGGCAGACAGACGTTGAATTTGGCTGGTGGTGTTGCTAGGAGTCAAGTTGATAGTTGGATTAATTCTTAGAGGTAAGTAATGTATAAAATTAAATAATTATAGAAAAAGATGATGTCTATAAAAAGAGCTATGCTGAATATAATGCAAGGAATTCTTCACTAGGTTTCTCGAAATCAGGGAAGGCAGCGATTAAACCTTTCTCGACGACCTTGACAATAGCAGGGTTCGCATCCTTATCATTCTTGGAAGTTTCTGATAATTCAATAATTTTAGTTGCGATTTCCTTTAATTTCTTGTTATTATAAGGATTAATCACCTTATTAAGATTCTTAATGGCTTGTAAAGCCAAAACATATTTCCCTTGGATTAAATAAATTTTAAAGAGAACTTCCCAAGTAAGTCTTAAGTGTTTACCTTCATCAATCAATGGTTTAAATAATTCAAATAAAGATTCAATAATATCTGTCTTTTGTAAATCTGCGACTAACTTAGCACCAAGAGGATCCTCGTCCTCTTTCTCGCTTTCGACCTTTGTGATCAATTCGGCCATCTTCTTACTTGTCTTTGCCTTCTTTTTCTTCTTATGGTGGTTCTTCTTACTTGAGTCTTCTTGAATTTCACCGTTCTTGGTAGCCCTTTCTTCGTAAGCTTCAAAATAAATTTCTGATAATCCTTTTAAAGCACGTGTATAAATCGGGGTAGCATGGATTTGATCTTCCCATCTAATAGTATCAATATAGTCTCTAGGAGTACCACGTCTTAAACAATATGAATGGAAGTCAAATTGATCATTATAGAATATCTTATAAAGCTTGATAATAGACATATATCTCTTCAATGCCAATCCTTTATAAAGAACCAGTTCTTGTAATTCCTCTGCACCCTCGTCATTGAGATTACCTGCAGATTTTTCTTTCTCTTGATATTCATGATAGAGTCTGGCATATGCTTCAGCACTTTCAATCAAAACCCAACTGACTTGCATAGTATGTAAATCCTTACATCCATTTACAGCACCTTCGTCGAATTTAGTAAAGAGCGAAATACAATCAATAGCCTCGTCAACTCGGTTGGCACGTAAGTAATACTTGGTGCATTTCGAATTAATGAATCTATCTTGTAAATCCAACTCACGACCTTCATTCATGATTTCACTAGCTTGGACTAATTCTCCTCTGTGTTTAGCGATTCTGGCTTTGATAATATATAATTCAACCAAAGTTGGGGAGTGATTGAGTGCACTGTCGATATATTTATCAGCATTGTCTAACTCTTTCTTATACAAGTAATGTTGAGCTAAGTAATAATCAGTCCAGACTGCAACGGTTGGATTCTCGATGCTTGGCAATTCATTGGCATAGAAATCTAATACGATCTTTTCAATGCCAGCCAACTTGGCGGGATTTTGATACAATGGTTTAACATTCACGAAGGTTGCAGGAACTCCTCTGACTAATTGCGGGATAATATATTCCTTAGCTTTCTTTTCGAAAAGTTCATTGGATGAGGATAAGAAAGTCAATGGAATGAACTTTGGTGGATCGGAACGAGGATAGAACCTACCGAGTTTTTCATATAATTTAACTCTGACTTCTTCTGATTTGGATACTGAATCTAACGAGGTTTCCAACAAGGTATAATACTGAATGTTGTCAGGATTTCTCTGTAAAAGTTGACGATAGATTGCTGAGGCTTCCTTCTTTTGTCCCAAAAGCATAAGATACTTGGCTTTATATTCCATAAGCGAAGCTTTATCTTTAATGCAATCGGCATCTTGTTCCAATGTCTCAAGTGCCTTGCCAAAATCGCCAGACTCGGCGATGATCTTATTCTTATATAATGCACATTCGCTCTGCTCATACATATCTGCGTCAGTCAAATGTTCCTTAATAATTCCTTCAATCTTAGTCAAAGTACTAATAGCACTTGAATAGTCCTTGTGTAAATGTTGAGCCACGGCCAATCCAGTCCAATTTGCACGATATCCTGGTTGATGTTCCAAGTATGCCTGTCTAGATTCTTTTAAATTCTTATAATCACGAATTTGACACTGCATGAAGGATAAATCACGTAAGATCGGTTTATTTGGCGACCCATTATCATTTGCGGCTTTGAACCATTTGGCTGCCTCTGCATAATCTTCGATTGCACGATAATATAATCCAGCTAAATGATCGACTAAATAATTTTCTGGTGCCTTTTGAACTGCTTTTAAGATATACGATTCAGAATCGGATTTATTACCCATATGGAAGTTAATACATCCTTTAAGTGCAACCGATTCAACATGATTCGCATGTTTCTTGAGATTTGTATCGACTAATTTTAAGGCCTTCTTGTATTGCTTGCTGTCAAAAAGCTTTAATGCTTCTCTGAAGTTGGCATCTTCTTTAGATGCCAAAATTGGATTACCCTTCTTGATTACCATTTGCTTAATGAATTAAAGTTGGGATCTTATGATCTTGGTGTTTTAAAAAATTTCAATCAACTGAATAAATCTGCAAAATTTTTGGAAGAAATCATTTTGGTCAAATGTACACGACTTATGTCATGTGATTTCTGTCATGTGAGATATGTCATGTGACTCGGATTTAATGATTACGTAATCTCGATTTTAAGACGGGATGCGGAACAATTCCAGCTGGAGTTTCACATCCGTCATTTCAATTTTTTACAACCCTTTTCCTTTTTGGTCTTCTTTTAGGGTTTTGATTTGCCGTTAACTTTCATTTTCTTGACTGCAAACCTAATCAATCATTTCCTGTAGTTTTGTATTCTGAGGTTGAACATGAATGAATCAATTGAAGTCACCACTAAGACTGATGGTAATTCTGTTGCAAATGATAATGATTTAGATCAAGAGAAGAGGCAACGGACAAAAGTAGCTTGTGATTATTGTCGTAAACGTAAATCCAAATGTGATGGTGAGAGACCATGCTCCAAATGTAAAGCAAAGAATAGAACTTGTGTATATGCTGTTATCCAAAAAGAACGCAAAAAGAGAGTTAAAAAACCTAGCGTTGCTCAAAATAAGAATCATAATCAAACAACCATACAAAGCTTGAATAAGCGAATAAGTACATTGGAGAATTTATTAACAACATTATTAGCTAAACTAGGATCAGCCACCAGCATATCAACTGGACAGATTTCCGATCAAATGGAAGAAGATACTAGTTCACAACAGTCACCTTCAGATTCAGACTCAAATAATTCGGAAGATGAATCCATGGATGAAAGTACCCCGGAAAGGGATGATGATGCAAGAAGTCCTGAACTTTTAAAAGAAACATTAGCACCCGCTACCCGTGATCTCTGTAGTCCCACTGATCCAGGTCCCTGTCGCGGGTTCAAGCAAATGAAACGCCGGATGATTCAATATTTTGGTTCTCATTCCTTGTTCTTTGTGTTTTCGGGTAGATTCCTTACCTGGTTCAAAGCGAGGTTGGAAGACAGGCGAGATGATGCACTTTTTGCCCAACTCAGAAAAATGCCTTTTGCTCTTGAAGGAGTGATGAAACTGTCTACTGGCTTGTTGACTGATATAGCACCTCCTACTAATGGTGAGCAACAATTGTATTTTGCAATGGATGAGAAGGCATTGGTTTTCGAAGTTCTTGATTTATGGTATGAAAAGGTTAATTTTGCTAGTTTCTTGTGTCTGACAAGTGTAATTCGAGAATTATTTCAGAGATATTTTTATGGCCGGGCCCAGAATGATGATGAAATACTTGCTGGATTGGATCATGGGGATTATTTACTAATGAATATTGCGCTTGCATTATGTATATCACAGATTTCTGATCCGGAAGATGTTATTGATCCTATCCAGTATCCCAATTTGGCTATGAAAAACGAAGGGGATCTTAAAGAGTTAAAGGCAAGATATTTTAGTAATGCTATTCACTTTTATGATAAAGTATCTCAGCTGTCAACTACGGACGGTATCAGACCCATACAAGGAATCTCCTTGTTGACTTTCTACATTGGGAATAATTTGATTTGCGATGTTCATATCAATTACATATTGGTGTCTGTTCTTGTACGTCTTGCAAAAGAAATTGGTCTCCATCGTGTAGAGACCTTGCTGATTGGTGACGAGGAGGAGAATTTGACAAAGAGAAAGCTATGGTGGTTTTGTGAATATTCAAGTACTGAACTTGCGTTTAGGACAGGAAAACCGATGCTTATTAATACGGAGGATGTATCTACTTTGACTGAAGCTGATGATTTTTTTGTTTCAATCCCCACCACTTTTTTCAGTGATGATACCTATTTAAAGAATTCTAGCCAGATTATGTCAAATTGTCGAAGATATGGTTATCAATATTACTTTGTTTATTATTCTTTGTGGTTAACGAGAATCAAACAAAAGAGTTATTATAAACTCTTTTCAATCACTCCAACCAAAGAGAAATCGCAAGAAATGCTTTCAATGTTGCAAGAGATAAACAGTGATATGAACAAGTTAGCTTCGTTGATGATTCCAGAAACACGACCAGTACACTACTATGAAAAATCCAAAACTGTATCTACCGAAGACTTGGTTAAGGCATTTGATGCCTACGATAAATTTGTTGTCTGTCCTACAATTGAATTGCAATTGAGCTATTTTGCCCATTTATTAGCAATCAATCGACTTCCTTTCAAGAATGAATTTTCTTTGGATGCAGCTAAGATCGTGAAGTATGGTGGTTTGTCATTAGACAGCGCTAGGAGTGTTCTACATCTCGCCGTGAATTTTGATAAAGAATCCGTCTCGGATACTTCTTTGACTGGATTGGTATTCTATCCTTGGGTAGCCTTTTGTAGTTTGTTAGGACATTGTCAAGTCATGCCACATGAAAAGAATTCCCAACTGGATTGCGAGTTACTTATTGATACTTCGATGAAATTCTTTGCTAGATGTTCCAAGACGACGAAGGGTCGAGACTTGAATAACAAAGGGGTATTGTATGATTTGATTACTAGGTTGTTATTAAAGGTTTTGATAGATAGTATGACGAAAGAGACATTCTATGATTTTTACGACCATTGCAATGGATTATTCCAACATTTAAGTTCAACTGATGAGATGTTTCCGGAAGCTCTTGTGAGATCAAAGGAAGATGCATTCAAGATTAGTTCCGATATTAGTCCAAATTCTGTGAGTTCCATGCAAGAGCCGTCCTCGTCAACTGCAACTTCTACTGAATTTACATCTCCAACTGATTTCAGCGGAAAGCCTTCATTCATTGATTTGGTTAATAGAGGATTAGGTAATGTTAATTACGATATACCTGGGTTAGAAGATCTTGTGAATGGGCTCAGTGATGATAGTTTCAATTATATGATCTTGAATGAGATGAATGATTTGCCTAATTTCTTTGTGCCTGGTGAAGTTTCCAACGCCAATGAATTATATGATTAGTATTTGGCTTGTATATAATATTAGTGTTTATATTTTCTGTATTGGTAATATATTTCCGTCTACTGGTGAAAATTGGCGTAACCGAGTAATCTTAAGAAAAGTGTGACTGCATAAGAGAGCTTGTTAAACCCGTGCATCAATATCATTGTTTGTGGCTTAAAAGAAGTAATTTTATTGATAGTTTTTTTTTTTTTCCTTGTAAAGTATGTGACTGGAGGGGTCACTAACTTTTTTTTGTGTTCTACTTCACCCACGGCTATAAATAAAACAAGATAAAAAATATCCTGTCATTTTCATTAGTGCGTGTAGGGCCCTGTAAGATTACAATTTTGTGCCAAGTATCCAAGTTTGACTGAAAAGTTCTGGTGTGCCCTTTGCCAGTGTATACTACATACAAACAGGGCTGTAGCTGTTGTTGGAAAGTCTAAATCAGCACGTCAACACCTACATCACTTTCTCTGTTTTCGGCTAATCCTGCCAGTGGAGATAATATTATTCATGCGGTCATGTACCCAGATTTTTAGTCTTTTAAATCGCTTAGTCTAGATTTTGGCATTTAAGCTCTAAAAAATTGAGATGCGCAATAATATTCCGCCTTTTCCTTCCAAAATTTCTCCAAAAATCTTAAATTCTTCTCTTTTTAATCAATTTCACAATTAAATACAAGATATACATATAAAGATCAATTTTCAAAAAATGGATAGATTTGAAGGACAGCTGTTTATAGGAGAATCCAATAATTCAATAGATCCAGTAGGTGAAAGTGGGACAGGTAGTCCATCTGAAGAAAACCAATCTCGGAAAAGAATCAGAGTGGCTTGTGATATTTGTCGAAAGAAGAAAATCAAATGTGATGGAAGCTTTCCTTGTACTAATTGCACTCAAGCTCGAGATGCAACTTGTCATTATACAGTAAGACCAGTTAAAAAGAAATCAAAAGCACCTGCAAAAGACAGACTGATAAATAAAAAACTGGACAGCAATGATCGTACAAATAAAACAGTAAAAATATTGGAAACCAGAATGTCGTCTTTAGAAAATGCAATTTATGGATTAACTAGACAATTAACTAATTTGGTAGAAGCCCTGAGATCACAGGGGAGTAGCTTAGTTACTCAAGCCAGTCGGAGATTTGGAATAGAAGCAGGCGTAGAAGGAGAGGAACAAAATGAAAGTGATTCAAGTCAGCGTTCAGTTTCTCCAGATATAGCTGGTGCAACACGTGGTTCTTCCAATGAACCTTCTAGAGAGAGACGTGCTTCTGAAGCCACAAAGCTAGCACTCAAGTTAGGAAATGTTGATCAATACATTGGAAGTCATTCTATGTTATGTATATTCTCTAATAACTCCTTATCATGGATGGAGAATATGATGGGCGAAGGCGGCGCTGAAGTCATTAAGCCAGTAAGGAATCTACCAGTTGTCTATTATTCAAAGCTTGGTGTGTTTCTTAAAAAGTGGATTGATCCTCCAGTAGTTGACAAAGCTGGAAGGTTGAATTTATTAGAGTCCCCATTCCCAACAGATGCGGGCATGGTTTATGAGTTGGTTGATAATTATTACCGTGACATTGCCATGGTAAATGTACTTGTGAGTAGTGTTGAAGCGCGGAAACTTTTTGGGGACTACTATAAAATTCAATCAGAGCCTCGTGTCCAGAAAAGAAAGAGATTTAAATTATCTGAACTAATGAAATTGACTGGTGTTTTGCTACTCGCAATCTCCAACAAATTTGACAAAGATTCGGTCGCCCATTTTAGTACCCCGACATCCGTCAGACTGGACAGTCATTCTCCATTGGCGAAATATTCAGACCATTACTTGCTTGAACTACAATCAAAGTTGTTCGATGCTGCTATATACTATTATCAACGTATATCCATAATAAGTGAAGGTCTAGAAACAATTGAAGCAATCTTGATACTCATTATCTATATGGATGGCAGTTGGGCTTCAAGTTTTATCAATTACATACCAATTTCAATTGCTATCCGATATGCCCAAGATATGGGGTTACATAGAGCAGAGACATACAACGGCTTTTCTCTCCCAGAGCAAGATCGGAGAAGAGCAATATGGTCGTATTGTCATTATTATGATACAGAAATGTGTTATAGATCAGGAAAACCACCCTTGATCAATGATAACGATGTGACCATAAATGACACCGAAGATTTAAAGCAATTTTGTATCACCCATTACAAGGGCAAGTTACTTGACGATAATACTATTCCCGTTGAAACCCAATTTTTGACAGTGCTACAACAGACCGATCCAGAACTGCTTTATCATTTCTTAATGTTGTCAATTAGTAAGATCAGATCGAAGTCGTACAATCAACTTTTTATTGCTCTGGCTCAGAACCGCGACTTTAGAAGTGTAGCTAGGACATTAGACCAATTAAATGCAGAAATGTTTGAGTTGGCAGGATATATGGCTGATGGTGCAAGGCCGCGGTTTTACAATGATCCTCAATTTCATTTCATCGATGAGAATTGGCCACCAGCTAAAAAGGAGAGTACGATTGCTATGCAAATGACTTTTTTCTTACATTTGCTGATTATGAATAGGATTCCAACAATGGTAAGTGCTGAAAATATAGGTAAATTTGGGGCAGAAGCGCTTAAGTTTAGAAGCTTGTCGCTAGATGCAGCAAGAACAATAATGGTGTTATCTAAGCAAATATCCAAAGATATTGCGTCGCTTTCTTACTTGAACTGGATCTTGAACTTCCCAGTCAATGCATTCCTTATCCTAGCTGCGGCAGTAATGAATCACCCTCAGTCAACAGAAGCGTACAATGATTTGCAGCTATTAATTGATTTTGCAACGAATGTGTTTAATTCATCAAGGTATAAACTTACCAATGAAGTTTCATTAGCTAACGAATACTCAGATAAAGATTTTGTTCTCCGTTTGGTTGTTCGCGTGTTTTTGAATGTTGTCATTAAGGCTTTCGAATCTCAAACCAATAGTGAAATCTTATCAACCAATCCACCACTTAGAGAATATCTTGAAACGACGTCAGTATTATTTCCCGATTTATACAAAGATAGAGCAGATATTTCTGCCCAGTTCTCCCAAGTATTTGGTGCATCTCCATTCACAAAGGATCCAAATAATTATAATTCTAGACCTACACTGGTCAACAGCGTAGCCAAAAATGAATTCGTGTCCTCACCAAGATACAACCCGGCTGTATCAAATATTTTGCATCATTCAAATGACGTTCAAGGAGCACCTTCTTACAATAACATTTCACAGTCACAACCAGGAAATTTCCGGATGAAACTGGAATTTGGCCCTGATCCGCCATTTACGGCTCCAAATATTGCCCCTATGACACAGGAGGACAGCTATGATGTGTTGTCCAATTATTTGTATAATGAGGGTGCCCCTAATGCCTTCTTTAATCAAGTTAATAATTTGCCCAATTTTTTCTTTGATAATAATTTAGGGGTGTAATTGAAACATTATGAATTTACATTAACGCTAAGTTACTATATAATATATACAGACTATCTTAGATTAATTATTTTATCTAGTACGAATGACACCAGCAGCGATCAACATATTAACCTTCTTGTAAACATCAGGGTTCTTCATATGATCTTGTAAAGCTGCTGGATTATCTTTAGCTTGTTGTAAAATACCTTGCATAACAGGATCTTGTAAAATTGAAACAATTTCTGGATCCTTAGAAACTCTTTCCATAGTTTGTTCGGGGGTTTCACCTTCAATTGCTTGAAATCTTTGTGAGATACATTTATTAAACAATTGATCGATTTCAATAATATTCTTACTTCCCAAAGCTAAATCCTTTTCACGAGCTTCATTTAATGTATCCATACAATGAGAATATTCCTTCATCATCAATTCAGCATTGGCTTTTCTAATATAGGCTCTAATGAAATTTGGATCCTTTTCAATTGCTTTCTTACAATCTTGAACTGCATCTGGGAAAGATAATAATTTAGCCAATGCTGCAGCTCTATTAGAATAACCTCTAGCATCTTCAGGTGCTCTCTTGATCATTTCAGAATAGGCTTTAACAGCATTTGGCCAATCTCCTTTCGTGAAGTATTCTTTACCTTCCAAACGAGCTTCTTCAGCCTTAGCTGGGTCGATATATGCTTGTGCATCTCTTTGTTTGATTTCACGTTGAGTGGCACGTAATTTATTCAAGACTTCTGGCGTTCTGAATTCGGTTAAAGATTTATCGAAATATTTAACAGCATTTTCTAAATCGTCTTTCTTTAAATAAACATTACCTAATCTAGCAAAAGATTTGGCAATTAATTTATAATCAGCTCTTATGTCTCTACCTTCATCAATTGCCTTTTCACATGTAACAATAGCAGCATCATAATCACCCTTCTCGTATTCAGCAGCAGCACGGTTATTTAAGTATGTGATATCCTTGTGTAAATTCCAAGCCTTGTCATAACATGCAATCGCGTCATCGAATTTCTTTTGTTTATATAAGGTATTACCTTCAGCTTTAGCAGCATCAGCTTCTGCTTTGTGATCAGTTTCAGCATCTTCCATTACGACATCTTCTGGTTCGGCTTCTTCGGCAGCAGGTGCAGCTTTTGATTCTTCTGGCTTTGGTTCTTCCATCTTTGGTGCTTCTTGCTTTGGTTCTTCAGTCTTTGGTTCTCCAGTAGTTGGAGCAGATGAGCTTGGCTCTTGCATATCAGGTAAATCCATATCTATACCCATTACCGCAGCCATAATAGTCATCAATCTAGGGTCACTTAATAATTGACCGGCGTTTCCTCTAGGATTAGTTTGAAGATTTAATACTTTACGAACCAATTCTGGATCCTTCATTAATTCAGCAGTCTTTGGATTGTTCTTCAATTTAGTAATAAGATTAGGATCAGCAAACATTGCACCTAATCCCATATCAGCTTGAGAATTTCTACCTTCAATAGCCTGTTCGACTGATTTGAGTCCGTCTTTGGCCATTCCATTGTTGGGATCTAAATCAAGAGCTTTTTGATAAAAATCTTTAGCATTTTCCAAATTGCCCAATCCGAATTGAGCACTGGCGACTCTATTGTATCCTTTTGCCCAAGCTGGGTTAATCTTGACACATTCTTCGGCATCTTCAAGTGCCTTTGTGAAGTTCTTTAAGGAAGCATAAGACCCTGAACGGTTAGAATAAAGAACATGATTTGGAGTTGGCAGGACTTCGATGGCTTTGGTGAATGATTCAATTGCTTTTTCGAATTCTTTGGCGGCAAAGTACTTGTTACCTTCTGCTTTATATTCCTCTGCTGTAGACATCGATGTTAGTTATCTATTTGTGTATAATAAAGAGAAAGGGTGTTTCTGGTTGAAGTTTAAAAAAGTGGTGAAATCTTGATATTTAAGATTCTCTCAACGAGACTGAAGAAAAAACTTTCTAGAAGATTCGGAGATCATTAACTATTATTGGTGGCGCTACCAGTGGCCTCGAATATGAATGAAATTAAGATCGATATCCATTGTTATATTATATGAATCAGAAGCAGAACTGAAGAAGTTGTCCCATTAGAGATATATAAATATATACTATAAATATAAATAACTTAAATAACATTAACACAATTGAAATTGCAAAAGAATAAGAAAGTCAGACGAAAAATAACGATCAATATCACACGCCTAGATGAGCTCTAACAACTTGATTAACTAAATCCAAAGGGTAAGCAGGACCAAATCCGTGACATTTTTCATTCCCCTTCAAGCTGTCCATAATTGCCGCAATATCGATACTACTAAAATCAAGATTGGCTTCTTCTGTTTTGATCTGTAAATAGTCCCATACAGCACCCAATGCCAATAATTTATGTCCTTCAGTATCATTATATACTTTATTTTTATTTTGTTCCTGGAGATTATGGTTGGTGCCTTCAATTATACCATGTATAAATTCATCCTGGGTTTTGGGGAAATCGAATTTCGAATGTTGTTCATGGTTCATAGCAAATCTTGAATCAGAATGTCCATTATTTGATTTTAAGATTTCATTTTCTGTAGAAATTGAAATATTCTGTTTGCGAATCAACTCTAATTCTTCCATTAATTTATTCCTTTCTTCTTCGCTTTGTAATAATTTAGCTTCTAATTCTTTCAATTTAGTTTCTTTACGTTCTCTGAATGCTCGTTGAGCAGCTCGGTTTTGGGCTTTACGTTTCAATTGTAATTCCTCCTCAGTTAATTCAGAATCGTCTCTTGCAATTAAAGCAGCATCCTTCTCGTCTAATATTTGCTTCTTGGACTTTTGCCCTCCTTTCTTATTAAATTGATTATTAGGGGTGTTTACGGATGGGGCTGCTGAAAACCCGGTTGCATTTAATCTTCCACTATTATTACTATCGTACACTGCTGATGTCTCAGATGTTTCTGGAGACAATGCTGGGTTCACGAAAACAGGCGATGAATCAGAACGGGTATAATTACTACTGTCATGATCAGCAACAAATAATTCATTTGCCATGCCTTGATTAAAATAAGCCCCGGGGCCACCAGATTGACCTAGCGGTTGTACCAGCTGTTGTGGTGGACATTCTTCTTCATGATAAGGATTTTGGTATTGCGATCCGTATTGTATATGATGTTGCTGCTGTTGATTAAATAATGAAATGTTCTCCTGATTTAATTCAAGCGAAGGACATATCTCAAAATTGTTGTCCAATCTATCGGCACTAGCCTGTCTGGCACCAACTGGTTGAGTGTCACAATCCCATGGAATGTTATTTGTATGTATGTTATTGTAAGCCATTGACATATAAGTGATGTATTGACTTGTCTGATATCTTAACACTAAAAGAGATGAAATTAATAATCATGTTCGTTTTATTTTTTCTCTTTGTTCTGATGAAGAAGTTCAGAAAATGAAGAAACAAAATCACTCAATAAAATCTATTTCTTTGGTTAGCATTTAAGAGTAAGAGATAGCCAGAGCTGCTAATGTAGCTGATTCTAGTTCTTGTAATTAGCAATCAATGCATGTCCGTCTTTGTTCATAGTGTTACAAACACTGACTTTACGGTCTTGTATCTTAACGCAGAATAAAAAGTGAGGTGCGGCGCTTTTCTAAACTACGGAGTGCAGGGTTGCTTCGCTGTGCACACGAAATATGGGTTGGCTATCGTTGTTCAGAACTCCTTTACCTTGCACCACTTCTTAACATTGTACAACTGTGCAAAACAAAATGAGTTGCAATTGGTGGGTTTAAGTAGTTAATACTGCTATACAGTTCCCCAGTCTTCTTTTTTTTATTGGAGAATCCTTCGTTCCATTTTTCTAACAAAACTCCTTTGCTCTTTTTACTTTAAGTGAAAATAGCGGGAAAGAAATTGGCAACAATTTTTGCTTAACAAATGGATGATTTAAGATTGTCTTTACTTAAAAGATACATAAATTGTATGGATTACTTTATAGTGGCAATTGATAACTAATTTTATTTTTTTCAACAATTTTTAAGCAGGAATCTGGGTCACGTGATAGAAAACTTCATGATTGATAAACGAAATATTGAATTTGGGATATTTCGGTATATATAACATAAGACAGTTTGTATAGTTGACTAATCTCATGCCATCTGTTGTAGGAAGATTGTTCGATATATTACCTAATCTTTTATTACTAATTTAAGGGATATAGAAGCTCCCCTTTTGTTATATTTTTCGCATTAATACCAACAAATTTCTGTTGGCTGCAAAACTTTTAACTTTACATCCACAATAGAAATAAGTAGAAAAGCACACATCCAAGATTACAATCAATGATTAAACCACATATAATTAACAAGATATACTCTTATAAACGTTCGAATAATGCAAGTGAACCATTATTGCCTTTTGACAGGCTGAAAAATTGCTAATCAATGTAAGGTTCCGGCAAAGAAACTATCGTGACTTTGCCGCCAAATATCCATGGCACTATCCTCAAATCATTTCTCCAGAAGCATGATCTAATCAATTTATCTCTTCTAGATAACAGCTTGATTTAATTCTGAGATCTAAGATCTATATACAAGCAGTTTGTAACGTGTTTTCCATCAGTCGTACAGTTTTCAATTCGCGGCTCTGAAAAAAAATCGAACCACGCAATAACCACACGGCAAATCAAACAATGCAATCCATTTTTTTGTGTAAACCTTACCGATTGTTTAATTCAAGCCAGTAGGGATCCCAATTAGGAGATTAAATGTTCGTGAGGCTCAACACCTTTAATTACCGAAAGTATCCGTTATTAAGCGCTAACATTAAAGACTACACGTTTAACTTAATTACAAATTGAAGAAGTATTTAAATATTGCACAATTCCCTCAACATTCAACTTAATTCCCTTAAACTGGTTTTCAAGTCCTTCTCTTCGATTGTTGAAAGTTTAATCATTTATTAGTTAACTATTTCAACATCAGTTGGCGGATTATGATTTCCTTCTAGTCCATGTTAGCGGAATCGGAAAAAAGGCGGAACAAGAGACATTGTTGGACATACGACTTTTTTGAAAGGGCTTTTCTTCAATCTGCTTCTGCAATGAGAGACTATGGTCTGAGGCATGATCAGTTGTCTGCACTACTACGAAAGAGATTTATTAACATTAGAAAGTGCATTAAGTACTTGTATGGAGTCAGCAGTTCATTCATTCGCAGGGGATTCATATTGGAAAGGGGATTTAAGATTTGAGATTTGCTGATGTATGACCTACGAAAACTTAAGGAGTAATATTCTATTTGTGTCATGCGCTCCCGCGCAGCAATAATCCCTGAAAAAGCAATTAACCAATAATCATTGCCGACCGGAACATATCCAATTATCGATGAACTCCCTGACTTCGCTTCTTCCCCTTGAAAATAAATTTACGATAATTTTTGATTGGAATAATATTTTTTTGAAAAAAGAAACGCCCAGAAAAATTTTCACTCAAGATCCTAAAAAGAATCATGACTGCAAAAATTCTTCACACAAAAGTTGCCAGAAAAAAAAGGCGGAACAAACGCCGTTTCATTTTCTTGGAACAAAAGGCATTGCTTGCCAATAACAATCTAACCATATTCAACACAATATGAAATTATGCATTCAGCCGAAACAGGAACGGATGACCCCACCATGAATCCATGGTTTCAAAGCAAAGCTAAAATTTTGTATTCTTTTATTATCACGGATAAGGCAAGTCCAATCAAAAAATTTCTTTTTAAAGTACTAATCAGTCATCGGTGGGATTGGGTTGAATCGGCAGATAGTACCCTGAACCAAAATTCTTTTATTTATATTGAAATAATCCCCCTTTTATTAATATTATTCTTCTTCTGGTATATTCGTACCTTTTACATTTCTTCTAGTTAAACACGTTCTTTATAAAAAAAATGGATCATACAAAAGAGAAAGACGAGATAACCTCATTCTCATTTCAACTGCAGGAAGGCACAACATCAGATGACTCCCAATCAGGATCAAAATGGCAGCATTTCAAAGATACATTCAAAAGAGCTAATGGCATTAGTCATATTGATAAAGGAAATCTTGATGATATTGAACGAGCTAACCTCGGTACAACTACTGGGGATTTACATCGAGAATTAAAGAACAAACATATTCAAATGATTGCATTGGGTGGGAGTATAGGTACCGGTCTTTTGATCGGCAGTGGTGGTGCATTACACACAGGTGGTCCAGCCGCATTATTGATTGCATGGGGTCTTGTGGGTACAATGGTTTTCTGTGTTATTCATTCCCTTGGTGAAATGTGTGTCGCATTTCCTGTTAATGGGGCTTTTTCTACATATGCTACCAGATTTGTTGATTCATCTTGGGGTTTCGCAGTTGGTTGGAACTATGCTCTTATGTGGTTGATTGTGTTGCCATTAGAGTTGGTTGCTGCATCTATGTGTATTCAATATTGGAATTCGAACATAAACCCGGCTGCTTGGGTTGTTCTATTTTACTTATTTATTTTTGCAATTAATTTATTCGGTGTTAAAGGTTATGGTGAAGCAGAATTTTATTTAACTATTTTTAAAGTCATTGCCATTGTTGGCTTCATCATCTTGGGTGTAGTTTTAGTTTGTGGTGGTGGTCCAACTCATGAATTTGTTGGAAACAAGAACTGGAAAGTTGGTGCATTCGCAAATGGATTCAAAGGGGTAGCAACTACTTTTATCACTGCTTCGTACTCCCTTGCCGGTTCAGAAATGGTTGGTTTAGCAAGTGCCGAAGTTGCCAATCCAAGAAAGCATTTACCTAAAGCCGTCAGACAAGTCTTTTGGAGAATATTTTTATTTTACTTTTTGTCATTAACCATGATTGGTTTATTAGTTCCATACGACCACCCCTCATTGCTCGGTGCCAGTGGAACAAGTGCTTCGCCATTCGTTATTGCAATCCAAGAAGGTGGTATCAAGGCATTACCGTCCATCTTTAACGCCTGTATCTTAATCTCCGTCATTTCCGTCGGTAACTCAGCTGTTTTTGGTTGTTCACGTACTATTCAAAGTTTGGGTGCCCAAGGACTTGCCCCAGAGATTTTTGCTTTTGTCGATCGTAAAGGTCGTCCATTGGCTGGATTGGCACTTTCTGCAGTCTTTGGTTTACTTTGTTTCCTTTCAGCTTATCACGATGAAGGAACGGTTTTCGGCTGGTTATTGAGTGTGTCTGGTTTAGCTACCATATTTTCCTGGGGAAATATTGCCCTTTGTCATGTAAGATTCAGATTAGCCATGAGGGTCCAAAATAGATCACTTGAGGAATTGAGTTTTACTTCTATTGCTGGAATTTGGGGATCTATTTATTCAATTGGGTTCCTTTGTTTGGTATTGGGAGTTCAATTCTGGACTGCTTTGTTCCCATTGGGAAGCAATGGTCATGCTAGTGCTGAAAGCTTTTTCCAAAATTATTTGGGTTCAGTTGTTATATTGATTTTCTATATCGGTCATAAGTTATACAGTAGAAACTGGAGAATTTACTTAAAGCTTGAAGAGATCGATTTAGATACGGGAAGAAGAGTAGTGGATATCGAGTTGATTAAAGCGGAAATTGAAGAAGAAAAAGCAGCTAATAGATTAAAACCTATGTATAAACGAATCTGGAACTATTGGTTCTAAATCTTGTGTATATTACTATAATAAAAGAGAGGCTATCTCAGGTGAAATTTTGGTACATTTTTCTTTTCTTCGTCTATTTGAAATCCTATATGGTGTTAGTATAAGTTTTCTCCCTGTAATAATTCAAAAAAATACATACCAGTTCTGCACTTGACATTTGGAAAGAGATGTTGCTGTCATCAACTCTTGTATCGATTCTCTAGTGAGATAAGGATGTCGCAAATTCTCAAGATACCATTTTTCCAAAATGTCCAATTGCTTCTTTATCAACCGACGATTGCTTTTCTTATCGGCCTCAGACTCCTCTGTCGTTTCGACTCCGGTGCCAGTCACCTGTTGATGACTCTCGTCAACTTCCTCATAAATGTGAGAAGGTCCTTCTTGAAGTGCGATACGTTCCGACAAAATGCAGTATATCAATTTCGAGTAGTCATTAATACTGCTGATTAACTCCCGATCCTCAGATGAAAGATTCTCGCTAGCAACTATGGATTTGACTTTTGCGGAAAACAGATCGATATCTTCTTTTATATTCTGAGGATCATACACTGGAAAAGTCAAGAGGGTGTTTACGTGCATCAGCAAACATTGATTTATCTGTCGAAGCATAGCCAGGTTATTCATTGTTAGATTATGCATTTTGAGTAGAATAATTCGGATGTAAAAATGTGGGCTATTTCTACAAACCTTTTTTTGCCTCATAAGCAGGATTCTGAAACAAGGATGAAATAATTACTAAATATAAATGTAGAAATTGTTTCTTGGTATTTGCACGTACATGAATATTTTGGGAGTGATTCTAAATAGCAACCTGAGTAAATTTCTTGGTAATTACAACAAAAATACTCTCATGAATGGTTATCGATTCAGTTTAGAAAGTCCCAGCCACATGTGATGGATTCATATGCTGTTTACAGAAATTTATTTTTTACCTAATTTGTAATTTATAGCACCGAAATAACCTTCTTAACCCGGTCGTGCACCAAAACCAATCTGGATGTGTTCATTTTTTTGGAAGCAATTGCCTTCATTCCAAACTAGTTGTGTCTAGATCAAGCAACAACATGGTCCTAACATTGAAGATAGATAAGCTAAAATTAAAAAGCTCATCCGAGGAGACCTCGAATGCTGATGACGCCAATTGTGCTAATACGGATGATATTGACGAGGTAGATGACGAAGGTCAGAACATTTTGCTTGCATTAATTGCTCAATTGAGACCAGGTATGGATTTGACAAGGATAACTCTTCCTACTTTCATATTAGAAAAGAAGTCAATGCTCGAGAGAATTACCAATTTCTTTCAGATACCTGATTTATTGTTTGAAGCCAATTTCTCAGAGGATCCGTTAGATCGGTTCGTAAACATTCTTAAATGGTATTTGGCCAGCTGGCACATTGCACCGAAAGCAGTAAAGAAGCCATTGAATCCTGTTCTAGGCGAGTATTTTTCATGTTACTGGGACAATCTACCCGAAGGTAAATCGGCCTACTATATTGCCGAACAGACCTCCCACCATCCTCCGAAATCTTCATACTTTTATATTGTTCCGGAGGAGAAGATCCGTGTTGACGGAGTTGTTGTCCCAAAGTCAAGATTCTTAGGAAATTCTTCCGCTGCGATAATGGAAGGTTGTGGGCATGTAACCTTAGGTAAATGGGGAAATGAGTTGTATACGATGAGTCAACCCAATGTCTATTGTAGAGGTATCTTGTTCGGAAAAATGAGAACCGAGTTAGGAGATCACATAAAAGTCAGATGCGAGAAAACCGGATTTGAAGCTGACATAGAATTCAAAACCAAAGGATTCATAAGTGGTACGTATGACGCAATTGGTGGCATAATTAAGGACTCTACCACGTCAGAAGAGTTGTTTTACATTTCTGGAAAATGGAACGATTTGATGGAGATAAAGGATGCAAAATCGGGCAAAAAAAGAGTTCTTTTTGATACTAAGAAATCTGTTAAAGTGAAGCCTAAAGTCAGGCCCATAGAGGAGCAATGGGAGTATGAATCTCGAAAACTCTGGAAGCCAACAATCGATGCGCTTTCGAAGCGAAACCACGAAGTTGCAACAAAGGAAAAGTTCAAAGTAGAGGATGAGCAACGTGCGAAAGCTAAGACGCGTCTTGAAGACGGGGTTGAATTTCACCCAAAACTCTTTCGTTTGGTAAGCGAACTGGAACCAAAAGCGGAGGATCTTGAGTATATCATATATAAAAGGTTCAACTTGAAGGACACACCAGAGCTGCTCACACACAATGTATTCGACATTGCTCCTATTGTTCCAGGTCAAAAGTTTGAAGAAAAATTTCATATACCTGCTTTTAAGAAACACGATAGCAATAGCTAGCTAGCAAAATGTAGATTTGTACAAGTTTGATTCCATAATGGTCCCTCATCTGAATTGCCAAATTTGATGGTTTATTCTTTATTTTTTTTTTCCTCAACTTTATTTAGTACCAATTTCAAATCAGAGAATGCCTGAGTTCAAAGTGTTAAATTCATTTTTTCTTGTAACCATTTTCTCAACAAAAAGCTCTTCCTGACTATAGAACCACGCTATGCTTCAGAAGGAAAGCGAAGAACTATTGGAAAGACTAAGGTCTTCTTCATTCAGTTCATTTGATTGTATACATACCTTAAGAACCCATTTTGACAATATCGGAATCCAACATGAACTCGTACGAAAACTATCCACGTACAGTTACGATGACCTAGAGTTTTTTATTCCCCAGTTGGTTCAATTGTTAGTAGCATTTGAAAGTAATTCAATGGCTCTCGAAGAATTCCTCCTTGACTATTGTTCAATGTACCCACACTTTTGTTTGATTCTGTTTTGGAATATACAGGCATACGTATTCGAATTGAGAAATGAGCCAGAGTCGTATTCCTTTCAAACAATCAAAAGGCTAATAAGCAAAGTACAAAACATCATGTTTAATACAGATAAGATCATCCAAACATCCGAGTTTAGAGAAAACCTTCAGCCAGCTCTAGTTTTATGCGGAGCCATTGCTTCATCTATTGCTGCTCCATCATTTAATGACCATGTATTGCCTTTAGTGAAGTCACAAGCAAAACAACAGAAATCATTTGTGTTCAAATTAGCTAATTTTCAGAAATCCTTAACTAAAAACTTGACTTTGAAGAACCAACGAGCATCGACCGAGGCTCTGTCGCCACACTCAGACGATGAAACATCCGTTTCGGCTGGCACACCTAAGCATCGACACAGATCTGCGTCCTTACCGAAAAGCATTTCAAAAATGAACAGTATGTCATTGCTGTCAGATGAATCAGCAGATGATTATTCTGAAAGGGGTATGAGCTTTGAATTAGAGAAAGAGTTGAATAGACTTGAAATGTCCAATGAGAAGCTTCTGTCTTCCAATCTAAGTGAAATCGAAGAAACGTTAAGAATTAATACCATTATAAAATCGAAGAAGCGCATTATATCTGCTAGTAATCAGAAGCCGCTGATTGTTAGAGACCTTTTCAAATCAAATGACCCTTACAATATCAATTATCATTCCTTGCCCGATTTGTCTTCCCCCACCGAAACAGAGCTTAAGCCTTATATATTTCCTGCAGAATCGGAATCTTCATTAGTGATCTCACGGACCACTTCGGCAACTGGTTTAAGAAGGCAAAGCTCCCAAAAATCCAACGATGCTTCGGTTTCTACCTACAATAACCTTTCCAAACGTTTATATGTCAACTATACAAAAAAGGAAACCGCCTTTATTATGGCATTGCAAAATATTTCGGTGCGCCTTTCACAGGTACCAAAAGAGGCACGACTTTCAGCCCTTCGTGCAGAATTATCAATTATAAACGATAGCTCTTTGCCGTCTGAAGTAGACATTCCGCAATTGTTGCCAATCACAAGCAATCGGAACAAAAAATATCACAAAATTCTTAAGCTCAACATAAACGAGGCATGCGTTTTAAATTCAGCCGAGAGAGTTCCTTTTTTGCTTCTCGTTGAATATCTCAGTGACGAAATTGATTTCAATCCATTGACGGAATACAATCAAAGAATTTTGGACAATACATCAAATAATCAGATTCCGACACGAATTGGAGAAATCACAAGGGAAAACGAATCAGCGGACTTTTTAGCCTCACAAAGCTCAATATTTAGATCAGAAACGATGTCGACACCAGTACCGGATGAGACGGATCTAAGTGAATTACCAATGAATAGCAGCTCTCCGAAACCTTCTAATGATTTATTCAAAACCGATTCGTTGTTCACAGAAGAGTCAAGAATTCTTCGAGAAAGTTCACCTGGGATTTCCGAAACCTCAACCAAAGCATTGGCCAATCAAATGAGAATCGCTTCCGTTATGTTACAACAACTACAGAATGCGGGTAAACCTGATTGTGAACAATCACGCGCGATTAAAGATAGAATTGTTCAATCGATGATTTCGTTGCAGGATCAATTTGATGATATAGATTTCCAGAAACTAAACGAACTCCAAGGAGACGTTCCGAATGCTGGTGAGCGTAAATTGGAAAATGATTTCAAATTGGGCGAGGATTGGAATACTAAAAAGAACAGGATTCGTAATTCAAGTATTTACGGACATTTACCAAATTGGGATTTGTGTTCAGTGATTGCGAAAAATGGAGATGACCTTCCCCAAGAGGCTTTTGCATGCCAGTTGATAACCATGATATCAAATATTTGGAAGAAAGACGCAGTTGGTGCCTGGACAAAGAGAATGAAAATCTTAATCACAAGTGCAAATACCGGACTTGTAGAGACTATTACCAACGCAATGTCGATTCATTCGATTAAGAAGTCACTAACGGACATATCTATTAAGAATGGGGAGAATGAGAAAGGCAGAATTTTTACGCTCCTGGACTATTATAACAAAGTATTTGGAGATTCAACTGCCAAGCCATTTAAGCAAGCTCAAGATAATTTTTCACGCAGTTTAGCTTCCTACTCCATTATCTGCTATGTTTTGCAAATAAAAGATAGGCATAATGGTAACATCATGGTTGATAGCGAAGGTCATATAATTCACATTGACTTTGGGTTTTTACTTTCTAATTCCCCTGGTAGTGTTGGGTTCGAGGCAGCACCTTTCAAGTTAACATCTGAATACGTTGAGCTTCTTGGCGGGTTGGACAGTCCCGTCTATTTGAAATTTGTCGATCTTTGCAAAAAATGCTTCCTTTCCTTGCGTCGGAATAGTAATCAAATAATTGACATAGTTGAACTTATGCAGAAAGATTCGTCTCTCCCATGTTTTAATAATGGTGAAAACACCAGTGTCTTATTACAACAACGCCTTCAATTGCAGCTATCAGAGGAAGAAGCAGAGCAGTATGTGGAAACCTTCTTAATAGGAAAAAGTATTGGTAGCATGTACACAAGGTTGTATGACCAATTCCAAATGATAACTCAAGGGATTTATAGTTAGCCTTGGTGACTTATTGGTGATTAGTTGGAAAATAACGCAGAGATCTTGTCCTGGTATATATCTAACTCTCTATAACAATGCATGTGTAATTTATATTTATTAGGGAATTGTCAATATTTGTAGTTCAGCTGATGATTTCCATGAACCCCCAAGGCATCGCGACAAAACCGGCTGTATATGGTTTAAAGTATAATTTGCCTGAGTTAGTGAAATATAATGAATGATTCCGATAACTGCATTTGGGAGCATTTGTGTGTATATGTGGTGCCAAGAAACCCAAGAAAAACGAGACATGAAATATTTCCTGTGCCAGAGCTTACACCACCTTGGTACATTCTGAAACTTTATCTTCTGCAAGAATATCAATACAGAAACACCCTTTCAAAATAAACGAAAGCAAGCCTATGTTAATTGATCTTACGAGCATATTAAGGTTTTTTTTGGGAAATGCTTTGGAACAGTCCTTCGACATAATAGAAACCGCCCCAAAAAATATCAATCACCTGGCAGCAGTTAACAGTACTGTAACTAAGATCTCGTAAAAAAGTGTCTAAGATTTAGGTGCAGTAAGAAACCTGGTGGCATCTTCATGTAACATGATTTGCTACAAGAGTTGCACCAAGAATGCAGAATATTGACTCTCTCTCATTCGGAAACCGTCGAGAACAATACGCTTATACGAGAGAATGACAATTCAAATAGATGAAGATGTGCTCCAAGAATTGAAGATTTTTCTTGGTGTTTTACGTCAGATGATGTGATAGTTCCAAAGATTCTAACCGAAAATGACTGATGCATTTTTTGACATCCTTGTTTTTTCTGGGAGGTGGAGAATTTCAACCATAATTTGGAGCCTTGAGGTATATCACTCCATGATTTTTCCTTCCAGCAATTGCTCACTTCTGCATCATTTAAGAAGAGAGATATTTCCAACTCTTTAACCATTCTATACCAAAAAAACTTCATTTATATAATTCCAAACTAAAATGAGAAGAAATAAATCCATACCCAAAGAACTAACTTCGCAGTTTAGAGTATCGAAAAAAAAGATGCAATTACAAAAAGATCTTGCATTAAATGTGCCGAAGAATTCAAATGTAGAGTTTCGAATTTCCTCACTTCCAGATCTTCCTACACCAAGCAAGGAACTTCAAGAGCTAATATTCGAATACAAGCTACTGAGTGATTTATACCTTGCAATGTGTCCACCAAAGAAACAAAAGTTATCCAAACCTAAAAGGGGTCTGAAACCAATAAATTCGTTTATTGCCTTCAGGTCCTTTTACACAAGAGCAATTCGACATCCTAATTACCAAAGAGAAATTTCGCAGAAGCTAGCAAAATTATGGTTAACCGAGCCAAGCAAGTCTATTTGGGACCAATACACCGAAAGCTACAATAATTACCTTTCTCGAGGAAATAAAGGTCTAGGTTTAGTAGATTGGTTAACCAAAGTTCTAAATATCGACTTAACTGAGGACATTGCGATATCTCAAGACCATTTCGTGAAACCTTTCAATTCTGGGACTGTTCAGGATATCTATTTATTTGATCGATAAGTAGTAGAAATTTATTAATAATACAGTAATCTATATATGACACTTCATTCGTAGGTAGCCACATTTGTCGCGATAGGTGGGGTTGAAACTGTGCTTCGTGGACGTTTCTGACTATCAACTTCTCCAGCCTTCTTTCTCTTTTTACTGGTCCTTTTTGGCCTATGCTCGCCCTCAACATATACATCATCGGGAAGATCCAACAACTTAACATTTTTGATCTGAATATAATTTACGCCTTCTACATAAGCAGTAGAGCTCTTGCACATCGTATAGAATTCGGAGCAAGGTTGCTGTATGTCTAACTTTTTCACACCATCTTGTGCCTTTGAAAGCTTAAGCTCCAAACCAACATACAATTTCATTAAATGCAAGCGTTTCAGATTGATATCGGCCAGACCAGCCTTCTTCACCGTCTGAAAAAACTGCTCCCCTTGTAATGTACCATAAGCGTTGACCATTTCTGTCGGGGTTTTGTCATCCAATACATACGAGTCTGAAAATTCCTTTACATAGGGATGCGCAAGATCGATCCCTTCAGTAACTTCTAGTTTCAACACTAAATGACGCAATTTGCTTTCAACTAATCCACTCCATTTCAATTGATCTTCATCAGATCCCACAGTCCCTGCTACCACGCATAAGTAAAACTTATATTTATGGAAAAATGCATGTCTCTCTAATAGGTCCGACCAAGTTTTGTTGCCAGCGTTGATCATATTCATGATATCGGCTCCACGAGCGAGCTCTGCCATGATAACCTTTTGAGTAGAGCTTGTAATATTATGAGTGGCACACATAGAGGGATACGCAGGGGTGATCACCGGCATTTTATGTAGACGATCATGGGGATACAAACGAGGATTCCAAACTCTGACTTGCAATGGTCCATCCTCTATAGGTTTAAGTAACACTGGTTGCGGCCAATTCCATTTTGTATAAATGTTAAAGAATTTCTCAACAATGACAGCACTTACGGCATTAGGATACAATTGACAGATTCTCGCGACTAGCATGGCCCAGGCTACCCCCCCTGGAAACCCAAAGACGTTACCGTACACTGCACGCTGTTGGGCCCACAACTTGATGCATCTCAAAGCATGTTTGAAAACAGTCGGCTTTGGGACTAGTTGAAGTATCTCATCCGTAACTCGCGTTCCATTTAATGACCTCAAATCTTTCTCGTCTATATTTCTAAGAAGATTCTTGTCGTCTAATGACATATCTAATGGAACTCTTGGGACATTTAATCGTGCCATGATCAAATCAATAGATATACCATCAAATTCAATTTTGATAATTGGAACAAATGCATCAGGAACCGATGCAATTTCTTGTAATTCGGGCCTCTTCCGAATGATCTGTTCGAAAACAGAGAAGAAATCTTCTCTTGTTACGTGTTTTGGTACGACAACTAGAGTGTCAATATCCGATCCCGGGCCATATACACCTAGTCTGTACGAACCGAATGTAAAAACTTTACCACCAGCATCCTTAGCCATTCCGTCTGACATATTCTTATTCTTGGAAACAGTATACACGAATTCTTGAACCATTCTCTGGAAAAGAGACAAAACTTCAACTCTCTTCTTAGTCGCCTGCTCACTCTCAAAGGAACCCCGATTTTTTAACTCGTGAATGAGTGAATCATTTAGACTATTCTCCTTGGGTGTTGGGTTGGCCGTGGAAATAGGATCAGTTACACCATAGCTTTTCCTATTCATTTCCGAATATGCTAGCTACCTATAGATGCGATGAGTTTACACGTTTTTGCAAAGTGAAATTTCTTTTCGGTCTTTGTAAGGAAAATTAAAATGGACAGGCGCACGACTGTTCTGTTTCAATTCACTGCCCATTATCAAACTTGTTATTCACAAACGTCAAAATAAGATTTTGGTTAGTTTTTAGCGTCTCGTCATATAATCTCTTTAGTTCATTGGTAAGGCGATTAGCATCATCAAGATAATGTTTAGAACAGACTCACACTGCACAAGTTTTGAGTGCCGCTCATGAAGACTTGTGCAGCAGAAGTTAGAAGCATTTTTTTTTTAGAGTTGGATATAATGGTTTGACATCCCACATGTCATCCATTTCAATTGGTCATTGAAGACAGAGGAAACCGGTTCTGGCGAAGAGCCAAACGACTAGCAAGTTTGGTGGTTTTTTCTCTCGGGGTTTGGCACAATTAAAGATAGCTGTCTAGGTTCAAAAATGATAGTCCTAGGAATCTCAGATCTTATTGTTTTCTTAGATGGTCTTTCCCGTCCATAAAGGAGATACACGGAATTGCTTATGTGGACCCGTAATAAACTGACTGCTGTCAAATCATTTTATTAGCAATTGTCAAAAGCCATAGGTTTGGAGAGTATTTCATTCTGTAGGTAGTTATTCTTATAATATTGTACAGGCTGGGATTAAAATGCTCTGGCGTAAATCTCCGTTCAAAAATACTCTCATGCCTTCCGCATGGGACAAGTTTTTACTACCGATTGAGTTAATTTCTAGGGGACAGAAATCGCGTAAACAGACCATACAAGCATCTGCTAAGTAGGCTCCTTGAATATTGGATAGCTGCGACATACTGTTTTTCTTTTTGATTTACTCCGGTGCTTGATTAATGATTATATCCCTAAATAAATAGCTACAATGCAAAAGAGTTCGACAACAGATTCTACGAATTCTAGAAACTGAAGGTAATAACTTTATTGCTCTAAATATCTAACAGCACAAACTAAATTCCTTTTTTCCGTGGTCCATTCTTGTAACAATTCTTAATTACATCTCGCAAATAAAAGCTCTCTCTACTCATTTCCAGCAACCAAGCGACTGAATCTGAATTTAAATTCTGTCTTTTTGATTCAATTCTCAACGTATGAAGAATCTCATGAGCAGTAGTGATTTTTATAGTATGCTTATATCCCATCTCTTTCCAAGTCAAAAGCAATTCGTCAATCAATTGGATCCGTTTATTGATATTGATGCTTTCATTCTTTAATAACCCAGACATAATGGCTGGGATGTAGTTTGATATTTCCTTTTCGTTATCCTTATAATGCTCTATTAACTTTAAAGCGTTTCTATAATCGTCTAAAACGACCGCCCTGAAGAAGGAATGTTTTACCCAACGTTTGTGAGTTGTCATATTGTCTATTATCGTTCTAAGGAATTCAGCTAATTCTTTCGGTGAATCTTTTCTGGCTCTTTCTATGAATCTTAACATATCTTTAGTTACGGCCTTCATGATATATCTTCTAGCATATTCATCACCGGCATAATAAAATGATTCAGTGGAACAGAAAGTAGTTAGCACATCTAGAATCCTGGCAATTTCATCCGCTGGGAGTAAAGATAATGTTTGGGCATATGCACGGATTGCATGATGAAATTGAATTCTTGCCTTTTCACCATAAGCATGAAAGAGTGCATCAAACTCCCTGGTCGGATCGTCCCTGCTTTTGATTATGGACTTGGGAATCGTATATTCGAGTAGTTTGTTTAATACAAGTGAAATAAACACACTGTCGCGGATATTCATTCTCAATATACCTGCCCGAAATAATTCTAAGATTATATGTCTGGAAGTTAGCTTTGGATCTAGAATGATCCTAATCAAATCATTTACATCTGGAGATGGCTGATGATGGGTAAATTGCTTTATAGCCCCCCTTGCCTGTTTTGGCAAAAACATGAACATTAGTAGTAATGAATGAAGTTGATTTAAATCTATTTCCGAAGTTGAAATGAATTTATCAAAGATCGAAGCCAGGGTTTCTGCATCAAAATGACGTTTTATTAGCTTTACTGATTCCTTAAAGTCATCCAAAGATTCATTAAATTGTATATGAATACACTTTGCAACATATTCCGAATCCAAGGCTTTATACAGACTTAGAAAGACAGCTCTTATTTCACTATATCGTTGACGTTCTAGTATTTTCTTCATAATATGGTTTGCAATTGGTTTAATGGAACATAGGGAGGTTCCATGTATGATCAGGAAAAGTGCATATGGATTGATGACATTGGCATTGAGGATGTAAACCACATCAGATTTGGTTAGTTGTTCTAATGAGTCACGAGGTAGCAAATTAATGGACTGTACGAACGGTTGAATTTCGGTGGGAGTACCGAATGAATGTAAATATGTTGATCCAAGATATTGGGGGAAGATCAGACTTAGCCATCCTTTACTTGATGTTATATTAGGTGATTCCATTAGATATTTCGCTACGGTTTGTTTTGACAACTCTGGATCATACTGTAACATGGTCATCACTCTTTTTAGATATAGGGTACGTAGGTAGTTGTTGTCTCGGTCAATGCCGTTGTAATATGTTTCTAATTCTTCTAACGTGTTCAAATTGTTTACGTAAGACCAAAAGTCCAATATTTCCTCTATTTCAGCTGAAGTAATCTTTAAGTGATGCTCTATTGATGTTAGAATCAGTGCTCGAAGATTTTGTTCGGATTCACTTAGGGAAAGGGTACTTAAGAATTCCACTTTTAGGAATTCATTATCTAGCTTCGTTAGATAAGTACATGCAATATCTACATACTCATCTAATTCAGATAAGGATGTATATGATTCTGTGAATAATTGCCAACATTGTTCATATTGTTTGTGGAAAAGTAGTCTATGTACAAGTAATCTTTTGGTGGTGGTTTCCAAGTTGGCAACAAACTGATAATAATGTAAATACAATTGGGGGTCTATCATTACAGGGTCATAAGCTAATAAAATAAATAATTTGTTCTGGGGATCGATGGTCAATGTCAAATCCTTGTGTAATTTTGGGTGATGCCGTATCAATTCTTCGACTGATAATTTCTGTGCTGGAGTAGTAAACTGAGTGACTTGATCAACAGATGGCAAAGGTTCATCCTCCTCAATAAAACTAGTCAAAAAGTTAGATACCTTTGTTCCTATTGATAATTTTGGATTCTCATCGAAAAATGGTTTGGTTGTTACTAGTCGATGAAAAGTTATTGGTGAATTTCGTATAAATGTGTTATAAACTACAATCCTTTTCAAAGGACGGTATAAATAACGTCGCAGTATCATCTCTCTCTCGCTCTCCTTCTCTATGTCTATCCTAGTATCCCTCTATATACCTCTTTGTCCTTCTCCGTACTTTGCTACTTTTCCTTTCAATCTTGAATTGATGCTAAACTGAAATTTTTTTTTCTGGTCCTACATTCCCGGTGTGCCCCTCGGCCGCTCGTATTAAAAATCTGGGAACTGGAAGATCATTAACTATTCTTTAAAGTGTAGTGTACTTTTAGCTAAAGAAAGGGATATGGCACAAGTCATATGGAATTCGGACATTGACGTCTACAATACAGATGTCATGCCTTTGCTGATCGCCAGAGGAATTGCTAGATACTTACCTATCCAAGACCTACTATCTTTCGCCCAGGTATCAAGGAACACTAATCGAGCAGTAAGTGATCCTTCATTATGGGTATCAATGTTGAAAGAAATGGGAGTATGGAATAATGCTAAGCAGATTACTAAAGACCAACTACGGAAGAATCCAAGAATGTCATATCTTGAAAGTCCTTTATCTTGTTTAGATTATGTCTATAGATCAAATAAGAATGCCAAATATCAAATGTTAAAAATTCATAGATGTTTATATCCTTATTACAAGGATTTATTAGTGAACAAAAGTTATGACCAACTTCGAATATTCAAAGATTTCCAAACTCCAGAAGAACAAGCTCAATTGTTAACCAATTTGTTAATATATAATAGAATCGACTATATTGAACTGACACGAAATACTGCCAGAGATAAGATTAATGAATTGATTGAAATCTTTGAAAATGCATTATTACGAGAATTAGAAATTCACTTTGATTTAGAAGATTATGAAAAGACCAGACAATTTGTTATGATTTTAGTTTCATTACAGAATCAACAGACTTTAATTGATTTCTTTCTACAAAGAAGTATATTCGATAATGAAGAACGAGAAATATTCAATTTGGAAAAGTTTGAAGCAGACAAGTATTATAATAAAGTCGAACAAGATGATGATCAAGAGGAACAAAAGAAACCAGTTTACACATTGAATCAAGAGGCATTCGAAAGCCTCATTCAAAGCATCGCTGAGATCTTAAATGAACAGTCCAAAATTATTGATTTGATCTTCCCACAATCAATTCCAATGATGTATAAGGTATGTGAAGAGTTAATTTCCAACCAATTGAGTGAACTCATAATGATGTTAATAGACTCCTCAAAACAACATAACTTATATTTGACCTTCGTGCCGTTCATATATGAAAAACTCACAGTTGGATTGATTGAAAAACTTACCAAATCAGAAAATTTAGGAGACTCTTATCACCAATTAGTAATAGAATTATTGAATATGCTGTTTGAATCATTTGCAGCCGAATATATGCGAGAGGAAGTTTCAAGTTATCAAATACTTTCAAAAGATAAAATCCTTGATTGGAAATTAACAATCTCAAAACGAGAACAAGAAACAACTCAAAAAATCCTTGAAAAAGTCAAAGTTGAATCCAAAAATGATTTCTTAACCAGTTTTAAGAATGTTTTCACGATGGCTTCTAATAAAGAAGATGAATCAAATTCACAAGAGAAATATTCAGAAATTCAAGCAAAGGCAAAAATCCTTTCTGAAAATATAAAAACTCTAGATAAGATCTTCAGTCCCGAATTGGTAGTAGAAACATTAAATGATGCAAAGATATCACTTCATAGGTTATTAAAATTACGAGAATTTACCATTTCTTCTCTAAGAAATGATATTTTCCAATCAATTCAAGATATTTTTATAGATGCAATGGAAATAATTGGTGTTGAACATTTAAGACCTGGATTTGAAAAGGCTTTGACCTATTTACAAACATATAATCCTAATTCATCAACATACACTGAAACGCATAACGAATCTTTTGCCGAACCATTGGTATTATTCTTTGATTTAATTAATATGGCAGATATTATCATTCAAATGATTGATATTTTTTATAAAGAAGAAATGCTTAATAGACATATCATCAAGCATGAAAATTCAATTTTAAATCCAAGTTTACAAAACAAAAAGAAATTAGAAGCATTAGTGGATAAATATGTCGCCGATGGTCTTAACGTTGGTATTGAAATCTTAGTCCATCAAATCGATACTGTTTATGACGAATTGCTTCTAGATACTGATTATAATCCAACCAATCCAAATGCAGTTGACTCGTTTGGACCTACAGATGCTGCCAAAAAGGCCATAAGTGTCTTGCAAGAAAACATGAATCTATTAGTTGATAGTGCCGATATGTCCGTAGTTGAAGTATTTCAGCATGAAATAGCAGAACGATTCTTTCAAATCATCGTAAAGACATTAAAGCATCGTACAATTTCTGTGGCTGGAGCACCTAGTTTGATATCTGATCTTAATCTATATTATGAGTTTATGGTGGAGCATATCAAGACTAACAAAAGGTTAATTCTTCCTTTGTATCAAGCGTTGAAGAAAGTGGGTAACATCTACTTAATCAGCGGAGATGATTCTAAATCAATAGGTCAATTGGTGAGTGATCTTTCTAAGTTCAATGGTATATTTGGACAAGAAGAGATTTACGAATTTGTTCAAAGACGACAAGATTGGCCTGATATAAAACGTCATGTTGAGAAGGTCATGTATGGATTTGGTTTGGGGGATTGTGATTTAATGTAAGGACTAGAAGAAAGGACGTTTCTATTCGTTTGTATAGTGTAAATAACAATATTTCAAATGAGCTTCAAGCGTTTCTCGTAGACATCTATCCACCTAGTGATGAGACAGTTACGGTGATTATTTGCAACTGTTCGTTATTATATCTACCAAATAAAATGCTGCAAAATTTTATTTAGTAATAATCACGTGACTTTCATTAATTTTTTTTTTTTGCTTTTTTTGATTTTTTTGAGATATCGTAAAAGAAAAAAAAAAATAGGGTGCATCTAATTTTGTATGGTGAATTTTTTTGGTGAAGTATATCTAGCCAATCAATATTTCCATTAGACCACTTGAATACTAAGAGAAGCACAGATGAGGAGAATAGTACACGCGGAAACGCGGAGACTACTAATGACCAGCACCACACGACGAAGTCATTTTTCATCAATAATGCTGATGCTTGATATTCCGAAGGTCACTCCAAATGAGAGCCGATCACAGTTATGTGATCGTTCAGAGATATTGCCTCGTAGTGAAGAGAGAAGAAAAGAAACATCATTAATAGATACTGGGAAAGAGAAGGAGTTGAGAAACCGTCAAAGGATTATAAGAAAACCTCAAAGAATTATAAAAGGTTCAATAGAGTCACGGAAAGCTACGGCTGCATTTAGATTATATGAATTATCACAAATCGAACCTTCGACTTTCATAGATAAGCTTATAGAAATATATGGAAAACGACGATATCCTACTTTTGTTGAAGATTTGCATCTTGTATCAGACCAACCTAAACATCCAATTCATAAATGTATCCCCAATTACCTAAGGCACGAAGATTTCGATCTAGAATCTGACGAACCGTATCCTAAAAATGAATTCATACGGGGTTTCCCAAGGCACAAATTTTCCACGTACTTGTTTGAAGATATTTGTCAGATAATCCTACAAGATGACTATGAATTGTTGCGAGATATAGTTAGTTTGCTATATCGATTGGGAATTTTGACCGAATCCCAGGTGAACCTACTTTCCATCATCGAAGACAAGAAGTCGTTTATGTCAGAGATGAATAAGAGGATAATCGAATCTGCCCTTCAGAAACAAAAGACTAACATAGCGACAGAATTTGTACTACAACTTACAAAGACCTATCAGATTGAAGTACACCCCGAGAGTATCGATTTACTAGTCTTAACCCTAACATCCGGTCTACATGAAGATTTCATAAAAGATTCATACATAACGACACAATTCGTACATCATTTTGGGATTAGAAACCTAACTGTGACTCAAGTAGATCGAATACTACAGTTCTTCTGCTCCAAACCTCGAGGAATGTATTTTGCCAATTTCCTATTTGAAAAATTAGTCAAACTAAAGCAACTTGAAGGCTATTCAAGATTTCAACCTATTGAATTTTCCAATACGGTCAAAGCACTCATGCAATCATATGCAGACAATTATAATATCGACACGGCGTTTAGAGTCTGGAAACAGGTTTCCCCATATATTGAAGACAAACTGGAATTAGTTCCCATATTGGTACAACTATTCATCGACGCTCCCGTCGAGTATGCAGCAGACATTGGAGATGTATTGTCTAATTTGCCAGCAGAGTCATTAAATAGTGAAGAAATGATTGATTTCCAACTTTCATTTTTTGCTTCGGATCCTAAACTTAGCCAACATTTTGAATTATTGGCAAATAGATTACAACCTCCTTTGAAAAGAACAACCATGTCGCTGTTGCTTAAAGCATTCTTGGCAATGAATAAGCAATCTAATGCTCAAAAAACCATCGAGGCGATTTTTAAGCATGGTGGAGGAACCCTGCCTGAGGATGTAAATTGTATTGTGGAAAGATTATTAAAACAAGATAAACTTGGGGAATGTATGGATATGGTCGAGAGGATGGAGTTTGAAATATCTAGACTTGCTTGTGTGTCGATCTTACGATATATGTTATTGAATGTCAATATTTCAACAACCAAAAACCGAGAATTTCTTGATAGATTATTTTTGGGTTTAGTTGATCTTCAGGATGCTAATACCAACGAGCTTCTTACCATTGCATTAATAGAAGTTGCCGTTGCAAAAGTCCCGATTGATGAGGCAGTGATGCTTTATAATGCGATAGCGCAGGTTGTTACATTGCATAAAAGATTCAGAGTAGGTGAGAATAACTATAATTGCAAACTTAACACCATTTCCATTCCTGAGAAGTTCGAGAGAGTATTACATCTTTCACTCAAAGGACAGGCCAAATGTTTGGAGCATATTTTGATTAAGGCTCTCAAAGAAGAAGATCCGTTGCATTTGCTGTATATTATGGGTCTATTTAGATCATTAGGTTGGAACTATACAAGCATACTAAACTTATTAAGAAGATATGATCAAAATGGATACCTTGAAAGAGCTATCAAGTCTGAAATACTCCGAGACTGTAACTAGTTTTTTAATAGACTGTATATTAGCTGTATATATTATTTACAAGATTAAGTAAATTTATCTTACTTATTTTTTGAATCTTTGTCTAGCTTGTTTCTTACTGAACAACTTACCACCTGTGATTTCCTTAGCATCTTCACCCATTAATTCTAATAATGCCTTATCTCTTTCCTCTCTACTTTCAGGTGTTTCTTCTTCTGAAGTTTCAATACCATATCTCTTATTAAATTGACTGATTCTACCAGCAGCAAGAGAAGCAGCAGAACTTAAATTAGATCTATTAGGATTCCATAATGTTGAATTTCTTTGATCGGCAATCATTCTGATTTCATCTTTTGGAGCTTGAGAACGACGTTTTACTACACTTCCATCACTTAATTCTACTAATGTATCAAATTGATAAAAGATTGCTGGTCTGGCTAACCCTAATCCAATTTTTCTCATCACACGACGATTCGAAAGCTGGACATCTGTCTTAACGACATCCATGAACCCCTTTCCTGGTAGTTTTGAACTCATTTTGGACTTTGTTTAGTTGTTGGCTATCCGTTTGGTTGTAAAATAATCAAACATCAAGAGGTAATTTAAAAATTATAGAGAATTTTTCAAGTGGTCGTGCGATTTGTTCAAAAGATTTTTTTTTCACTTCCTCACCAAAAACTTCATTATGAATAGATGGACAGCAGTTATATATACGCTTCTAAAACATATTCCATCAGATCAACGGAGATAAACAATGGCCTTTTCAACCCAGACCCCAACAATTGTCGTGCTAAAAGAAGGCACTGATACCAGTCAAGGTACAGGACAAATTCTTCACAATATTTCTGCATGTCTTGCCATCCAAGAAACTCTTAAACCAACATTAGGACCGTTTGGATCAGATATTCTTATTGTAAATTCTCAAGGTAAAACCACTATTTCCAATGATGGTGCCACTATCTTGAAGTTATTAGATATTGTCCATCCTGCTGCTCAGATGTTGGTTGATATTTCCAGATCTCAAGATGCTGAAGTTGGTGATGGTACCACAAGTGTTACTGTATTAGCTGGAGAATTATTAAAAGAAGCTAGAACTTTTATAGAAGAAGGTGTTTCATCTCATTTGATTACTAAGGGGTATAGAAAGGCTAGTGAATTATGTATCGCCAAGATTGAAGAACTTGCTGTAAATGTTAAGAAATCTAGTCCAGCTGGAGAATTTAGAGAAATGTTAGAAAGATGTGCTACTACTGCTATGAGCTCGAAATTAATTAGTCAAAATTCACAATTTTTCACCAAGATGGTTGTTGATGCTGTTTTAAGTTTAGATGAACAAGATTTAGATGAGAAATTGATTGGGATTAAAAAAGTCCCAGGTGGAAGTATGGAAGATTCAATGTTTATTGATGGAGTTGCATTCAAGAAAACTTTTTCATATGCTGGATTTGAGCAACAACCTAAAAAATTCACCAATCCAAAAATTATCAATCTTAATGTCGAATTAGAATTAAAAGCAGAAAAAGACAATGCAGAAGTCAGAGTTGAACAAGTTAAGGATTATCAAGCTATAGTTGATGCTGAATGGCAAATTATATTTAATAAATTAGAAGCAATTGCTGAAACTGGTGCCAATATCGTTTTATCTAAGTTACCAATTGGTGATTTAGCCACTCAATATTTTGCTGATAGAAATATTTTCTGTGCTGGTAGAGTAAGTAGTGAAGATATGGATCGTGTTATTAAAGCCGTTGGTGGTCATGTCCAATCTACTTGTTCTGGTATCAAACCAGAAGATATAGGTACTTGTGAAGTATTTGAAGAAGTTCAAATTGGTGGTGATAGATATAATCTTTTTAAAGGATGTCCACAAGCTAAAACTTGTACATTAATTTTACGTGGTGGTGCTGAACAAGTTATTGCTGAAGTTGAAAGATCATTACATGATGCCATTATGATTGTTAAACGTGCTGTGAGTCATCATACTGTGGTTGCTGGTGGTGGTGCCATTGAAATGGAATTATCTAAATATTTACGTGATTATTCTAGAACTATTGCTGGAAAACAACAATTAATCATTAGTGCTTTTGCTAAAGCCCTTGAAGTTATTCCTAGACAATTATGTGAAAATGCTGGATTTGATGCTATTGAATTATTGAATAAATTACGTAGTGCTCATGCTAAAGGTGAAACTTGGTATGGGGTTGATTTCCAGAAGGAATCTATAGGTGATAACATGGCTGGTTTTATTTGGGAACCTGCTTTGGTTAAGATAAATGCAATTGCTTCTGCTACTGAGGCAGCCACTTTGTTATTGTCAGTCGATGAAACTATCAGAAATGATGAACAAGAGGGTCAAGCCCCTCCACAAGCAGGAAGAGGTAGAGGTGCATATTAAATAACTTAATAATAGTGCGTGTATAGAATATCAAAGAATAATAAAAACTCTCTTTAATCAGGATATCTCAATGTTTATAGTTTTTCTCAATATTGTTCGTTTCACATTTTAAGTTTGAAAACGCACATGCTGGCTTGATACTCAGTTATATTTGCTTTCCAGTATTTCGTTATCTTGCATTAGCCCGGAATATTTAGGGTTTTAATTGTGCCTTATTGTTTACAACTTAAAATTTAATTATTGCAATGGCGCTACCAATATTCATGTAATTGTTTTATTTTATTTTTTTCAAAGGGCATTTAGTTGAGGAATGAAGACGCGAGTATTGAGAAATGGCTGCAATAGTTTACCTCAAAGGTTAAAGTTGATTTACACATTTATTGAGCCCAGTGTAATATATAATAATTAAAGATATCATATTAGTTACTTCAGTCTCTCGTTGTTTAGTCACTTCATAGTCGTCATAATTAAATATCGTTGATGGCTTCGATACGCGCATTCCCCTTTCAATTTTGGAGACAAGGAAAGTAATCCATCGTGATTAATTGAAGACAATTCCCGAGTAATTGGCGGTTCGAAGAAAAAGATCCGATTATGGATAATCGACCAAAACAGCTGAAATTCAGAATGAGGAAGAAATTAAATATTTTATTGTAGTTAAAAACCTCCAACTACCCCTAGTTTCAATAATGGGAACTTGTACATGTAGACTCCACATTTTCTTTAACAAAATGTCCCTTTCCAGATTCTGAAATTTCCATCCCTCTTTCCCTGCCAAGAGTTGTAGTTTTTCTCGCTTAATGAATAATTTGATAGAATAATCGAAAGTGTATTTTATTTATTTTTTAACTTATAAAAGTAAGTTTATAGATATAAAAAGACGCGATCGCGATGTTAATAAATACTAAATTAAACATTTTTATTCCCTTTTTAAATTTTAATACGCGAAAATTCAATTGATGCAAAATATTTTTTTGTTCTACGCGCGCGTAAAAATTTAAAATTTTTCAATTCTTCCTACTCCTTTCTTTAAGTTACAAAGACAAAGGCATTGAAATGTTATTACCCTTTAACAATTTATTTTATTATGGGAATATGAATTGCGTTTCTTTCAAAGGGTTGACAGCTGAGATTTTTATATTATATTATAATTATCATATATATTTCTCTTTATATCTTTCTTTCTTTCTTTCTATATTTCTTCTTTTTACACTTTTCCTACTTTGCTTAGTTTCTTTGAGGTTTATTTTTCATCATTTGGTATTCCAGTTTGCCATTACTACTACCACCATCAGGACATTCCTTTCCCATTCTATTCATTCATTTTAGAAATACTGTCATTCGTTTTGTTTTAATCGTTTTGTCCTTTCATTCATTTGCAAGTTTGGTTTCCCTTCTCTCTCTTCCTTCACATTTCCACCATTTCCCTACATTCATTAACAAGGTCATTTCAGCATGAACCACCAACATTCCCAACAACAACCACCTCAACCACCCCTTCCTCACTTCAACAAATTACAACAACCACATCAACACAAGCCTATCAAATATGGTCCTCCTTCTAACATAAAACCAAGGTCATACAATGTTGTTCTTGAACTTCTTGAATCTCAAGCCAATAAGAAATTGACTGAGGAATATTCCACTGAATATACAGATACATTAGCTGCATTAGAGCCATTGGCCATGATAAACCCAGCCATGATAGACTTACAACCTGAAATACAATGGTTCATGCGACCTTTCTTACTTGACTTTATTATAGAATTACATTCATCATTCAAGTTACAACCACAAACTTTATTTCTTTGTTTAAATATCATAGACAGATATTGTGCCAAAAGGATAGTATTCAAACGTCATTATCAATTGGTTGGGTGTACTGCCTTTTGGATAGCTGGGAAATATGAAGATAAGAAACTGAGAGTACCTACTTTAAAAGAATTAACAACTATGTGTCGTAATGCCTATGATGAAGAAATGTTTATTCAAATGGAAATGCATATTTTAAGTACTTTAGAATGGTCCCTTTCTCATCCAAATTTAGAAGAATGTTTACAATTAGCAATTAAACATTCAAAAGTGGTATCAAGTGATGTAACTCCTTGCAAATATAATATTCATAAAACTGGAACATTATCTGCTGTTATTGCTGTTGGAAGATTCCTTTGCGAGTTATCATTATATGATAGATTCTTCCTTACTGTTCCAACTTCATTGGTAGCCATTACTGCTAATTTACTTGCTTGTTCTATGTTGCAAATACCTGAAGCTTCTATTGCTTTGAAACAATTGGTTGCTAAAGTATTAGGTCCTCTTAAAAAAAGTGAAAGCCAAAATAGAAACATGAACAATGGTTATTTCCTGTATTATGCTGATAATGATGATGATTCAACAATAGATGAATCTGAAGAGGAAGATGATAGTTATTTCGAAGAATTCGATGATGAAGACATCGAAAATGTACATCCACAAATCCATGGACCCTTCTTAAGTGGTTTAGATAAGGATTCGCTTTTAACAATCAAAAAGATTGCCATTATGTTAATTCTTCAATTAAATAAAGTCACAGAAGTTTTGGTTAAGAAATATGATGTATTGGGAGTAATTCAAGTTATTAATAATTTCCACACTCGTAATTCATTCTTCATTCAACAACTTCAACAACATACATCCATATCAGAACTCCCAGAATCATTCAATCCAGATATGATCCATATAGCTGAGATATTATTGCAATTATCTTCAGATCAAGATCTGGATGATGAGAATGATGAATTCGATCCAGCATCACCATATATTTTCCAACAATCAACATTAGCTCCTCAAACTCCTCCATCGGCTACATCTCAATATTCCGTATTTTCAAAACGTAGTGTAAGTGGTGGATCTTCAAATAGTAGTACCCCTACTTATTCTATACCCAATAGTCAAGGAATAACCAAGATGAGAATATGTAAAAAACGCGATTTCTCACCTATGAAATCTTATTGTTCTCCAATACAAAGATAATGACGATGATGACGATACAATATAAAAAGTACATTCATAGAGCATGTTACTGTTATGCCTTATATGATTTGAAACTATCGCTAAGAGACGTTTGATCATATTTTTAATTTAAGACTTATCCTTCAGTTCTCGCTTTCATTTTTAGAAACATTTTATAGTTTTTTATTTATAATTTAGAATATTACCATACAATTACTAAAACACATTTCTATTTCCCAACAACAAAGCTGTGATATATCTCTTGTGAATACTTTTAGATGTGTTGTAAAGAAAAGTATAAGGAATTTTGTTTTGCAACCAACTTGGTTTTAGCAGAAAAATGTGCCACTTCTTTCACGCCTAATAAGAAATCTAAACAATGGAAACTTGAAGTAAGAAACGATAGTTCAGAAATATTTGCTTGCATCTATGCGAGGCTCAATCCGTTTCGAACAATCATTGTTTTCGCTCCCCATTGTTATTGAGTTACAATTGAGTTTCGTTCGGGAATTTACTTGCAAGTTCATAATCTGCGTTACTGAATGAAAGGGGATTGATGCTGACGTTCGCTTTGCTCATGCTAGCTAGAGGATATTTATAGTGTCAATGATAGAGATTAGAATATACTAGGTTGATGATAGATACGCTTTCCAGTAATGCCAGTTACAAGAAATGGTTGCAAAAAAATCTGAATATTTTTTCGGATAAAATTTCTACATATAAATTGGCAAGGAGTTTTCAATATTAGAAATTAGATATCATACTCTTGATGCTTTCTGTTTCTAGGTAGCAATTAGGTTAGCTTATTTAGTGGGATTCTCCCGCTATTCCCGTTTCATTATATTTTCGTTGTAAATGAAAAAAGCGATCGGAGCCAATGAAACAACAAAATATTTGTTAACGTCAGTGAAGAATTTTCAAGAAAAATCTTATGATTTCTTAACGTTACATATTTACGAATTTATCATCCCACCCCTTAAATGAGTTATAATTAAACAAAAGCCTCTTGAATAATGCTATTTGTTAACATTCATATTTGGATAAATGGATTCAATAGAAAGTGTAGATTGTTTAAATATTTGAGATGGGGTTGATTGTATTTATTTTTAGCAACCCGTGACATTCCAATTTGCAACAATATTTCCTGATCGGGAAGACGTGTTGCCGAATATAAACAAAAGAAAATTTCTATCCCGAGACAATTAAAACAGCATTATAAATCTTAAAAGAGAAAATGGTCTCTCTTCAAGGGGAAGTTGCTCCATGACTACCTAATCTTATTATATTTCAGTAATAGCTTCCAAGTCTACCGTCTTTTAATTGAATTTGTAGTACAATCTCTCGGATTACGTAATCTCGGTTTATCGAAATGTCAACAAAAAAATGCAAACTGTCTTTTTTTTTTCTTTGATATGGAGACAACAGAGAAAATCATCAGAGAACGATCTTCTAACTTTCTTTGGAAATCCCATTACAAACTCAGATCTGTTATTTGTCTTCTTTTGTTTTCATTGCAAAATCAATCAAACAGTTTACATTACGCTCGCTGAGATCTTGAGATCTTTTACAAAACAGTTAACAAAGCAAAACTAACAATCAGTTGAACATTACTTTAAGGTTTATTGTTTTTTTTTACAACCATCTCCCACTATCACAAGAGTTTCATAACAACGTAACATGACAGCAGCAACTTCTGAAGAAGATGGATTTATAACAAAGAATTGGGTCTGGATTCCAGATTCAGATGATCTATTTACAAAAGGTTATGTATCAGATTATCTACCAGATGGTAAATGTAAAGTTATTATAATGACCAATGGGAAACAATCAGGTGAAAGAATAGTAGATCAATATTTACTTGAGAATTGTAATCCTACCAAGTTTAATAAATGTCAAGATATGGCCGAATTAACCCATTTAAATGAATCCTCCGTTGTTTACAACTTATATCTTCGTTATCTTGATGATTTGATATATACATATTCCGGTTTATTCCTTGTAGCTATTAATCCCTACAAGTCATTACCAATTTATGATACGCATAACTTAAAGAAATATCATGAACATGCACTTGAAAGACCCCCACCTCATATTTATGCAACTGCGGAAGGTGCTTATAGGAATTTACTCCTGAATAAGAAGGATCAATCTATATTAGTTACTGGTGAAAGTGGGGCTGGGAAGACTGAAAATACCAAGAAGATTATTCAATATTTGTCATCTGTTACTTCCAAAGAAACTCATGTCATTGATCATGCAAGGCATATTGATACTAAGATCGTACAAGCAAATCCTATATTGGAAAGTTTTGGGAATGCTAAAACAATCAAGAATAATAATTCTTCAAGATTTGGGAAATTTATTCAAATTTATTTCTCACATCAAGGTGCAATTACTGGTGCAAACATTGATTATTATCTTTTGGAAAAATCTCGTGTTGTTAGTCAAGCTTCGCATGAACGTAATTATCATGTGTTTTATCAATTCTTGAGAGGTTATGATAATTTGGCATCCTTAGGTTTAAATAAAGATATATCTACTTATAAATATCTTCCAGGTCAAATAGATATTCCCAACGTAGATGATTTCAAGCAATTCAATCTATTAGTGGAAGCATTTAAAATTATGGGTTTTACTACGCAAGAAACCCAATTCATTTATCAATTATTAGCAATCATTTTACATCTTGGTAATGTTGATTTCACATCTTGGAAATCAGATCAAGCTAATTTTACCGAAGAATCGCCCATTGATAAAATTGTCGAATTACTTGGAGTCTCAAAACAAGAATTTGTTGACAACCTTTTAAGACCTAAAGTTAAAGCTGGAAGAGAAATGGTTACAAAATCAAAACGACCATCGGAAGTTAGATTTGCAATTGATGCATTTGCCAAATATCTTTATGAAAAAATGTTTCAATTCATTATAACTAGAATCAATGACAATTTAAGAATTGAAAATCAAGACAGTAATATAAACGATAATTTTATTGGTGTTTTAGATATTGCTGGGTTTGAAATCTTTGAAATCAATTCATTTGAACAATTATGTATTAATTATACCAATGAAAAATTACAACAATTTTTCAATCATCATTCTTTTATCTTGGAACAAAGTGAATATATGAGGGAAGATATTCATTGGGAATTCATAGATTTCGGACAAGATTTACAACCAACGATTGATTTGATAGAAACAAGACTCCCAATGGGTATATTCAAACTCTTGGATGAAGAATGTATAATGCCTAACTCGTCTGATCAAGCCTTTATGGAGAAATTGACAAGTAATTTCAAGAACAAGCATGACAAATTTTCGGAGAATAAGTTCAAGAATGGGTTTATTATCAATCATTATGCAGGTAAAGTTGAATATAATGTCGATAATTGGCTTCAAAAGAATACTGACCCTGTCAATCAAAATATTTTGAAATTATTACCTTCTTCCCAAAATCAATTAATTGTGGAAATGTTTAACAATGATCCTCATTTATTTGATCCATCATTCAGTCCAACAAAAAGACAATCTTCGACCAAAGTTAAAACTGCATCCGAAAAACACAAGGATCAATTGAAAGATCTTATGCAACAATTGGAATCTACTGAACCACATTTTGTTAGATGCATCTTACCCAACTTGAATAAAAAAGCCAATCAATTTGATAAAAAATTAGTATCGGCTCAATTGAGATGTAATGGTGTTTTGGAAGGGATTAGAATCACGAGAGCCGGATATCCTAATAGAATGCAATTTGATGAATTTGTCCAAAGATATTCCGTACTTGTTAATTCCAGTTCGTTAACTAAAACCGATAAAACAAATTGTCAATTGATTTTGAATGAATCTAAATTAGATAGAGGGACATTTAAAATTGGTTTAACTAAAATTTTCTTCAAGAATGGTATATTGGGTAAATTAGAAGAAATGAGAGATTTGTGTCTCAAAGGGATCTTCACTGATTTGCAAAGGGTAATTAGAGGTAATATATCTCGTATTCATATGAATAAGAAAATAAAGCAAATTCAATCAGCCCAAGTAATAGCTAGAACCATGAAGACTTTGGATGAATCAAAAGCGTCAAGTCGTTGGATGGAATTGTTTTTACATATAAAACCATTACTTGAAGAATCTCTAAAAGTGTTAGATTTAAAGGAAATTAAGGAGAACTTGGTTGAAGTGTCAGATAAATTGAAAGATACCGAAAAGCTCAACGAATACTTGAATGGCACGAATGAAGAATTGAAGACAAAGTTGGTACAATTGAAGGAGGAAATGGATAAAAGTTCCCAGCTTGTCAAGGCTAAAGAGTCCAATATTGCAGAGTTGAATCAAAAGGAAAGTGAGGCTCGTGTCAGGATATCAGAATTGGAAACTAAGATTGCAGATCTTGAAAATGCTTCGAAGGGAATAAATCAAGAGAAGGAGAAATTAAAATCAAAAACTGTCGAACTTTCCAGTCAACATGAAGCTAAGCTTAGGGAATTGGATGAGTTATCTAATCAACATTCGAAAGCCCAGAAGGAATTATCAAAAGCTAAGTTGGAATTACTGAATCATGAGAATGTTAGACATAACCTTGAAGAGAAGATATCACAACTTCAACTGGACTTGGAAAAACAATCTTCAGAAGCAAGAGTGGAAATAACAAATTTAGAACGTTTGAACAAGAAATTACAATCTGAACTAGATGATAAATCTAGATTACTTCCCCAAAAGGATGCTTTAACAGAAGAAATTGCTACATTGAAGCAAACGATTTTCAACCATGAATCTAAGATATTTAAACAGGAAAATTTAATGACTTCATTGAAAGCGGACTTAAAGAAACATGACAGTAATAAGCAAAGATATGAAAGCAAGATTGAAGAAGCTAAAAATAAGATTTCACTTCTTAAAGGCAAATCTGAAAGAAAATCGTTGGAAATTGACAACTATAAGAATGAAACTAGAAAGTTGCAACAAGAGCTTGAGGCTATTAAATCCAAGATGGAGAATTCTATATCCTTGAAAAAGGAGCTTGAAGCATTCAAGCAAAATGAAGGTAAGCTTCTTCAGGAGATTGAAAGTTTGAAACTGGATTTATCTGCTAGCAAATCTCTTCATGAGACACTAGACGCGGAATATGAAAAGTTGAAATTCGATTATGAAAATATCAAGAGAACAAAGGACGAATATGGCGCTCGTTTGAGTAGTTTGAACAAGCAAGTGGATCAGCTCAGACAGCAAAAGGATGAACTTGAGAATGAAAAGGAAAATCACCCACCACATTCAGGATTCAACCCACAATTCAAAGAAGAATATGCGCAAATGAAATTAAAATTGAATGAACATAGTGCTGCATTGCGTAAAGAAAAATTGGAACATAAGAAAGTAACAGAAGAATTATCTATTCTTAAACAAAAACTTTCAAATGGAACATTTTCGAATTTTGAACCATCTCCAACCAAAAGACGATCTGTATCAGGAGGAAATACTGCATTATTGACTGAAATCGAGGATTTAAGATTGAGCTTACAACAAGAACAAACGAATTATCAAAGAGCAGAAGCATATGCTGTGGAATTACAAAAGAAGTTAAACAAAATTCAAGCTACTAGAGGTATAAATACCAGCACCGACTACGAAAAGAAATTCAAAGATTCGCAATCTAGAATCTCTCATTTGGAAGACACGATCCATGGCATGCTTGGTTCGGATGGCACGGCCGGTCCCGAAAGTGATCACTCTAAACGTAGTTCATTATTAATGAGAAGTGATAGTTCATTTACAGTTCATGCTTTACAAGGAGCAAGTCAAGATTTTGTTCAAATATATCAGGATATTACCAAAACTTTAAAAACTACCCGTGATGAATTAGCAACTGCCAAATCAGAAATCTTACGTCTTAAATCACTTCTTCGTGAATCTGAAGAGGAATTATATGAAGCAAAGAGAGAAAATTATCGTACAAGTGTAGCTGATTATGAGAATAATATTGCCCAAATGAAAGTAAAATTGGAGAACGTGACTTCCAGGAATAGTGATTTAACGTCTACGATTGAATTATATAAGAATAGATCAAATAAATACTTCAAGAAATTAGAAGCAGCTGAATCAGCGGTCCAGATTTCAAAAAGACACGAGGAAGCAGCTACTAAAGAAATGGAAGATTTAAGGCATCAATTAATACTTGTCAAGGAAGAAGTTAGAGCTTCTCAAATTTTGATTAAGGAATTCCAAAAGAAAACTAGTGAATTAGAAGAAAGTTTACTGCAAAAGAAATTTGAATTGGATAGGGCCCAATCTGAAATCAATGAGCTTAAAGATAAACTTGATTATCATATTAAAAATTATGAGAATAAAGAAGTTACCGATGCTTTGAGAGAAGAAATCAGAACTCTTCATAAGGATTTGAATTTCAAGACCGAAACTGAAACTACCTTAATTAAAGAAAATAAACAACTTCAATTAGATTATGAGGATACTTTGAGAGCTAAAAAACATCTTCAAAATGAACTTGATGAGCAGTTGATCCAAAATGATGAACTTGAAACCAAAGTTGATGAATTATCAAACAAAGTCAGAAAATTGGAAGATGAAGGTTTCATAAGTGAGAGAAAGATCAAGAGTTTCATGAAACAAGTTTCTGGATTAAAAGAATTAGTGGAAGAAGTTACTGTTCAAAGAGATAATTTATTAGCTGAAAAGGAAAAATTACAAGAGAATATCTACAACCTTGCCGCTGATTTGGAAAATAGCAATTCTGAATTATCTCAAACTAAATCTACTTTGGATATGTTGAGAACTCATTTAGAAAATCAACGAGCTGATTCAGAATTCATGAAATCGGAATTAAACCAATCAAAAATGTCGTCGACCTCGGAATTTGAAGATCAACAGAAGCTTAGAAAGGAACTTCTTGTAACCAATGAAGAAAACTTCTCGTTGAGGAAGACCAACGAAGAATTGAAGACGAAGGTTCACAACTTGGAAGAGAAGTTATACAGTAACGAGCAATTGAAGTACTGGGAAGAAAAAGTGAACGAGTTATCTCAATCTTTGGATAAGACTCTCAATGAAAAACAAGATGCTGAAAAGACTGTTAAGGGTTTGGAAAGGACGGTTAAACTGTTGGAAATTCGTGCTGAGAATGAATCTCAATTAGCAAAGAGATATAATGATGAAAATTTCGATTATCAGAATAAGATCAACTATTATAAGAGTAATGTTGATATTCTTCATAATGAGAATGTTGAAAAAGATTTACAATTGAAGATGCTTGAAAGAGAAAAGGGTGAAATGAAGACTGATATGATGTTATTGCAAAAAGAAGTTTTGGAACTTCGAGCAAAACTTGGTGTGGATGTTTAGATGAATGTTAGATGTTTAATATATACAATGAACTTTATTAGGTTACTTATTAATAAATACACAAAAGATAGAATCTTAAAAAAACAACTCTTTCTCTATAAAATGTTAATCTATACATTAACTAAACCATCCTTTTGATTCTTTTACTGCGAAGCTTCTAGGTTCAAGAATTGGTGGACCGGGATATTTTCCAAGGCCATAATGACGAAGAACAAATTCAACATCTCCAAATGCTTCTCTATCACCTTGCATAACTACAGAAGGAATTCCTGAACTAGCTCCCTTTGTAACCACATTCCCGGTGAAGATCTGTTCGGCAATATTTCTTAAATCAGTAAGAGATACTGCATTGACTCTGTCAACCATTTCATCAATTGAAGTAACCTTACCTTGATATTGTACTTGTCTACCTAAATCATCCAAAGTAGCAACTTTGCTTTCCTTAGTCGTTAACAAATTACTACATAATTGGTTCTTAGCTCTGCTGAGTTCATTCTCCTTGAGCCCACCCTTAGCAGGATCTGATTCCAACAATTTTGCCAATTCATGAGCAATAATTTGTGAGGAAACATGAGCAGCTTGAGGAACCAATGAGATCGATACTCCCAATAATCCAGTTCCCATATATGGATGACTGATACTTATACATGAATTGACAAAATGATGTCTATTCAAAACTTGGGTATTCAATCTTGAAAACATTCCTTTTCCTGGTCCACCGGATGAGAACGATGCTCCTCCACCCAATAATTTCGCTAATACGGATACGGGGTACAAATCATCGTGTATTCCTGATGTTTCGAATGCGATTTGCATGTGGTATAATTCAGGTTGGTTGGAATATAATGGCTTTTGATGTGGTATAAAGATTTCTCCACCCGTATAGTTGACTTTACCTACTTCGGGTTTGAATTGTTTTGATGGGTCAACTTCCCAATCTCCGAAGTTATCGAGGGTATATTTCAATGCGATTTCATGAGGAACACCTACCATTGCAATGATGATATTTTGAGGCTGATAGAATTTATTATGAAAGTTGACAATTTCATCCTTCTGAATTTCGTTAACTCGTTCCAATGGACATGAAAGTGGTATTCCTACAGTGTTGTCCTGGTATGCTACCTCATGTAATTTTTCCAGTAAAAGACTATCTGTATTATATTGAAGTGATTCTGCTTCATATGCGGTAGATTGTAAGACCCATTCCACTTCTTCATCGGTTAACTTCGGATAACGGATGGTTTGGGCAATACATTCAAGCATTTGTTCAACATCCTTATTAAACACACCAGCTTGATAAATCATACTTTCTCTTAAGGCTTCAGGTCTATAATTACCACCTAAGGTGGCCAATCTATCCATCATTGCTTCTCCAGAAAATTTCTCGGTTGATTTAAAAGCCAATCTACTCATTACATGGGATAACCCAGGTCTTTGAGGATCTTCATAACGTGAACCAGCATCAACAAAGGCACCTAATGCACTAAAATGACCTGGGCTTGAATCGGAAACTACTCTCAATCGATTTTTCAAAGTAGTCATCTCAAGATTGTTTCCTAACGTGGTGGTAGTTAATCCAGTGGCATTTGATAACTTCCTATTGGAGATCAATCTCAATTGTTTCTTGATGGCTCCATCCTTGACGGAACTTCTGGCTATTCTTGACCACATGTCAGCTAATGTGTGTTTCAGTATAAGTTTGAGTGCTTATCAATTAAATCTATCTTGCCATCCTGTTAAAGGAAAACCAAAAATACAGGAGTGAAAAAAAATTTACTCTATGTGTCACGTGAGAGGTGGAATTTTTACATAGTCTAACATATAGATAGAGATTATACTATAAATCCAATAAACTAGTTTCATTCTTCTTCTCCTTCAGGCCGTCAAGATTCAAAAGTAAATCATCATTAGCTTGTTGTACTTTTCCATCTTTCAATGCAAGGAAATTATGCGAAAGTTTAGGACTTTGAACAATCTTCAATTCGGCAGGCTTTGGTGAAACAGTTTCAAACTCTGAGAAAATATCGTCATCATCATCATCGTCATGATCTATATGTTTCTCTTCATCTTTCGATCCTCTCGGACTAACGGAGAAATGCTTATCTAATTCACTTCCAGTGATTAATATTTCGGGCGCTTCTGATGAATTCTTAGCAGGATTTTCGATTGAAAGACTTGGCTTATTTTCTGTATCGAGAGCATCAACCGGACGATCCTTTTCAAACAACGTAGACTTGCTACGATCTCTTTTTGGTGACGATGATGCAAATACTCCAAACAATGAAAATCCTTTTTTGCTTTTTGACGATGAAGGTGCAACCGAACTTGAATCCGCAGTGTGTACACTTTCGCTAGAAGCTCTTGCCATATTGGTATTCTCAAGCTCGCCAATTTTCCATGTATTCACTTGAGAACTACTCGCGGATGCAGACGTAGGATTGAATCCAAACAAAGATCCAAAGAATCCTGGTTTGTTTTGATTTGCTTCTATTGCTGCTTGGATTGATTTCTCGTATTCTTCTTCTTTAATCTTCAATTTCCGGAGATATTCTTCGTGATCTCGTCTCTTTCTTTCGTGGATCTGTTTGGACATTTCATCATTGTGATGCTTCTTTATTCGTTGAATACGGGCATGAATGAACTTATTTGATTCTGCTTCAACTATTCGATTTAATTTATTGTTGATTGATTGTTTCGGGAAAGCAATATTTAAACTTTCTTGTAACTTTGTTTTCTTATTGTCTTCTTCAGTGTCTGCAATATGACCATTTGATGATTTGCTTAAATCATGTCTCTTGATGTTAGAGTCTCCTTTTAGTCGACGAAGTTCCTTCTTCCTCGCTTCTATATATGCGTCACTCGATGACCAGCTGAATAATGCGTTAGCACGCAAAGAACCTGTCGTGGTAGTAGATGGTTTTTGCTTGTTGTTGTTATTACCTTCCTTAATATCATTGTTACTTCCCCAGTGATCTAAGATAAGCTTTTGAGTTTGTTCGATTGTAGAGTCTGACCATCGTAGTATTTTGTTATTAGACAGTTGATCTCCTGTCATGAATTGTTTAGAATGAGATTGGAAAGATGAATAGTATTTGTTGCCATGTTCTGATTGTTGTAGGATCAATTCAGGATAGATATGGAATTGATCTTCTTTATCATTGTTGCCATTGGTGAATTTAAGATCATGAAATAAAATGTTGGCTATTTCGGAAACATCAACTGGTTTTTCATCCAACGGATGTTGTTGATCTGTGGATTGTATCTCGCCGGTTCCTTCCATTGAGATTATAACCCTAGCTTGTCTTTTGTAAAAATGATAGACTGACAGGTGGTAATGCTTGTCGCTTAGTTTTGAAAATTGGTAATCTAATTAAATTCTCGAGACAACAGTACCGCACTACCAACCAAAAAAAAATTAAATTATAGCCCTGCGCTCTCATCTTGCAAGAGAGAAGACCAACACCAATTCTCCACAAGAGACCCTTTATAGAAAACAAAGCACCAAACCACAGTCAAGATGTCAAATCAAACAATCACATTCCCTCAATTCCCCAATCATTCAATCTACATATCCTTATTCAAAGGACTTTCATCCAATTCAATCAAACAAATTAAACAAGAATTAGTATCGGGAAACAAAGCATATGATTATTGTTTTCTTAATACTAAACATATCGTATCTTTAGAACATTTATATAGTAGTATTCATAGATCAATACTAAATTATACAAATAATAATATGGCGGCAAAGACTTTAAATACAGAAATTATATTTAATTTGTCTCCGATTAATAATATAGTTGATGCATTGAAGAATTTTGGGATTAGGGAAGATTGTCCTAATGTGATTATAATTAAAGTATTGCCAACTGAAGAATGTACAGAGGATAAGATACTGGAGATTACTGAGAATTTGAGTGCATTGCTTGGAGAGGGTGTTGAGAAGGCTAGTTTGGATGATGAGTTGATGTTTAATGAATTAGTAGATATCAAGAAACTAAAGAAATTGTATAAATTAAATGATGCAAAGATTGATGGAGAAGGTAAAGAATTACAACAAAGGTTAACACGATTAGCAATTGGTGCTTGCCTCTTAAGAGGATATTAACGAATCAGTTATCCATGCATTTATAATTTATAGAAATACAATTTTTTAACTAATGACAGATCTAACGTCTTCTATATGCAAATTGTTTCAAATCTACAGTCTGACTTAACTTCCTACTGCTTTCAACCGTCGATATCGCAGAAGAAACATTTTCACTATTGCTAACTTGCAATTTCTCCACCACGTGCAAACTTCTTCTCTGTGACTTCTTCCCACTAGTTGTAGTGTTATTTGGACCTAATATTACTTTATTCAGTTTTTTAGAAAACATTTCCTTAAAATTACTCGACCTACCCGTCGAATCACACAGAAAAGCATCCCTTAATGCCGATTTAAACTCCTGAATGAATTGGTTTGTCTTTATAGGAGATTCTTCAATCTCATCCTCGTGTTCATCAATATCAAACCCATCATCACGACTAGTTGTATCTTTCTTCTTAATCGGAGTTTTTTCTTCAGCTTCCCCTTCTTTCAAAGAATCTTCAACCCCATCATCATCTTCTTCATAATACTCATTCTCTCTGATTCCACTAAGTTCATCAAGTATATTATCAGTCCTAAACCCCTTTCCATCCGTGGTCTTAATTGGGGATGACCCTTCTGGAATTTCAGAATCTTCCAAAAAACTCGAAAATGCATCAATACTACCATGAATCGGTCCTTTTGGCGTGGTAGCTATTGAAATATCCGGACTGGGGTATGATATATCCTTAACTGGGACATTGGTATCGACTTCATCTGGTGGGGAGAAGAATTTACTCTTTTGTGCTCTTGATGGACTTGGGGTCATGATTATTCGTTTGACTTTTCTGGATGTGGGTGATAGTTTGTCTGTTGTAGTTTGAATCTTTGGTTTTTTGAATTGTCTCTCGGGTGTTTTTTGAGATTCTGATTTCATTGATATTGTGGTGGTGGTGGTTGATTCACTGTTTGAGATTTTGAGTGTGGTTGAGGTTGACTTGTTGGAAACTTTAAGTAATTCAAGAATTGACCGTTTCTTGGTTTCAATCTTATTGGATATGGATATCGTTCTGCCAAGATTCACCGAAGGACTCTTCAAACAATTCAACGATTGTTCTCTCGAAACCAAAATCTCATGTCTATTAGGATCAATCTCACCATTACATATCTGTCTATAAATCTCATTATTCAAAGTTTTCCCACAACAGGATTCCAAAACCTCAAACTCCACATCTAAATGCTCAGGATATTCATTCAAAGTTCTCAACTCCTGCACCTCAGGATTGAAAACTTTTTGAAACTGGAACGCTAAATTTGCTTTTTGAACCTCCTCCCTAAACTCCGCCGGGATTTTCTTTCCATCAGCACGTAATGCAATTAAAACCTTTTCCAAATTATTATATTTCCTCACATATGTAAATGCCCCTTTCATTCCAATCCCAGCTACCCCCTTCGTATAATCACATCCAGAAAGCATGGCCACTAAACGTAATTGTTCTTGAGTATATGTCGATAAATAAGGGATTTGTCTAACTTTCCCAAAATTCTCTCGATTAATTTCAACACAGGTTCCATCATCTTTCAATTTCGTGATTAATCTCTTACATCCAAAAATCAACAAATCGGAATCTTCAGATAAGATTCCATCTACCAATCCGATTTTCTCCAAATATACCATCTGGGGATCGGCTTCATATGGTGCTACTATATATTTGATATTTAATTCATCTAATTCGACCATTATAGATTTCGCCATTTGTGAAGTCACATATGCGGCTTTCATATATTCCTTAAATGCCAATTTCAGTTTATTCAACCGTGTATATTCCTCCGCTTTGGTTCTAGCTTCTTCTCGTTTCGTCCGACGTTCTAATGCGGTTTGTTCTTTGGTTGGAAGTGAGGCACCATCAAATACGAAATATGGTTCTACACCAAAATGTCGTAACATTTGAACTTTGTTTATTATTGAAGTAATGTATTTTCGAGTAGGTTGACCTGAGCAGAGTTCTTGGGCACATGAGATTAATCCACGATGTAACCAGCCATAAGTATCGATGGCTAATGTTTTACCACGATATCGTTCTAACGTTCCTGGTTCTTGGATTTCTTTGAGGGCGGGTAAAAGACCAGTAACACCCATTGCTGATTTCTATAAAATGTCTATCAGGTTCTTGAGAGGGAGATCTTAATGGGGTATATTGTTATCAAAGGAAGGAAAGTGTTGGAATGTTAGTTGAGGAAGAAATATCAAAATGTAAACACAGGGATTTCTAGTACGCGCACTCGTAGTAAAGAAAAGAATTTTTCAAACGATGGGTCTAACCAAACGCGGTACTAAAATTGAAAATCGCGGTACTAAGTTAGAGACTGTTGGGTAATAAAGGAATCGTTTTTGTTGTAAATGTATAAATATAATATGACTATAGTAAACTTTTAACTATTCTACAGAGTACGAAGGGAACTACCAATAGATATTGAGAATTGTAAACCATCTTTAATTCCAATATTATTATCAGATTTAACTCTTTGACTTACATAATAACCAATATCTAAATTAGCCCAATTACTAAAATATTTTAAACCAACTCCACCACTAATTGCCCCAGAATCATCATCCATAATATTATTACTAACATTACCAATTATACCATCAGCATAAAATCTCAAAGGATTTTGATCATCACTTGGGATGTGACTTGGTGGTTGATATAAGAATTTTGGGATTTTGGAATAAATTGTTCCTTGTAATTTATAAAATTGTAATCCACCTTGAGGTTGGATTGAATTTCTTGTAAATCCAGAAAATGAATTATATCCACCTAAATAAAACTTATCACTTGAATGAACGGTTATTTTATTGGAATCCATGGGGAAAATAGCACCCATATCTGCTTGAATACGAGTGGTTATATAATTATTAAATAATGATTTATAATAATTATAAGATAATGCCGATTTAATGAATTCTCCATGATTGATTGAATTCTTTTGTTCTTGATTTGAAGAAATTTCATTATTTAAAGTTAAATCATAACCACCTGATGGGAAATTTTTGGTAATTGGATTTAAATAATTTAATTTATTTAAACTAATTTGATTAACTAATGATGATTTTAAATAATCTCCATTAAATGACTTTAAATCATCAGATGCAGAACTTTCATCAATATCATAAACACTTCTATTGTATAAAGATACTCCAGAAAAGATATTCAATTTATCCAGATGATTATATAATACACCAAGTATACCACCAGTAACACCTTCATTGGCTTTTTGCCAAATTTGATTATTTTGTTGAACATGGGATATATCAAGCATAAGTTTATAAGCAGGATTCTTTAAAGTGGATAAGATCTTAGCATTGGCAATTAAATGATCATTTGGTTTATAAGGATTATAATCAACACCAATATTAAGCAATTCAGCATTTTGATTAACATTATTATCTAAATAATTTAATTTAATATTTAAATAATCTTCAGTATTAAAATTCAAAAATCCATCAATTGAATTTAAATTAATTGATTCTAAATTGAAAACAACTTTTGTTCTTAATGATTTCTCTTTATTATATTTCTTAATATAAGCAGGAATATTTGAATAAAAATCTGGTTGTAATCTTGCAGAAATATCCAGAAATACACCAGTTTTAATTAATCTAGCTTCTGATTGATGAATACAATCAACCAATTGAGTTAAAGTATAATCACCATGTTCAAATAATGGTGTTAATAATTTCTCAAAGAATGTATCTGAGAATTGTTCACCTCCATTAACTTCAACTCTAGTTAAAAAGATTGGATGTGATCCTGATTCTTCTAAAATATGTTGTGTTTGTAATTTAGATTTTAAATTAGGATTACTATCCATGAAATGAAGAACCATCGCTGTTTACTCTCTTGTTGTCAATTGGGGGTGGTGGTTCCTCGGTGGTGTTAATTAAATCCCTTAAATTGGTTAAAAGAGTCAAAACTGCTTGGTTCCTCTGTTTTTTTTTTTCTGGACAATCTAATATTAAGTTCTCTCACTAAAACTCGTAAATTTGGAATATTTAAGTTTTTCCTTTTCTATTGGATCTCTAAATTCTTTCTTGGAGTAAATTAATTATTATTGGGGCAGAAAAAAATTGAGGGACAGGGAGAGACCCGGACAACAATACTAATTAGGCAATTCAATCACGTGATTTTACGTTTTGATCCAATTTGATGGAAAGCGTCAGGCAAGGGGGTAGTTGTCAATAGGACCTCTACCCCTTGGAGTTATTCAAATACTGTGGCGCTTTTGATCTTAGAACGTACGAGATACATCTCTCTTTTATATATAATTATTATTATTACTTTTCTTTTCTTTTACAAATCAATCTATAAAACAAATCTAAATTTCATTTGAAGAACTGGTACATATCTAAAGCTGTTCAACAGTTGCACCATCATAAGCCAAATCCAATAATTTCCAATCACATTGAACTCCAGCTTGTTTAAAAATCTCAATTACAGAATTAGCAATCTCATCAAACCCTTCAGTAGCCAAACATAAAATAGTTGGACCAGCACCTGATAAACAAATCCCACATAATCCAGGATGACTCAATGGAGTAATTGAATCCAAAACTTGTTGTAATCCAGGTATCAAACTTGCACGATATGGTTGATGAATCTTATCTTTCATAGCTTGATAAATTAATTTATTATTTGGATTAGATTGAGTTAAAGCAGAAGTTAAAATGGCAATTCTTTGTAAATTATAAACAATATCTTCTCGATTATAACTTTCAGGCAAAACAGCTCTTGCACTATCAGTACTCAATTCAAAATTAGGAATAACCGTGACACATTTAATCTTTTTACACCAATCATATTGTAAATATTCCCCAATATTCATAGGAGGTTGTTTTGATACAATCATATCTTGAGGAGTACTTGGTCTAGGTAAAATGCATTCCAAGGGTACATTCTTATGTTCCATATGTTCCAACTCCATTTCATTCAAATATGATCCAATAAAACCTCCCAACATGGCAGCAGCAATATTATCAGGATGTCTTTCAATCATCAAACAATAATCCAATAATCTAATCTTATCAAAACCCAATTTCGCAATCTCATTCCCCAACACCACCCCACCCACAATCGCACTCGCACTCGATCCTAATCCACGACCTAATGGAATCGGATTCGTGACATGAATATGGGTCCCACTGGGGAATTTGTCAATCCCATTACATCTTAAGACATATAATGCCGATTGGGTGACGAGGTTTTTGTCGGAAGATAAGGGGACATTGGCAGCAAGATCTCCTTCATAGGTGAGAAGAACATGATATGGGTCGGATGAGGTGTCGATTTCGGGTTCGATGGTGACTTTTAATTCTAAATAGAGTTGTAATCCTATTCCGAGGACGTCAAACCCAGGTCCGATGTTGGCTGAGGATGCTGGGACTTTGATTTTAAATCCGGACATAGATAGTGTTTTGGTAGTTGTGTATATATATGACTTGTATAAAGTCGAGATGGGGGGAGGAGGGGTTTGAAAAATGGATGATTCAAAAACTCGAAGAATTTTTCAATATTTAAAATTTCTTTTCGTTCAGTCATATCTTACTGACGGATTTGGCTGACAGTCGAGCGAGAAAAAAAAACCGGCCCGTTTTACGCCTAAGAGAGGTAGAGATCATATGACTCAAACAAATAGTATAAGCCTCACGGTTATAGAGTGAAGTCTAATTACAACAAATCAAAGTCAATTATAAAGTAATATCAATTTTGAAAGCAAAAAATCGGAAAACTCATATATATTTATATATCTAACTAATTACATAAACCTTATAAAACACAAGTTGGCCTCTTTTCCCAAACAATTTCAGCTGGTTCTTGAGGTAATGTAACCATTGAAGTAAAATCAATTTCTGGGACTTTTTCAGTATTTAAACTCCATCTAATATTATAAACATATGTAGATAAAATCGTACCTAATTGAACATAAGCAAATTGTTCTCCAATACATCTATGTCTACCACCACCAAATGGTAAATATGGTGAACTAACACCCTTTGAAACTTTTCCGAAACCATAATCAACTTCATCAGAATTATTGGCATCACCAGTAGTCTTTGGTTGATCATCCCATCTGTGAGGATTGTATTCACTAGCATTTTCAAAGAATCTTTCACTGGTATGGACATAACCTGGACTCACTAAGACATAATGACCCTTGGGGACAACATAACTAGTACCTGGAACTAACAATGGTTTCATAACTTTTCTAAAAATAGAATGTAATGGCATATGCATTCTTAAAGTTTCTTTAATGGTATTATTAATCAATGGTAATGATTGTAAATCTTCATAAGTTAAATCATTTAAGTCTCCACCTTTTTCTTTCAATAAACCACAAATTTCAGCATAAATTTCATCTTGTAATTCTGGTTTTGCACCTAAATGTAATAAGAACCAAGCAGAAGTAGAAGCAGAAGTATGTTGACCACCCATCAAGATACCAATTAAAAGATTAGCAATTTCTTGATCAGTCATTTTAACACCATCTTTATAAGTAGAATTAAGTAATAAACTATCAATTAAATCACGATCAGGAACAATATCACCAGTTTTTCTTCTTTTGGTAATTTCTTTCATATAAGTAGCAGAAATCTTTTGTTGAGCTTGATCACGTTTCCAATAATGAGGTAATGGTAAATTTGGAAATACAAAATTAATTGGAGTAAAACCTTTATCTAAATCAGAATATAATTGAGCAAATGATGCATCAAATCTTTTTCTCATTTCTTCACCCATTAAAGATCTTGAAGCAGTGAAAATTGTAACTTCAGGTTGAGTTTTCATAACATTAGCAACACCAGATTTCTTTTTGGACATTTGGAAATTTTCAGAATCTTTAAAATAACTTAAAATTTCTTCTCTAATCTTGGGGACATAACGTTTAAATGAATCAGTAGTTAAAGCAAATTTAGCAAATTTCTTTTGTTCCATTAATCTTGAATTTGGACAATCATAAATAACCCCTTTACCAAAAACAGGAGTAGTTAAATGTTTATAAGCTTCTTCAGCAGATACTTCAGAAACTTTTGCATTAAAAGTAAATTCATGACCTTTTGGTCCAAGATAAACAGTCATAACTTTACCTAATAACATAAAAGCAAATACATCACCATGTTTTTGACGACATGTTTCAAAGAAGGCATATGGTGCCATACCAAATTGTACAGCTGAACCAACCCATGGAATCCAATAAAATACTAATGGAACTCGATCTTTTCTTAATGAATATAATAATTGATATACTATATTATAAACGAATGGAACAATAATCAACAAGGAAATTTGTTGAGTAATTGAAAGTGACATAAAAAGGTTATAAGCACCAACTGCTGCATCAACAATAGCCATTTTGCTTTTCTTTGTATATCTCTTAGTATTAAATGAAAGTCAAACTTATTGAAAAGTTGTTGTATAAAATGTGTGAAATATGGAAATTGAAATCAATCGAAAAAAAAAATCTGTATGATAGATATTCGATGGATTCAATTAATTGATAGATATAGATGAATTGGAAAAAGTTTAATAACTTTGTTTTGTTAGAATAAGTTTCCAATTAAATTAATCTAGCAAAATAAGAACTAAGGAAAAGAAAAAAAAATTGATAAAATTCCCAAGTACTTATATATTGTTAAAAGGAAAGAGAGAAGTAAGTAGTAGTAGTGGTGTGGTTCTAAAGAACGATTGAAAGAGAATCGATCGTATAAATTCTCTTTTTAATATTTGCTTTGTAATTCTGTCGTTGCTATACGAGAGAAAAAAAGAATAGTACAGACACGTTAAAAGAAAAAAATTAAATCTTTCAGTTTAAAAAATGTAACCAAAAATAACCGTTACATCAACCGGACTACAAAAAAAATAGTACGACGACAAATGTCGTATAAGTTACACGTCACTGCCGGAGAGCGTATGGCAATTAATTCAATTGTAATCAATTTCATTGTTTTATATACAGGCAATTAATTATGATTTAGTATGTTTCATTTTGAACTAAATTATTCTGTGATTTAGGAATTTCAACAGTCGCTTAAAAGAAATAAGCGTAAAATTATTTTGGCAGCAATTGTTGTTTTTTGCAACCTGAAATTTGTTCTCTTCTACGATAACTAATTGAAAGCGATTCTTCCTTTAATCATTCCATTTAAATCATAAAGAAGAAAATGTTCATAAATAAAATATTACATAAAACGAATAAATATATAGATATATAAAAATAAAAATCACTACAGAGATTCAACTATAAGATGGATAAAAGTACAAGAGTGTATGTAACCAACACTAGCACTCATTGACACCTAATATGAAGAAAACTAGCTTCTTCATGGGTCCTTGGATATTCTAACCAACACAGTTGGTTATCAACCTGGTGCCATCAGTTCTCTCTCTGCTTCTCTCTCTCTCTCTCTATCATACAGGGAAACGGTTGAAGGGATAAAATCTTGGGAATCGTAAAAGGAAAATCAATGTAATTATATTATATAAAACAAAATCATATCTGAATACAACGTGTATCTCATCTATCATTTGTCAATCTTCTCATCATCATCATCATCATCATCAATATTCAATCCCAACATTCTTGCCTTCATAGCTAATTGATCATTCTCTTGTTTCATCTTATCATTCTTCAATTCCAAAAATTTAATATATTCAATTGATTTTGCCAATATCGTCCCTTTATTCAATTTTCTGGCCGGTTCTAATCCTTCTAAATCAATATTATCATCTTGAATTAATCCCAAATCAACTTCTTCATCCGACATGGAATCATATTCATCTCCGGCACTTTCATTATTAAGATGATGTTGTTGTTTCATCTGTAGTTTTTCTCGTTCTTTACGTTGGGCAAGTATTCGTAATGTAGGCACAGAATTTTGAAGTGCATTGAATTTATCATTAATCTTGTTTCTATATCTTTGTTCAATCACATTATGGGCCGATTTAACCCTTGGCCTACCTGGATGATTATGATGATGTTGTAGCTGTTGCTGCTGCTGTTGGATTGGATTGTTTGGATTGAAGGATCCATTGCCATGGGTATAATCATCAAGTATCTTATTTTGTGATTTTCTAGGTGCTTTCTGGGATACATATTTAGGAAATTGGTTTAATGGTGATGTAGGTGGTGATTCGGTTCTTACTTTAGTTAATGGAGTACCAACCCCAAATGTAATATTTGCTGCTCGTTTAGTTAATTGTTCTGATGTTTGAAATCCCAATACTGAATTATTATCTTGTTTAATTGAATTACTTAAATTAGTATCCACCGACTCTAATGAATCCAAAGAATTATCATGACTTAACCGATTAGCTTGCATTATTTGATGTTGCTGCTGCTGCTGCTGTTGCTGTTGATGTGGTTGAGGCTCTTCTTCAATGGGTGCAAAATCACTAGTATAGCTAGAAGCATTCGTAGGAATATGTGCCAAACTAAAAAGATTATCAGGACTAGTCACTGAATTCTCCAACACCATAGAATCAGCTAAATTGGAACTATGATATCTAGCATCATCGCGTTCTGCTCCCATCTCAGCGATGAATTCTGTCATGTTGCCAGACATTTCATCTTGATCAGTGGTGGGGGTTCCAACATTACCATATTCTTGGGGTAATGGTAAACTAATTGATTTTCCTTTGCCATTGCTAGTAGCCCCATATGTGAATGTAGGGGCAATGAGGCCAAAATCGAAATGTAATGGGAATCTTCCTTCGTCGTTCATTGACATGGGTACGTGAGGCATGGATTGTGATCTAACTTTATTATTATTTGTAGTTTCGTTGTCTTGTTGTGGTGGTTCTGCCGCTATATGCCGTTGCGGTTGTTGTAAGTCTTGTTGCTGTGAATCTTGTTGTATATGTTGATCAAGTACTAATTGTGGGGATGTACTAGTATGTTTTAATTGTTCTAATTGTTGTTGGTGTTGATTGTTCTTATCAAATAACGATGTTAGGAATGCGTTATAATCATTCAACTTAAAGGACATGAAGAATATCTATAAACTTGTTTTCCCCCGGGAAATAAAAAGGGAGATTCGTGGTTAATTTATATTGGTTTGAAATCTTCGAAAAGAGTGGGTTAGGAATATGTATATCAAAGAAGAGTTGCTTTTTTGGGAACAAAACCAATATTATGAATAGTTGATAATATATGCCTTGTGAATCAATGTAAGTTCAGTTTGATCGATGCTAGTTCGTAATTGCAAATAGAACCTTTATGGAACAATGACTGACCTTTTCTTTCTTGATTAACTTGATTGCCGTGCGGCTCTTGTGTATTTCCGGTTGATACAGATTGAACGATGTTTAGTAAACCAAAAAGAAAAAGGTTAAAGGAATTCAATGGTTAGTATTCAAATGTAAAGATATGTTAAAGGGTACCTCTTCTGAACTAAGAAAAATGACCAATAATTTATTTCGAATTCAAATGCCAATTTTTTATAAAATAAATAAATCCAGAAAAAGCTTATTCTGAATCATGTACTTGCTAAAAATTATTAACGTTTTTTAAACTTTTTCTCGGATACTTAGTCCTTATTCCCTTTTCGGTTTGAAGTTCGTATTATATTCTTTCCTTTTGCACATATCAAGAATCGAGCCTCTCTAAAGTGTCATAGTTTGCCTCGGGTAAACAGACTCAAAACCTTTATTTCGTGTCTATAATCAGGCCACCTCTTCCATTATATCTATTGTTTCCGTTGTTTTCCGAATTATATAGAGTTAATTAACCATCCTATTTGGGTGCAAAACATTTTAATCTGACACAGATAGCGAGAAAGGTTAATATTTCAAAGGAGAAAACCGGAAGGGATTCATTAACCTTTTCTTTTTTATAACAGTCATTCGAAAGTTTATCTATGACTGTTAATCTTTTAACGGAAGGGTAAAATCCCCAAGGAATCCTAACTATTTGCAGGGAGTCACATACTGTAAATTGATTTAATGCTGGCAATAATAAAAAAATCGTATGATTTTTATTTTTTAGATTTTTAGATTTTTTTCTAAAATTTCTTTTTTTGTGTTTTGCTGCAAAAAATAATAATCTCTGAGTACACACAACAGCAGACAAGGGGGGCAAGACTGCTCAACCATTAGGGATGATAAGCAACAATATCCAACCGTTTTCTATCTTTCTTAATACGAATCGAATAAAAACGTTCTTCTCTTTCGTTTTATCAATGACGAATAACTTAAAGAATTTTTCGCGTTTGTAAGTTTGTATTGACAATAAATTGATCATTCCTTTCTCGCTTGTCACCTCCTCCCTGGCAATGTAACTATGCCTGACTCTCTCTTTGTCTCATTCTCTCATTCAACTCCATGCAGCGGATGTATTTTACCGTAAACTTCAAACTCGCTTCGGAGTCGGTTTTTTTTCACAACTACCGAAACGACTATCACTGATCAGTACTTCTTAGTACACGTCCCTACTTTGAATTTCTGAATCATTTCCCAGTTAGATGTTCCATGCCATGCACCTAGAGGTCACTTACATGTATGAAAGCCGTTGAGATCTGGTATCTTCAAAAGCAAAACCATGATTTAGCAATGTATAAGTACAACATCATTTTCCACCAAATAGCGTTACAATTACCAATTGCCGCTTTTTCTAGTATATATGACTATCTGACAGCATCATCAATTCCTTTTCGTAGCATCTTTTGTCTTTTAAGCTTTTTGAGGGTCAGTCTTTTTTATAGTCCGTTAGCCCCATTTTTCTTAAGATCTCCAATCATACCTCGGGTCTTTCTGTATCTTCTATCTTTCAACATTACATCATTTGTATCGTACTATACTTACATAGTAATTCTCCGTAGAATGCCTTATTTGGTATTTGATCCGCGCTTATGTCTTCATGACTTCGACCACTATTAGACTTTCCATGCCCAGAAATCTAGTACTCCCGTGGATAAGCATGTCAAGTTTATTTCAGATCATTGAGGTGGCCAAAGGTGGAACCAGCATCTTGTCAAGATCGATTCATGTTTCTTCTTTGATGATCGATCGATCTTTGTTCTCTTGTGATGGCACCATCCCCCTGTCTCGCTTGGTTTCATGATAGACAATTTCCACCATTGTTCTTGATTTTTTGCAACCAATGTCGCATAATATTTATGTGGCCGATTTTTTCCACGACATTCTCGATGAGTATCGGTAACCAACTTCGCTTTCTTCAACGATTCTATTCCTTCCAATCAAGGGCCTTCATCCAGGATATATACATTTCTCGAAAGATGTCTGACTTGCACGACTTATGTAAATTCCCGCAAAGACCAATTAACGAATCATATATCGTCCAATTGAAACATTATCTTTCCAATGGGATCCCAGCAACATATACTGTTGAAGAAGCGTACAACTACACCAACAATATCGAAACTGAATCAGAAACAACCACTACTCCATTACATCTTATCTGTACCCATGTGCCTACTGATTCCAGTCCTGAGGAATTGGAAATTGTATCCAAGATGGTTGAAGTTTTATTCGAATATGGTGCTGGTTGGTGTTTTACTGATGTGAATAATGATACTCCTGGTTGTGTATTGCTTAAACGGAACTTAAAAGATTTCGGAAGGATATATAGTCAGATCGTGGAAGCTGGTGTTAGGGCGGAATTATTGTTGAGAAAAGTGAGTGAGTTTGATATGGAGGTAATTGAAGATACGGATGATTTAAATCATGAAGAATTTGAAAATGTTCCTGAGTTGGTGAAGGAAGAAGCTCCAGAAGCAGAAGCCGAAGCTAAAGAAGAAGCACCTGCCAAAGCTGACGACGAAATCGACGATGCTCCAGATGCCCCTTCTCAAAACCAAGAATCATACCTCAACACAAAACTCGAATATGTTGATGGAGCACTCATAACCAAAGGAAGAAAAGATGGAGTCATGATGGAATGGGAAACCGATCTTATGAAACTCGGATGTGATTCCCTCTTCAAAGGTGCCAAGATCGACGAAGACGAACTCGATTCCGAAATCAATATCTTAAACATCGGTTTTGGTATGGGTATCATCGATACCATGATCCAACAACAAAAGCCTACGAAACATTATATATGTGAAGCACATCCTGATGTTTTGAAGAAATTGAGAGATGACGGATGGTATGAAAAACCCAATGTTGTCATATTGGAAGGAAGATGGCAGGATAAATTGGATGAATTGTTATCACAGGGAAATGTATTCTTTAATGGGATTTATTATGATACTTTTTCAGAACATTATCTGGATATGTTAGAGTTATTTGATTATATTGTAGGGCTATTGAAACCATATGGGGTGTTTTCATTTTTCAATGGGTTAGGTGCAGATAGACAAGTTGTTTATGAGGTCTATAAACAATTAGTAGAGATTGATTTGAAGAATTATGGTTTAGACTGTAAGTTCATTCAAGTCACAGTCCCTGAATCAACATTAAAGTCTAGTGATGACAAAAGTGTTTGGGATGATGTTAAACGTTCTTATTGGTCTTGCCCTGTATATTATCATCCCGAAGCCAAATTTATAGAATTATAAGATCTGTACATTAATATATAAATAAGTTATATGCAACTACTTCATGCTATACAGTCGTCGTTTTCTTTTCCTTTTCAATAATACATCCCAATCCAATAAATGCTTCGTCTAGTGCTCTTTCAATCACCGTATGTAATCTCCACCCAGAGGCCAAATACTCTTTATTCTTGGCCAACAGGTTCATAAATGGATCATAATAACTATCTTTAATATGATTTTCTATATCCATAATCTCATCAACTGTATTGGGTATAGGCAACATCTCATATTTCTTATTAAGATCACGGTCGCCCTTAAAGGGAGTGAAGGGTGTTTTATATTCATTCTCTAAATCTTTAACATGTTTCTGGAATGGATTGGTGTTACTAAATTGTTGATCCAATTGATTATTAATTTGTTGAAGTTGTTTTCTCCGAAGTGAAGATCTCTTTAACATATTACTTTGTTGTTGTTTTATCAATTCATCACTACTAGCTGACGACGTGGTCATCTTATCCAACAATTCCTGTTGTTGTTCTCGTTGATATGCCATATCTTCAATTTCCATTTGTTTCTGAATTCTTAATTTCTCTTGTTTTAATCGTTCCATAGCTTCTTGATATTTCGATAAATCGGCATTCTTTTGTGATTCTCGCATATTCTTCTCCAAGATTTCTAATTTATGTTCTTGTTCATATTTAGCCAATTCAGCTTCTGTTTCTTCAACATCTACCCCATTGTTCAATTTAAATACAATGTCTTCAATATTTTCAAGATATTTATTATATTCTTTCAAATCAGGAAAATCTTCTTCTGTTTTATTATATATATTCCCAACTTTTCTTCTAATATCAATCTCCTTCTCAATTCTTAAATCATCAAATATCTGTTCTTTAAATTTATTCTTACGTAAGATCTTTCCACATTTGGCATACGGATATGGTGCTGGTCCAAGTGCAAATATTCTATCAACACATGATTCACATATTTTATGATAACATTCAGGGTTGATTAGGAAGTTCATATTTGGAGATAAATATTTATCTGTTTTACAGATGGGACACATATCTTTCAATGCATCATCGTCTATCCATGATTTGTTAGTAATGATGTTCATACTATTGGAATTGTTGAGGGATAACTTACCGTCTATGATTTCTAACATGTTGTCTATAAGTATTATTTGTTTCTTCTACCAAAAGCTATTTATTCTTGAATGTGATTTGTAATATGAATTCCATAATCTGTCAAACTGGAAATTTTATATTGAAGAGATATTGTGCACGAAAGAAAATGAGCCGCATGATATCACGTGATTCCATTTTTATGTGGCACACTTTTATAGGCTTTACACATGCAGCATAGGATTGAATGACCTGTGAATCTCTTGAATAATCTGTAAATCTTTAAGATATGTGTTTAGTTTGCTTTGTTTTGGATTCTGAAGTATTGATGAGCAATAAGAATCTGATATTTATTCTTAAATAAAATTGCAATTTTTTGTACAAAACTTGAAGTTTCACAATTTATCGACTATATTTTCACAGAAACCCATCTTTGATGTTGTCTACATTCTTCTTAAGAAACCCAACTCAGCCGGGGAATGGAAATTATATTACTACTTAAATTAATAGTAACAGACTTAATTACTGTTAGCGTAATTAATTTGCATCCAGTTGCAATTTTGGTCAAATGTACACGACCGTGCAATTACGTCGTTTAATAAATTTCCTAAAACGAAGCAACTATTGCCTACTCAGCCGTTCAACCATCCATACTAAATCAAAAGACATATCGACATCAGAAGAAAACCCTCATATGGATACTATATTGATCATATGGTTCTAGATTCTCCGTTGTTCAAGAATCATTTGCTACAGCAAATTGTTCCTATACTTATAATCATAGGATTAGGTTATTTAGATTTTGCATGTGGCTATGCCTTGGGATATAAAGAAATCTATCGACACGATTCAAAGAGGATAGCAGTTACACTATGGTGTTTATTGGGTATATCTAACTTCAACACATTACTTTATTGGGCATTAGTGTTTATAATTGGACCGGGAAAGGCACCAAGTTTCCCTCCGTTGAATATATATAATGAGCCAGAAAATGATGAATTGATCCCCCTTCCTGATTTATTCTTCTGTGATGAACTGGGATATCCCTATTATTGTTCCCATTCCAAATCAATCAAGATTGAACGAAGTTTCTTTCTGAAACATGTTGGATATAATGTTCTTAAATTTGATCATTATTGTATTTGGATTGGATATCCATTAGGTCAAGCAAATTATTTGGTTTTTATTAAATATATGTTTTGGTTCTTGAGTTATTTTATCATTATATTGGTGTTCACGGCAATGTATACCAGAGCTAGTATATCACGTGGTGAAATTGATCATAATTTTATTGTCTTGTTATTTATGAGTGGGTTTTGGATCATTATGATTACAACATTGTCAATTGCACATTATAGATATATATGTTTCAATATGACCACTCTTGATGATCTTGCATTGGGACAAAGCAAAAGGTATAATCATTGGAAATCTCGTGGAGGGGTTGATTCTCTGGTGCGACCTCCAACTAGAATAGAAACAGGAAGGAGGTTCGTAAATGTCAAGAAGGGGGATATGCGATACATAGTCGAATATAATGTACAAGAGAGACCATTCGATATGGGCATAAAGAAGAATTGGATGAATTTGATTCTAAACGGAAATAGAAATCATGGAAAAAGTGATGATTGGTACAGTTATCTAAGATTGAGGCTTGCTTTCTTCGTGTTAATAGTACCGTATATTGATATTCCACTTTGTTTCCGACTGAGACGTGATGGGACACTTAAAATTAATGATAATGAAGCTGTAAGATCGAAACCGGATGAGTTATTAAGGCAATACGAATATTATTCTGATGTTGTCAATGATAAATTCAGAGAATTCATTAATAGAAAGATTGACGATGGGGATTGTTACCCTCCAAGATATTTAGGAAAACAAGAAACATCTGTTAGTTCTGAAGATGTTCAATAGTGAATGCAAGTACATCCTAATAGACATCTTTCTCTCATACCAATGCCCTTGTAGTTGAATCTCTTCATAATTAAAATTTTTTGCAGTCAATTAACGAACTGCAACTTTTGCAGTAGAAAAAGAAAAAATTGCGAAGGGTTTTGATTTTTATGGCTTCTAGAACCTCTTCTCTTCCCACGAAGGACTATCCCCCCAAATCATAATGGATTTCGAAATTATAGAACATGAAATAGATACCCCACAACCACCAAGTGCTCCAACAGCACCACCGAATCCATCAGGTTTCCCCCAACTTGCAAAACTCAAACAGAAGAGAATATCAAAATGGAAACAACGCCAACTACAATCATCCAATCAAGAACCACCCAACCCAAACCCAACACCAACCCCTCCTCCTAAATCAGAAGCAGAAAAGATCCATCAAGAGAATCTAGACAGGTTGTCAAAAATGTCCGAAGATGAAATAATCAAAGAACGTGAAGAATTATTATCTGGATTAGATCCAAATTTGATCAAGAGTTTATTAAAACGTACCGAGAAAAGAGAAAAGAAACACGAGGATAAAGATGAACATGGGGATGGATGTGGACATGATCATCATGAACATGCAGAAGGGTATAATGGATGGATTGGTGCCATTAGGACTCCTCAGGGATTGTCCGATTTATCTCAGCTTGATAAGGAAGATGTTGAAAAGGCATTAGGAATAAGTTCTGTTTCATTTGCCGATGACATTGGGAACCAAGAAGAGCCCAAGAAGGATAAGTCAAAGAAATCAGTTTCGTTTGATAAAAACGTCAAAACTGTGAATTATGAGGATTTGGATGAAGGTGTGGTATTGGATCCAAATGGTTGGGAAGATGTAACTGATATTCGCGAGATGATTCCAAACTTACCAACCAATGAAGATGAAGAAGTTGCACCAGAAGAATATCAATTAAACCAAGAACCAGAAGAAGAAGAATTCAATGTCCATTTCCCAAAACCAAAACCTCAAGATGACTTAGATATAAACGACCCAGAATTCTATGACAAACTTCATGAGAAATATTATCCCGATCTTCCTAAAGAAACTGAAAAACTTTCATGGATGACTACTCCCATGCCGAAACAAACCATAACCACTTATGAATCGATATCAGATATGAGATTTGATTTTCAAGGTAATTTGGTTGAATTGATAGATGAACGAGATGAAGAATCTAAAGATAAATCAATACCTACATTCTTGGGACTTCATCATCATTCAGAAAATCCCCAATTGGCAGGATATACCTTGGCTGAATTAGCTCATTTATCGAGATCCACTCTTCCGGGACAAAGATGTATCAGTATACAAACTTTGGGTAGGATATTGCATAAACTTGGAAAACATCATTATAGTCCAGCCAGTCAGAATAAAGATGATCCGGAAGATAAATATTTCAATGAAAATTTACAAGAAATGGCAAATAATTTCGAGAATATGATGTGGGATATAGTTGAACAATTAAGAATTATAGAGAGTATTACTGAAGCATCAGATGAATCAAAGACAAAGAATCTCTCGGTTCGGAACTATGCAATTGAAGCGTTATGGCTCTGGAAACAAGGTGGAGGAAGATCAACGACAACAGCAGAGACAGAGGAAGAAATGATTACAAAAGCTGTTCAACAACAGTTATGATATAGTTAGATAGAATGTACATATTCATAGATACGGTCAGAAGTTCCATTCAATAAAGAATAAGCTCACTGACTCTATTAGCATATAGTTAATCGGATGGTTCAAACATATTTGAAAAACCTAGTATAAATAAATCAACTCTAAAACGCGAAGCCTAATCTAAAACTCAAACTCAGAACGAGTTCAAAAAAGATAGACTTCATGATAAAGAAATCAATTTATTCTTGACATACCAGGAACTAATCTTCCAACAATCTTCGAGCAATGGAATGCCTCCAAATGAATCAAAAGACAAAAACTGCCTCTTTCCTCAGAAGAATCCATCCCAAAAAGTCAAAGTGAAAAAGATCAATAGAACAAAACATCTCATCTCAGAACGAGATAAAACAAATCCAATAGACACAATTTTCAATATCGAAAAGATTAGAATAACATTCGGTGCCGAACTTTTCATCCTGTAATGATTAACTTTTGTTATAAATATGATGATGATTTGGTCTTCGCATAGTGACACATTGAACCGATGGATCTAGATAGATTGGTAGGTGTTAACATACCAGTATCGGACAACTTAAGTTTATGCGTGCTTTTCTCGCACTTGCTTACAATAATAGTTGACTGTTCGTATTTCCAGATGTTTATTTATATATAAACTTTATATAATTGATGATATAATCTTCCAAGTAAATCAAAAGAGAAACAAAGAATATCAAAATCAAAATTTTTTTTTTAATTTTTGTTGATGGATTATTGTTGGTAGATATTTTAAATCCGGGTAACACTCTACCGTATTCTTAAAACCACACCTTTGTAACTCAATTAGTTGCACCATAATCAGAACCTCTTTCTTGTCCAACGCCTCCAAGTGAAATATATTGTTCTTGATATGGATGAATCAGAATTATATAATAACAATGTAATAACCCTGGGAAATAACCTAATATAAACAAGAGAATATTAATCCAAAATTCAGGAGACCAGAATCCCATTTTGATTAATACTGGAATTGGTGGAACTATGATATATGTTAGTTAGAATTGAACTTATTAATGGCGACGAATGGGAATTATTTAAGTCTTGCGAATTTAGTTTAATACATACTAAAGAATCCTATAAAGACTAGGAACCAATCACGAGAATGCATCTTTCTTAATTTTGTCTTGGGCTCGTACAGTTAGAAAATGCTTATTTTGTCCGGAGACGTATTTATTAAATATAATTGAATCCAGTAGGTGACAACTAACTAAGATATACTTGTTAGATGAAGAAGAAAGAGAAGTGGCAAGAAATTAGCAACTCCACTAAACCAGATGATAAGTGACCCCCTTACCGTATCAGCGCAACCATATGAAAATCATAATATGCAGGATATTGAATGTCGTCAAATTCTAAATGTCCCTCCAGTTCATCCTCCCATGCGACATCGATTTCCAGTGTTTTTTTTTTACAACCAAAATTGAATTTCCAAATCCCATCCCCCTTCGTCATTCACACCAGTTATTTATTTTAACTAGCAGATAAAACACAATGAGGTTTCATAATTGGTCGGTAGTTCTACTATTCATATCAATTGCTCATGCAGTTTTATTAGATGACGCATTTTCCAATAAAGAAACCATCAATTATATATATCGACAATTATCCCAGATTCAATTAATCAATAATGATATAATCATAGGTCGAACCATTATTGGGAATCAATTAGTTGGGATTGATGTCAAGGGGAGTAATTCGATTAATTGGAAGATTGATTTGGATAATTTTGGAAATCATACCAGTGGACTTGAATATATTTCTTCGGATACGAAAGTTTATGTATATGATGGACAACAATCAGAAATCTATCAAATTGATGGTATGACGGGTAGATTAAAGGTGATTGAATTAGAAAATGAGCCAATTCAATTGGCGGATGATAAGCATGGGATGTTTGTTGTTGATTCACATGGGGGGCTCTCTTATATTGACCATGAGACTGGATCAATCAGCAAGATTGAATGTCAAGAAGATGTTCAATTCCTTAGAGTAGATGGGATGAGAAATGGATATACGTATTTAATCATCAATGATTCGAGATTGAAGAAATTATCAACCCAGAAAAAAGTGATTGTAGATACAGAAATTTCAGTTGGTGGTGGTTCAATTAAACAATTTAAATCCGGGATAATTGTATCTGAAAATGATCAATTATTTAGATTTAATGATAAAAAGAAATCATTTGATAGGATAGAAAATGATGCATATAAGAATTTAATAGTTATTGATGAAAATTATTTATATTCAATATTAATTGATTCAATTAAAATCATTACCATCAAAAACAACAACAAAGTTGAATTAGTTGAAGAAATCCCCATTAAAAGAAATTCCAAAATTGATTTATTAAGTTCTTCATTAAATGATTTCATAATTATTTCCGATATGATAGGTACAAGATCAATCTATGATTTAACTGATTTATTAATCACCAAAGATGTTAATAGTATTCGAAAATTCAATATCAAAACCGATAAACAATTCCAACATGATTTCCTTACCACTGAAAACAATGAATTATATTTACTTTCATTAAATTCTAGTCTTTTCGGGGAATTACATAGTTTATTTGATGGGAATTTATTCAAAAAGATCAAACCTGCTAATCATCAATATCTGTCGAAAACCAATTCATATATAATAATCAATCAACCAGATTTAGAAAGTACCATACATGAAGTTCAACTGATTTTACAAGAAGCTGATACTGGATTCATATTCACAAATTGGATCCATCGAGTCAGGAGACACTTGGTTGAATTAGGGAGATTTATAGTCTCATTAGCCAAACCCTCATTAGTTAATCAAGGGGCTAAAATTAATGAATTTGGATTTGATAAATTGATTATATTTTTCGATGAGGATCATAAACAATTAGTGGCGATTAAATCGAGTAATGGAGAAGTATTTTGGGTTTCGGAACATATTAATGATAATTTCATTTCTTTAAACCTGGTTGGGAAAGAAGCTGAAGAGGAAGACATTCTTGTTATTTTTGATTCGTATGTTCTTGTGGTGAATAGTCATAATGGAGAGGTTGTTCAACGGATACCTAATAATAATCAATATGTTGAAGTTGTCAATGTTCAAGGAGATGGGTTTGCTTTAAGAACGAAGAATAATAAATATTTATTACCTAGAGCTATTAATGAAGATGCGTTTTTCACTACCCAAGTGTCTGATCATGAAATTATAGGACAAATCATCCCCGCTAAACAAGTGTTATCACGACAAACATGGAAATTCGGATTTGATAATGAGAATGAAAAGATAATTGCCGTTGCCAAAATCCCTTCGGAATCAACCACAGCCTCGTTGGGGATTCCATTAGTCGACAAAACGGTATTATACAAATATTTAAATCCAAATCTTATATCAATATTAACCCAGCAATCCACCGTCTTGAAATTATATCTCCTCGATGGAATCACCGGGAATTTATTACACACCTATTCCCATGACCCCAATCTCATCATCGACCCCGAATCAATCAAAATCATCATGGATGATAATTGGATAATATATACCTATTTCACCAAATCCCCAAAACTCGAACAACGAATCACCGTCGTCGACTTATTCCACTCCTCCAACCCTTCTTCCACTTCCTCCACCTCAAATCTAAACACCACCACCAAGATCGGCACCATCAGTTCAAAATCATTCATATATCCAGAACGTATCCTCTCCCTCACCTCCACCCAATCCATTCATGGCATCACGACAAAATCAATCCTCGCCATAACCGAAAGCGGGAATTTGGTAGAAATACCAAAATATATCCTAAATTCCCGCAGGATTGATGATCGACATCTTACAGCTGAGGATTTCCAGAATGATTATAGGATGACGGCGTATGATCCTATCGTTGCTAAGAATAATTATCAGACTTTGAATCATAAACAACAACTAGACACAGGTGGGAAGATATTAATAAAACCAACCCATTATGAATCAAGTATTGTCGTTTGTTATTATGGAACCGGGGTGCAATATTGTAGTATACTCCAACCTAGTGGATCATTTGATTTCTTGTCTCAGGGGTTTGATAGGGTGAAGTTATTGATTACGTTGGTGGTATTGGTGGTAGGCGTGGTGATTAGTAAACCGTTTGTGTTTAATAAGAAATTGAATTCAGAGTGGATAGATTAGATTAGTTTGTATATTATATAAGATCTATATAAATATTGATTTATGATATAGTAGTTTATAAAATCATGATTTAAATCATGGGAAGATATTGGTGAAGTCAACCCATTATGAATCTAGTATTGAAGTTTGTTATTATGGAACCGGGGTGCAATATTGTAGTATACTCCAACCTAGTGGATCATTTGATTTCTTGAGTCAAGGGTTTGATAGAGTGAAGTTATTGATTACGTTGGTGGTATTGGTGGTAGGCGTAGTGGTTAGTAAACCGTTTGTTTTTAATAAGAAATTGAATTCAGAGTGGATAGATTAGAGTGCACTGTGTATATTATGTAGAAGATCTATATAAATATTGATTCATTACTTTTTGATAGAATAGTTTATAAAATCATTGTTACGACCATGTTGCGATTCATAAGTATACTTGACCACTGTACTTAATTCTCTGCTGTCGTTAAGCTTGTAGTTTATCCAATGAAAATGTTGTATGGAGCTTAACTGAACAAATATAAATATGGTTCAATTCCCCCCACCTCCCCACCCCCCTAGTTCAAGTCTAGAGTATTTAGTTTACATAAGATATTTTACTTCTATAAAAAGGACCGCCTTTGGTTCTAATACATCCCAAAAGTATTTCCTAAAAAGAAGAGTAGCGATAATCTAACTTCACGCAATCCTTTCGGATTGTAAGCCGTTTGAATTTAAATTGAATTCAGAGTGGATTGACTAAAGTGTATTGTGTATATTATGTAGAAGATCTATATAAATATTGATTCATTACTTTTAATATAATTTATAAAATCATGATTTGAATCATTCACCCCAAATATTTCCCAATTTATCTTATCCCTATTATTACCCTTGTTTCTATTTTTCTTCTTTTCATATTCATAAATTAACCAAATCAATTCATAACCCAAACTTGAACATAAATAATTCTTCATCCTATTCACCAAAAAGAATGTCCTTTTGTTATTATCATCATCACAGTTCATATGATTAATTATGAATAAATTATCTACTTGATTAAATTTTTCAATAATTTTTAACAATTTAATATTTGTAAAATTCCAATTTTGGTCCATGAATATAATTTTATAAAATTCATTAAATCCATTCTTTACAAATTGATAATCAGAATAAGAATTCAATATTGGTGATTTAAAAATTCTTATTAATATCAATGCTGATAATTCTATGGGGAATTTATAATATATTGGTAATGAATTAAACATAGCATGACCATCATCTTTCTTAACAATGCTTAATAAAGTTGCAGTTTGGATCTTCTAAGCAAACAAAATAATATGGTATTAACTA